CGACCAACCCCAAAAAGCAGAATGCCTAACCCTGGCCCTGAACCTAAGTCGTTCCGCCGAATTAGCCCGCGCCGGCTCAGGGCTTAGGGCCGTCCAGGCGGCCCCAGCCCTAACCGCCCTACAGAAAAGGTACTAGGTTACATACACCAAAGTCAACCGGTTGTACACGGTGAACTTGTGCCCAGTTCTCAAGCTGCGTCAACGAACGTTCGGTTTCAAAACGGCTTCTGACCCGCAAAGGCCCAAGCGCCCTGAACCCTAAACCTGGCTCCTACCCGGGGAAGCGTAGAGGTGGGTTGTCTCCAGCAGGAAAGCGGCTCAACACAGAGGAAGTTTTAAGAGTACCCCCGGGCGACATTGATCAACTGAAATTCAGAAGGAAAGGCGCACTTTGGTTGGACGTCAGGCCCAGGCTCAGGGCGAAGTCTTCGTCTTCAACTCAGCGCTGCTGATGTCAGGGCTACTTGGTCCGAGCATAGGTACCACCTGCGTTTAGACGTAGTGGCGCCTGCTACTTTTAAAGGCTGCCTCTTATCCGAGTTCATCCTGATTTTGGTAGTGTCGTGGAAGGGGCATGGAACGCTGTGTGGTACGGACTCGTTAAAAGCAAGCGGGTAATTGGAGCACCGGCGACGTTGGAGGGGCCGGGGGCCACGGAATGCACGATTTTGGGTTGCAGTGGCTGATGCATTGTAGTCGCAGGGCGACAGGGGCCCAAAGGGATACGAGGATAGTAGAGTAGAGAATGATTCCTTGGGGAATGAATGCACGCACGAGAAGCATTCTTTCTGCTCGATAAAACTTGATTTGGGAGGTCGAACGTCTGTTGTTTACTGATTAGTTTGTCAACCCATGGGCCTTTCACCAGGAGGGTAATCAGCCTGCGCTCCAGGATTAGAGTAGGACCAATTACAGACGGAAATGAATGGAAGCAATGAAGCGGGGGTTGCATCTCTCTCAGGAGGATCGGCACCCCCTCCCCCTTTGGAATGGAAGTTTGGGCAGGTTTTTGGTGAGCGGGCTGCAGGGGAGGAAGTGCAGGAAGGTAAGCCAGTCAGATGTGTCATTTGTTGGCTTCCGAAATTGAGAACTGACTGTTGGCAAGACTTGCATTTGGCTTCTAAGTTGCTGGTTCAACTGCGCTTTCTACTTGGCTGAGACGTTGAGGAATTGTGAGCGAGATTCACACGGGAGAAGCATCAAAAGTTCTCATGGAACCAGATGCTGCTGGCTGAATCTGAGCCAGTGCACTCGCACGAGCATTCCAATCCAGTCGTCAAGTATGGTCTACCTTGCAGCTTCCTTGTCTAGAGTTTCTCCTGTAGAAAGCAATCAATGCAATCCAATGTCTGGTGAAAAAGTTGGGTTCGCTGGATTGGTTGCATGGCTCCTTCATAGTACACTGCCTCCTATCTCCTCCTTCTTTCACTGTTTCTTCAAGAGCAAGGTTTGTATGCAAACTAGTTGCACATAGACGATTGTTGTAATTTACTTCTGTCTAGCTTTTGGGAGGAGGTGCTAAAAGCCTCCACTGTACTTCGCTAGCAGTATCTTTAGAGCATGACATGTAATCCAGCAAAGTCTGCTTCAAGAATTCGAAGACGTTGCAGACATATTAATCATGTGGCAATCGGTATTTCAAACCCTAAACGCTACTGCTAGACTTAGTGATGAGAACCTCAAGCTTGAGGACTCACCTGATTTGGATGTCTGTTTCAGCATCACCTGTGCTTGTTGTTCAGCCTGGAACCTTTAGATTGAAAAGCTGAATCTTGTTTTCTAACAACCTGGAGCGATGGTGCCGACCTATACTTTTTTGGCAGTTAAGCTGCTCCTGACCTAGCGTGGTTCGTTATGATCCGCTTTAATTGTCATTATTAGGGTTCGAGCTGTCCTAGGAGGAGCATCTTACAAAAGCCTGGATGGAAGGTTTTTGCTCAAAGCTTGGTACACATTGTCTGCAGTTGACATCATCTCGGCAATTGAATTCGACAAGAGTGGAGACCACTTAGCGACGGGGGATAGAGGGGGTCGAGTGGTCTTGTTCGAAAGGGTGGATGGAGGAAAGGTAAGGTCTGACGAAAAGCCTGGCACGTAAAGTGGCGATGTCTGCGTTCTTGTTACTACAGAGATCATGACCCAAAAGCACAACCGTCCTTTCATTAGTAGCAGAGTGCCCCAATTATCAATCTCATCTTGAGATTGATAACCAGTTTAACTGACTGGCAGCGAAGTTTATTGTGATCGGGTTTGTATGATAGTGACACTCTCAGAAGGGCCCAGGGCTCTCCCAACTCTTAACTGGAGTCTCTTCGATTCCCGCGTCCAAACTACCTGCACCAATTGCATCGGGCTCACAAGAATCTGAGAAGGCGCTTGACTTGCCATGCTTCTTAGAAAGCTGCTGATTCCCGGGAGGTCTCTTTAACCAGCAGCTTCGTCAAACGAAGTGCGATAAGAGGTCCTCTAATAATTTTCAGCTTGCAGGGTTTGCTGCTTCTGCTTCTGGCAAAAGCAGGTGGAGCATCGTTGGAGCTCTTGCACGTATCAATATTTGTCTGGTTGATTGCAGGGGGTCCAGCATCGGAAAGAAGCTGAAAAGACAGACTTGCCTCCTTCGCGGCACATTGAGTACCGGTACTCGACGGAATTTCAGAGCCACGAACCTGAGGTGAGGGGCTCGCAAATCTGCATGTATAGAGCAAGCTAATCAAAGCTTAGCTCTTTGCAGCTCATGCCAAAAGCCATGGCTCCCTGTGAATTATGTAGCTCGGGCAAGCCTGTTCCTCCCACCAGATTGAGCTTTGCAGAATGCACTGATATTTTGAGCTACTGCCAATCCACTCTGCACATGTGACCCGGGCCTTGCCGGATGTGAAGCCAAGAGATATTTCTCTCAAGAGACAAGGCCGAGTCTCTGTTTCCTGTGGACACGCAAGCCAATGCGCGGTAGAATCCAACTGTATCGAGGCCACCAATCAGTAGTTGTACCTCTCTCAATGCGACCTCGCTCGCCCGTCTTGCAAGCAACCCTTCTCAGCCCGCAGATTGTTTTGTTTGCTGACTACCAACTCGTTTCATCCCCTCTTTGCAGTTCGATTACCTCAAGAGTTTGGAAATCGAAGAGAAGATCAACAAGATTCGCTGGTGCCCCACCGCCAACGGCTCCCGCTTCCTCCTCTCAACCAACGACAAGACCGTCAAGCTTTGGAAGGTGTTTGAGAAGAAGGTCAAGTGCGTGTCCAACTTCAATTTCGAGCCTCGTAATGGGGGGGTCAGCAGCGCAGGGGCCAGCCCGGCAGCTTCCCCCGGGCGCACGGGGATGGGGTCCCCGGCCCATAGGAAAGCCGCGCCGGCAGTCAAGGACGACTGGGTGTTTCCTCCGGGGGGGATCCCTCAACTCCGACTGCCAACGGTAAGTGAGCCGTTTTCCACAGATAACTTTCTTGCGCCCCCAGAAAAGTCAGCCTGTACTAGCCTGGACCAGCTTTGCTTGCGTCCCCCCTTCTACAGGCTCAGGTTCCGGGCATTGGCTCACTGCACAGAAGTTGGCTTGGTTTCTGCTCTTTGCTTCCGGCAATGCTGCCACTCGCTTTCTAGTTTTGCTGAGACATAAGGACTTCGCTTCGGACTCCTCTCAGTAGGGGGACGCAAGCAAACGGCAGGACCAGCTGTGAGTTTCGGACATTCGAAGTTTGTCGTCACTCAGAATAATACCCGGTTCTTTGTTCAGGTTTGGAGCAATGAAGCGGTGCTCATGGCTCGCTGCCGGAGGGTGTTCGCAAACGCGCACGCCTACCACATAAACTCAATCTCAAACAACAGGTAAGACCTAGTGCTGATGCATTTGTACTGCCATCGAAGGGCCACCCGGATTGAGCTTGCTTTGAGATTCGGCCGCTCCTATGAGTCAGCAATCGTGCCTTTGGAGACGGAAGCCACAGTGACTTGTTGCTGCTCTTTTTATTTGCTGGGACAGTCGCACAGTGCGTCGTGCTTTCTGCTCGTTCGCCACTTACTGCTCGCTTTTAGAGGTCGCACTTGCAGCAGCCAACCTTCTTTGTTTCTAGCTTTGACGTCAGGTTCCTAAAAACTCATTCATTTACCTGCTCTTGTTTGCAGCGATGGAGAGACGTACATCTCCGCGGACGACCTCCGAATAAACCTCTGGAACCTGGAGGTCTCTGACCAAAGTTTCAACATTGTAGATATCAAGCCCACTAACATGGAGGACCTTACAGGTGAAGCATTCCCATTGATCTCAAGACTGTCAAAGTTTTACAAGACTGTCAAAGTTTTACTTGAGAACTCAGATGCGAGTTTGCCAACTTGCCTCGCTCATAGCCATGGCTTTAGATTGCGCATCCTATGCTGTATCCAAGCGGTTGGCCCTTAGGATCGTTGCGCTGCCAATGCTTTGCTTTGTTGCCTTTTCCGGCTGCGTCTTTTCTGATGTCGATGCATTGCGTCATTCTCAGAGGTGATTACGTCAGCCGAGTTCCACCCGAGCCACTGCAACGTGCTCGCCTACAGTAGCAGCAAGGGCGCCATCCGGCTAGCGGACATGCGCTCAGCAGCGCTCTGTGACAAACATGCGAAACAGTAAGCCTCTTCGGAGCCTTTCTTTGGATTGGAACAGTGTAGCTTCGGATTGATGCACACCAAGAAAAACAGTCTGCATTTCAGCACAGACGCCAAAGCCCAAAGTTGTCTTGTAGTCGTCACGCATTTCTTTGTTTGAGTAGTCTCAATGAATTTTCCTAGTTACTCAAGAATCAATACTGGACGGAGAGGGTCTATCTCTGCAAAGGCAAAGGAGGCGCCGCACTGCTGAAAGCGGTGTCTTAAGATTTGGGTCATGGCAATTGCGGAACCTGGAAAAAGCATGCAGCGATCGAAAACTCAGCGATACTGGTGTCTTGCAGGTTCGAGGAGCAGGAAGCCCCTGGCAGCCGGTCCTTCTTCTCAGAGATCATCGCATCCATCTCAGACATCAAGTTCTGCCGCGATGGCCGCTACATCCTGGCCCGGGACTACATGACGCTCAAGGTAACGTTCCCAACCTAGTTGTCATCAAGTACATGGAAGCTGCAACTGTTTCTCTGGTTATTGTCGTTTCGAAAGCTCCCCAGTAGCTGGTTCATCATTGCATCTGGGTGCGTTGTTGTTGCCTGTTTGCTCTAAGAGTGTCTTTCCAAGTGCTTCTGCTCTGTGAGCAGCGTTCAAGTGCTTCGGACCTGCGGCTTCTGCATTTCAGCGGCTTAGAGAATGTCTCTCGTGTTCGTTGCGACTTTCCTTGGTCCTAAATCACTTGCTTCTGCTTCTTGCTTAGTCTTACCTTGTTCTGCGAGCAGATTCCTCAGTCCGTGAGCCGACCCCTCCGTATCTCGGAGCCCTGCACATAGAGCTTGCTCCGTTTGCCGTCGCACATATTCTAGACAGCTTTCGTGTAGAATTGAAATTCTCATTCGTGCAGCTTGCGGATGTGAAGATGGAGTTGTGATCACCAAAGGTGACATTGCTTGGCATTCGTACCGCTTCCCCTGGGTAACTCAGGAACCTCCTACAGTCCATGTATCTACACCTTTCCAACCCCGCGCCCTCTTGCTCCGCAGCTTTGGGACGTGAATATGGAGTCCGCGCCCGTTGCGTCGTTCAAGGTGCACGAGCACCTGCGGTCGAAGCTGTGCGACCTGTACGAGAACGACTCCATCTTCGACAAGTTTGAGTGCACCCTGAGCGGGGATGGCAGCCGCGTGGCTACCGGCTCCTACAGGTGAGACCTTAATTATTGTGTCTGTTAGAAGTCAGCATTCCGCCACCTCTCACCTTCAAGAGGGCGAAGCTGCAAGAGCGCTTTGTGACACTTACTCACGCATCTTTCACCTGTCTCCTTGAACTGGAAAAGCAGATGATATTGCGGCCTAGTTTTCTTTTCGATATCGGGATCGCTGAGACCAATCTGGCCGCGCATATTGTGTGGGGGCGTTCATGCTTGGTTCCGCGGTCTCTCTCTGTCCAGTCCGTGCTAAAATCGAGGAAGTTTTGAGCCGGTTGGACGAACGGTCGGATGTCGGTCATTTGGGACAAAGCCTCCCGCTTCTGACAGGGAAAAGGGAATGCTCAAGGTTTATCGGTCGTGTATGTGAGGCGCCAAGTTAAGATACTTCAGACACTGTCCACATGTTGCACACCTTCGGACACCTCTCACAAACTCCTCCTCTCTTGCAGCAACCTGTTCCGCGTGTTTGGTGCTGCGCCCGGCAGCGAGGAGGCGAGCACCCTGGAAGCGACCAAGACGCCCAACCGGAGACGGGCGCAACAAAACGCGCCCGCGCGGTCGGGCAGCCGGCTGGCGAACTTGGCCCGGGGCCGACGGGACGCACGGAGAGGTACGGGGCCCTTTGTCCTGCTTGTGATTCCAAAGTCCTCAATGATTTTGTACATGTGGAAGTAGAATCTGATCGTGGGTTCTTTTGTGCACCGGTAATGGAGTGAATCGGATCCAGAGCTACTTGGTAGGAGGTACATCTGGTGTGCTTGAGCGTATACCAGGACTTTTCTTGCCCTATTGCGATAGTAAGGAGTCGATAGGAGAGTAGCTAGAGGCGGGGTCCCCTTGCTCGGTCAGGAGCTTTTCAAACTTGAGTGTTCTCTGCTGTGCCTTAGACCCGAGAAAGTAGGAGCAGCCTGGCCGTTCGACAGAGTCCTTTGATGCAGACTCACACTCAAATGAGATAGTGCGAACCCCAGAACCATATCGGCCCAAGCATCGAGCTCGCTGGTCCTTTCTTTGAGCGCTTCTGCGACCGATTGTGATGTGTACATGCGATTTTGCAGGCGAAACCGGGTCTCCAGAAAACCCCACAGGCACAAACGACTTCACTTCCAAGTTGCTGCACCTGGCGTGGCATCCGAGCGCCAACTTGATTGCCTGTGCAGCCTCGAATAGTCTTTACATGTATTATGCTTGACCGGGTAGGTAGGAAACACATGGCGTCTTCACGACGAGGCGCCGACTAGGTGTTTGGGACATTGGTTGAAGTGAGCGACGGTAGGTCGGGCGCAAGCGGTAAGTCAAGCGGTGGAAACGAGCGGTAATCGAGTGTTTGGTTCCGGACTCGCACCCTACTCATGAAACAAAAGGTACAGTGGCAAACAGTGTCTTCCTCCTCGTTTGACTGAATGGATCATCTGTAATGTCGACTGACAGCATGTCTTCACCAATCCTTGTAGAGCAAAGCAAGTGGAGTGGGGCTCTGGTTCTTTGCTCAACTGATATAAACCTGCATCAGATTCGACGCGTACGAAATGAGTTGCTGGACAAGCACAGGCCCGCTGCTTTGCTTAGTGCTATAGCGGCCTGCATGCAGATAGGTTGACACAGCGTGCAAATGTACCCGGCCCTATAGTTCAAACGTACTTCATGGCAGCTTGGTGCACTTAGCCGCCTTAATAAAAACTTGCCTGGAAATTCGCCATGTATCAATCTTAATGGCATTGTGCTGCGCGCACTGACGCCACTTGCCAGGCGTCTGGTTCAAGGCCAGGGCGATTCGCCTGAATGAACTTTCCGATCATGCTGAACGCAGCCGGCACATGGGTGACCTAGGCATGCATGTATAATGTCGGATACCAAAGTAAGATTCAAACTGATTATAAAACAACATCGATTCAGACACCATGTGCAAGCGAGCTAGGAGGTTCTTAACATGCACGTCCATGCAACACGCACCGTGGCCTGATGATATGCATAAAAATTGTTGCCAGAAACACCGTTCAGTGCGAGCTGCGTTCTGCAGAACATTGTTGTTGTACTTTCATGATTTCTTTGATTGATTTCCCGTAAGTGCTCCTCGGTGTCTTCCTGTGATTCCCTACACATCCTGCACGACTGATACGCTAGCTCAGAGTCCCTTGGTACAATTTGATAACCATATTGTTGCGGAGCCATATCTACCTACTTGTACAAGCGGACAAGCTGCGTTATATACGAGCACATCCCTTAGGAGCGAGCTGTATCCGACAGTCAAATATCGATTACAAAAGCGCGAAAGGACACACAAACCGTCTATTATTCACGTGGCTTCCACCAAGGGGTGTCCATCGGCCTCGGGCTCCCCCAGTCCGAGGCCCCTCCGGGTGGTCGTTGTGTACTGTTCCTTAGCTTTTAACCACCCGGGGAACCACCCGTCCGGGCCCATCATCGTTAACCAGGCCGTAAACCAGCCTTGCGATACCCCGTCCGCCCGCCCCAGCGTAAACAGCATCGCCTGCCCGGTCAGAAACTGCACGGGGAAAGAAAACCGACCAGGTTAGCGGATGCGGAGGAAAACATTCCAAGCTTAGAGGCGAGGCTCGAATGATGCTTGGGAAAGCGAAGAGCGCGCATCAACGTCGGAGCACAAACGGCAGACTGAAACGTCAAGGTGATGCTCGAGCAGTTCTTCTGACGAAGATGTCCAGAAGTAGGTCGAGCAACTTGGCAACAGTTACTCAAGCTCGCTTTGGGACAGAGCTCTCGATGGTCATTGTCACCGGGATCCAGCCTGGATAAAGCTTCAAAAGGGCGACAACAGGGAGCCTTCAAACCTTGATAACCTAATGAGTTGTCGCCTTCAGATCCTAAGAGACTCATGAGTTGTCGCTTTCAAAGTATGAGGACCTAACGAATATGAGGCCGAGGAACCCCAAACTGCAGCCCTTTCCGTGCGACATACGAAGTGACTCCCAGACATGCACCGTTCGTTCAAGGCGCATTTTCGTGACACACTTCTAACCACGGGTTTCTCACTCTCGACATGCTAATATCAAGGAACTTATCGCCGCACCTCAAAGCCGCCAAACGGGATCCACGCCTGCTGCGCGGCCGCGTCGCCCTTCTGGAACCGCTGGATTAGGTTCAGCGCCGTCAGCCGCCCCTGCAGCAGACGTCACGAGTACGTCAGCCGGATACAGCGCTCGAGCCCGTCTCTTCTGGGGCTGGATGCAGCGGAAACTTCGTTACGACTTTCGCAAGCGCCTGAGGACGGAGCGCGGCTTTCTCGAGACGTCTCGCTTTCTTGGTAGAAAGACTCTGCCGTCCGGCACTTGTGAGAGTCCTCTTTGATTGATCCTTATAAAGCGAGACAAATTCCAGCTTGAAACACCAACAAAACGTTGGACACCATTTCCCAATAAAGAAAGAAAAGCGACCGGCAGAAGCCGGGCGGATACGGGTTGCCAAACGCTGGAAAGATGACCCTATTCTGGTGACGCTCCGAAGGACCAAAGAGTAGCGAGCAAAAAAAAGGTCGTAAAGGTCAAGAACCGGCGCTTACGTGTCCGGCCGCAAGGTAACCCAGCTTCGTCTCCTTGACGTCCGTGGCGTCGCCGATAGCGTATACGTTGTGTAGGCCCTTGACTTGCAGATGTTCATTGACCTGCAAGATCCGAAATTGTCGACTGAAGGCTTCTGATCCCGTTCCAGAAAAGGTCGGACGAAGATTCAAAAGGGTCGGAAGCTTCGCTTGCGCGCGCAACTCTTTGATGGCTAGAGACGGCTGTCTGGCTAGAGACGCCTGTCAAAAGTCCGCGATAACTGCTGCTCAAGCGGGCTTTATAGAGTTTACAGCTAAAAATTCTTTCCTTGTGAATTTCAGAAGCCCGTCGGTGGGCCAAGAACCGAAAAGGGATCTTAACAAGCGCAGGACCCTTCACGAGCGGAGTGAGCTTCCTCTCCACGTCTTGTTCTCACCAGACTTGCTATCCAACACGACCTGCAACTCTCGACGCCAATGGACCGTTCGTTTCCGGTACACGGCCACGTGTCGCTGTCCTGGACACTCACCATAATGAAGCCCTTCGAGTCGAGAGGGATGATCCCCTTTTCGAGGAACCGCGTGTTGGGCGTTCCCCCCACCGTCATATATACAACGTCGGCCTCAAAAGTTCGGCCGATAGTGGACACGTATTCGCCCTCGCCCGTTTTGGTCACTCGGGTGTTGACATGCACCTGCAACCCCATGGGAATGGACTGGGCTTTCAGTAATGCAGGGCTTTCAACAAGGAAGGAGCGCCGAGAGGGGAGCTTGCTTTAAAGAATCATCATAAGCGTGCTCGCTTGATGAATAGTTTTACTTTTATCTGCTTTGGACACAGCGCGACGTTTCTCAAAGAGCAGTACCCATGGAGGAGAAAAGCACAGGCTCGTGATTTTCACTTTCTGAAATCTGTTTGAGCACACACAAGAAGGGCTCAAACTCAGCATCTGACTCTAATCGGGGCAGGGGTACTCGCTTTTGCACAGAGATCAACGCTGTAAAATTGACCTGTCTGCACTTTTCAGATCCGTCTCGAGATCTTGGCAACCTTAAGAGCCGGTTCAACGGCAAACAACTGTATTTTCATGAGCCGAGATCCACTTATCCTATGGCGTATTGATAGCCCACCTCGACTCCCTGGCGCTCCAGGAACTCTTTAGCACGGCCGCCGATGTCGGACGGCTTGTCTGCAATCAACCGGGGACCGGACGTCAAAAGCACCACGCGCTTCCCTGGCAGCTTGGTCACCACTTCCCCCGCCAATTCCACGCCGACAATACCTCCCCCGATGACAAGAATTGTTTTTGCGGCCGCGAGCTTTGCGTGTTCTTGCTGAAGTGGGACGAGAGAAGAGGGTTGGGTTAAAAGCTTGGCAAGGCCGCTTGGCAAGGCCGCTGTTAGCGACTATCAGGATGCGGAAAGAATATTGCGGAAAGGCAGGTATAACAACACCATTTCATGAGCCAACACGCTTGGAGGCCTCTAAAAACAGTCGATTACATTTTTCTTGGGTTGTCAGTCTCTGCTCTAAGACAATCCTCGAAGATTCTCGGGTGCAATAAATGAGCTAGGCCACTGAAGCAAAAGTCTACTCAGATTTGGCAATTTCCACCTTTGCAATCCGGATGGCCATAGCCCACAAGTTTTGTGCGACAGTCCAAGCTACTTTCGACAGCTTTTTGGATTTGCACACGCGAAACGGAGCAACAGCTGTCAGACACTAACCGCCAGCTGTTACCTCCTCTCACCTGGATCATCGCCTGGCGTTCCTCTGCCGAGCTGCAGAATGTCTTGATGGGCCCGTCCGCATACGACGAACCGGGCGCCAAAACGAGCCAATCATACTCCAGGTCCCACTGCCCGGTGTAAGCCCCGTTGTCAACAGTGACGTAACCCTTGTGAACTGACACAACTTTGCCGTTGATAACTTTGCCTGGATAGTTACAGATCAGCCAGTGTCAAGTTTGTATTTAGAGCATCGTTGGCGAAACCTGCATTACAGATCATGTTGACTCCATTCTGCCCATTTGCCTGATAATATGGCTTTTGAGTCTATCAGCTGGATCTCAATCACTTCTTCGATGACACAATCTGGTTCAATCAAATCTGGGAGGTCAGTTGAAATCTTGGAGGAAAAAGTCAATCTGAAGTTCTTTGAATGGAAAACTGTGCTCCAAGGGATTGGACTGCAATCTGAGTCCGAGACTTGAAAGAGAAGCCCAAATGCTTATCATGATCAAGAGATTTATTGGCATCATGGGTCGCTCACCTATATCCGGAATGCTTCGATAGTCAATGAGCACCTTCTTGCCATGGTGCGGGGTGATGAACGTCTGGAGGGTGCCAGAGTTGAGCTCATGGTAGCCTTTCCTGAAAAACAAAAAATTTGCTTCTTAAGTTTGCTTCTTAAGGTGAGTCACATCAATTTAGCTTAGACGCAGTACAGAAACCCCGGGCTACTTCTCCACGTCTGTTAACAAGGTTGCTCGTGCACTCCGCGTGAGAGATGCACTTCAGAGTTCGCAAAATGTCCAACAACCCGCATACCGGGCTCTCTGCCTTCTCACCAGTCTGGTAAGAACACGACTCGCTCATCATCTTCCTGCCCTCATCAGAAGTGTTGGCACGTTTCCTAGGCTGCACCGCAAACGCTTGTCCAACAATTCCCACCATCAAAACATTCTCGAGTACACCACACAATTTCTCCAAGATAACACCCCACAAATTCTCCAATCAAATACCTCACAACTTCTCGAATGAAAATCCAAATAGCCCCTCACCCGTCCACTATTGTGACATCAGCGTGCCCCTTCAGGCCCCTGGCGAGGTTCAGCCCTGCCGGCCCCGCACCCACCACAACCACTTTCGGCAATGTCTTGCACAGCGCCGCAATCTGCGCCAGCAGCTGGTCGGATATGTACTGGATGGGCTCCGTCACCTTATGCATCGTGCGCCCGCTTATGAGGCTCCCTTATTGAGAGAGTGCTTGATGGGACAGATGGGAAAGAGAAGGCGTAGTGCTGGGGCACAGGATTGGAGCGCAGCCGTTTGGATTCTTGGCGGAGGCACTTCCAATTCTCCAGGACAACGAGTGGGTATCTTAGAAGTGCTTTTAGAAACGAGGAACAACGAATGTGCAAAGAAGGAAGTAGTGAAGTTGTCTTCAACACGATGAAGGTGCGTTTGTAAAGGTTGACTAGAGAAGTATTGAGTCTCACGCTTGCAAAGCGTTTTCTCCAGACCTCTAGATTGGAAGTGTTTAAAAGGAACTCCAACTTTGGCTGTTTGAGCGTTCCGAGTGCTGCAATCTTGCGTTTGCAGGTCTTCGGATCAGGAGGGATGTGTCTCTTAGAAGACATTGAATGCGAGAAAGTTTAATACAGGGTTTAGAAAGCAACTGCTGCTTGCAGTCTGCTGGACGGAATTCAAAGTCAGACTTGGCTGAGCGAAGCCGGGAAATTACTCGCGCAGAACCAAGCGGCCGGCAGAAGTGGCCGCATTGAATGCTCGTCGTCACGATCACGTCCTATCTATGGCAGGTCAGATTGTAATCTGAGCTGGAGTCTGAAGACACGGCTCTCTAGCTTCAGAATCCACTTTGGGCAAGCATTCAACAAATGGGCTACTTCTGCGGTACCCCAGGATGTTGCTTGAATGTCTGAGCCTGGGGAGGACGGCGGCCAATATTTGGTTATCAATATTTTGCCAGTGCCATTTTCTGGGCTGGAGAAGAATTGGCCTGGGCAGAAAATGAACCCCCGTGGGCCCTGACTCTCACGTGATACCCACGTGGACGAAAAAAGAATCCGTTCGAGCAATCAGAGCACGCCACGCGATATTGACGTTATTCCGCCCTCGCTGCTCACTTCATAATGGACTCCATCCCGATCCGAGTTCATCTCGTGCTCTCTTGAATGCTGCTGTCGCCGTGGTAGGTAGGTACGTCAAATCTACGAAGAGGAGGGAACGCCAAATGGCCCATTCAAGTCATTTCTAAATCTTGGCCACCTTCTTGATTGGATAGAGAAATGTGAGAGAACTTGGCGTGAAAGTTGATAGCTAGATCAGCCTGAAGCCTGCGTTGTGGATACTTTTGTTGGATCCAGCCCTTTGTGTCTATGGTTGCTGCTTCCCTTTCTGAGCTAACAATCTCAGCCGGTTGAAGAGCTGATGTAGTCACGCAGCATACCTCAAGGTCAAAAAAGAAGTACAAAACAAATTATCTGCACAAAGCAGGAAACCTGACATCGAACTCAAAGCTTTCCTAAGCTCTGGAAGAATCCTGCAATTTCTGCAAAGCTCTCTGAAGGCCACTCTTGTTCATACACCTCCAGTCTGAAAAAAGAAAAAGCAGGTCTTAACATCTGCTCCACCAGCTGCTGGCGTGACAGAGTCGGAGGGTCTGCATTAGGGTTTGCAAGGTGAGTAATTCAGGAGCTGCTGTGCTTGAATATCAAGACCTTTGTCTAATGCGCTTGCGATGTGCTCACCTCAGTTGTGTATTTTGCACTCGGTGTGTGGTGGTGTTTGCCTTAGTCATGAGAGATCTTTCTTGCTTTTGGAGGCCAGAAGAGCTGCCCCAGTCAGCAGATTCTCCTCTTTCTTGGGTTGCTGTTGGCTCCCTTTCCCAGGATCAGAAGAGGTCTCGGAAGAAAGAAAGCTTTCTGCTGCTCGGAAAGGCTCCTGCTTTGACAGCTTTACATGTAAAAGCAACAATACCTTCACTTTGCTTTGAGAATCTGCGGTCTGTCCTCCGTAGCGACAACACCAATTCTGATCAACCTAGCAGTACTTCCGGCTTTTTAAGTTGATGTTGAGCTCCATTTTTCAACAGTCAAGATGTCTTCATGGATACGACGAGACTCCCGTGCTCTTGCAGATATCAATCCCCGCTTGTCTCAATGGCGGAAACTCTCCCACGAATCGACCATCTTATCATTGGAGCGAAGGACTTGGTGGCGGCCAAAGAGTACTTTTTGAAGGAGTATGGTCTGCAAGGCTACGACGGCGGGAAGCACCAGGGGGGGTGGGGAACAGAGAACTATCTCATCCCCCTGGGACAGGGCTACATTGAAATTGCAGCCGTGTTCGACCCGGAAGCCGCGCAGACGTGCGACTGGGGCAAGTGAGGGCTTTTCTTAGTGCGCGCCATGACTCTCTTGTATAGGGTGTCTACTTCTGAGCTATAAGGGTTCTGGTCAAGAACGTCTGGGTCTGGAACCCTTGCTCAAATCCGTGACTGGGGCTTGAAATTTTGCCCATGAAAATTGCCAGTTTCATTACGAATCATGCTCTGAATAGCCTTCTCTGGGCATAACAGAATCTGCTCAGACATGACTGATGGAATCGACTAGGTACTGCTTTTCGACTTCCAGGCGTTTGGAAGGGATTTGCCAGCTTATGAAGACAGATTCCCGTGAATTTGAGTACCAGCTCGTACTATGTATGCCAGGGCTGAACTTAGCCTCCTAGATTTGTGTCGTGTCATTTCTACACTGCTGATTTGCTGATGTCGACAGGCGCACCAAAGGAGACAAGAACCATATTCTCAGTGTGCACTTGTGTTCCGCTACTAAAGCACGGCTAATTTGGTTCTATCCTTATGTGCAGGTTAATCGCATCGACTGAGGTGACCCCAGAGAAGCCCTGGAAGATGCTGACGTTCTGCTGCCAGACGAAGGAGGACGCCGCTGACATCAGCAAGCGGCTGAACCACATGCTGGGCCACATGAAGCGCGTCCTGCCCGGTGGCGACTATCTGACGTGGCGCGTTGCGACGATGTCGCGCTTCCACGAGTCCGATCGCGCGCCAAAGCCGTTCTTCATCACGTGGGACGACCCCTCGAAGCGGCCCGACAAGGTGAGCTTGCTTTCGCTGACGTCGTTGGTTATTCGATTGATGATCCCGCCTGATGATAAAAAGTTCGCATGTTTAGAACTGGTAGGCCAAAAGGCCAACGCTTTGAACTCCGTGAAGAGCGGGGGTAGACCCTGAGCTCTGAAATGTATGAAACGAAGCAAGGCCCATTCGTACAGATTGACCCTCCCCCAATGGGTTCGTCCCTAATAGCATCTGGGTAGCCGCCACCTTGGATCATGGGGCCATTCGCGACATGGATAGATTGACAGTAAAGTTGTGGCGACTGATCCAAGGGTTCTATCTTTTGCCACAATCATAAAGCGGGTTTGGCTCCCGGTTTGGCCCAGCCGCTCAGCTTTCGTCCCGGTCTCTTTCCATTCCTTGATCCGGGAGTGCACGAATTGGCACGAGTCGGTTTCCATCGCCTTTGAGTTCTCGTGTTTATGCTGATTTGCATACCTCAGAAGTGCTACCGCTTTTTAACCGCCAAGAAGAAGCGAGGGAGTACTTAACATCCAAACTTTGTACGTTTCCATTCACAGCGGGTGGTTGAACACGTGGCAGACCCGGTGGGCTTCGAATACATCGAGCTCTCCGGAGGCGAAAGCGACAAGGCGGCCATGAAGGAGTGGATAGGCGAGGGCGTCGAAGGGCGTCGTCTGCCGCTGCGGTGGGTTGAGGGGCCGCCCGCATTAAAAGCTGTTGGCATTAAGACGGCCGATGGCAAGACCATCGTGTTGGAATGAGGATATCGTTCGGAAGACTGAATAATACGAGGAGATTTGGCAACCCTTGTTTAACACTAGGGTCAGAAGCCCCAAGAAACTTACTTGACACGAATAAACGTCAACCGAGTTGCACGAGCGAGCGTAGTCTTAACCTCGCTGGTTCCAGGATAGCGGAACCTGAACCTAGAGCAGGAAACAATTGCACTTTATTAAACGCTCGCTTTTGGATTGAGCAACGCCAACATGCAAGAAAGTCTGTGAGTCACGAGCTTCATGTTCAAGGGCACCGTCGTCTTGACCACTTCAATCTACGTCTAGCTTCTTTACGATTCGCAAGTGCTTCACATCCGCTGATGCAGTCGACGATGATATAACCATTTCCCGAATCAAATTTGCGTACGTAGGTAACCAACGGTCATACTCAACGCCTGTGGCAACGATTCAAGTGCATGCGGAATGCAGAGCCATCTTCCGGGTCCGGTTTGGCCGCTCATCATATGGTCTGCAAATGGCTAATTTGCAGTTCTGGTCACATGCAACGCGCATGGTTGCGTTCCCCGGCCGCGCGTCGTTGACGTCAACAGTCATTACATTGTCGACGCATGATGATCGTCTGCATGATTGGATGTTGACCGTGTGCCAGGACGTACTCGAATATAGAGAACATGTAGCCCTGGATCTAGTTCTCAGTCTCGCTGTGCAGACGGAGTCCGACAGCATATACGCATTTCCAAGATCGGCCAGAGTCAGAGGCCTTGAGCAGTCAGACATCGACTACATATAAACACCGAAAGAGCTGATTGCAATGAGAGACGCTAAGCGTGGTTTCAGTATCGTCCTTGTCTGCACGTTTCTTTGCAAAGCCCGCCCGTCAAGCACATGTAATGATTGTCTCTGTGATATTCCCGCCACCGCGTGACGATCTTAAGATACGTACGCACCGTACACTATACCCGACCGCCAAATCGCTCTACATGCTTCCATCTAGCAATTCTTCCAAAGCGTCATCTTACCACCGGCCATGACTCTTTGCTATCATACGAAAATCCACCCCGACCATCTAGGTCTATTGCCTCACATGACCTGAATTTTTTTTGCCCGTCACAGGTTCTCCAGGCTTGGCCGCTTTACGATCTAGCAATAGAACATGCGGTTCCTGATGACGTCCTGCACTTCCGGCAGCTTGACGTCCCGCCACGTGTCGCGGCCGCCCGACGAGCCACTCTCGGAGCCGGCCGCGGCTTCGATGTACATGCGGCCGCGCGTAGCCACCTTGTCAGCGTAGTACGCCGGGGGGACTGCAAAAGAACGCCCCGAGAGGTGGTTACTTGGACGAAGCAGACTGGCCGAGGGAGTTGTCTAAAGTACATGCGGCGGCGTCGCCCCCTTATTGGTGTAGTAAAATCCCCGGTTCGGAAGCTGGTTAGTGTAACGAACAGACTGGCTCATTGCTGAAATGTACGTAAGTCGCCTCGGAAGATGATGGCAATAACGAAGCAGACTCCTACTTGCTCAAGAGATTTACTTGGCGCCAGTGCGGCAGCGCGTCACCTTTGTGGATTCAGGGTGTGAATCCACAAGCCAGAGACAACCCGAGGGAGGCGAGGATTCAAGCAAAGCAGACTGCTTCTTGGCCGGTGGGACGGTCAGAAGGTAGGTGTCAAGCAGCTCGCATGGCAGAGCGTTTAGAACGCGGACGTTCTTTGGCACTGTGATGGTAGCGGCTAATAGGAGTTCACCATCTCGTCCTTAGTATCACAGCTCAGCTGAGTGGACCAGTTGCGGGCACAATTTGAGAGGGACTCACCGACAGATATCGACCGGGTGCATTTTGCGTAGCTGCAAAGCGAAGACGGAAAGGTCAGGAAGTAACGCACAGGGACAGGAGAAGTTCTGTGCAAGAATGACTTGCACAACTTCACGCACTTCACCAGCTTCAGAGCTTTCTCGTCTTCATTTGAGAGCCAAAACTTCGTATCTTTCTTTTCGAGCTCAATATTAAAACTCGTTCTTTTTGGAAAACTTATCTGCTCCTGATCCACTCGACCGGAATGACAATCACGTCTTTCAGAGAGTAAAAGTGTCGACCAATGGGATGCTTACACGTAGCACAGGTCGTTCGCCATCTCCTGGATGTCGTCAGCCGAATACCCAATCTCGTCATACAGCACGAAGTAGTGCGCCGGGCGGTTGGTCCCCTGCAAGGTCGTTACCCGCCAATCTCGTCAGATCTTACTTATCACTTTCCTTTCATGAACCTTGCAGTTTTCTGGGAGCAACCTCCAGACTAGAGATAGTTGCGAGTCATTTTAGAGCGCGCTAGAGAGGCGCCAATTTGCTGGAAGCCCAGAAAAGTCCCGAGTATCCGAGTTTATGGATTGTATGAAGTACAAGCATGCTGAAGAGAGGAGAGGAGCGAAGCGCTGGCAATTCAGCTAGATGTAACTTGGATGGGATCAGATGCGTTTTGAGTGCGGTGAACCGAAGCAAAAGCAGGATCTGGCGTTTCCAAATTATACTTGACGCTTCTCGCGCTTCGAGATATCTGCTTCTGGTTAGACTGGTGCAGCAAAAGAGAACAAAGACCTCGCAGGAAACATTGGTAGATTGAAGGACTGCTCGAATCAGAGCTTCATAATATCGGAGGCCGTAGAAGTACAGTCCGTGAGCCGTTACTTGCCAGGAGTCCCTTGTGCGAGTTGAGGAAGAAGTCGTTCATATAGGGGGAGCAGATGTCCCGGTCCACCACGGTGCCTAAACCGACCGAAAAGTTGGTTAAATCAAGGGTTTCATTGAAATCGAGAACCCAAATCCCGGAACTCAATGAACCAATTCAATTCTCGGTTGCTACTGTCTTTGCGCTTGTCGTATGCTTCCGAATCTTTCCTTTTTCAGAAAAGTCTTTTTCAGAAAGGAGCGCCTAAAGCCCTTCTAGAGCTCCTCTCAAAGCTCTCTGAAAGGCAGACGAAGTTGCAACAGAACGCGGCTAGCAAAAGCAAAAAAGGGCAATCTGCCCACGACAACGTGTGGCAGTTGCGAAGTTTCATTCGTGGGAATGCCTCCATACCGAGGCTCGTTTCAAGTGACCGGCCGCTTCCGCTTGAAGACAAGAAGGCAAGAATTTTTCCGGTGACTCATCGAGAACAGCAAGATCACTGATCCGACTATCGTCCAATACGTATGCAGCGCTACTTCTTTCCTACTTGGACATTTCATGTTCCTATCTGCACATCTGAAGCCCAACAAGGGCCATGACGTGGAAAGGAAGTGGAGGGCTTGTCCAGGATACGACAAAACAAAGCTGAACTGAACACCTGACCATCTGAACACCTGCCCAAATCCCGCCACACCTCGCTAAACCCTTCCCAAGCCCTTACCTGGCTCGGGGTTGTTGGGGCGGCCGGCCGCGTCCAGGCTGAAGATGCGCATATGGTGTTTTTTCTGAATGATGATGAAGGCCATCCGGGGGTCGTACTCAGGGTGCTGGTGCTCGGCGCCGAACGTGCGGATGGCCTGACGGGAAACCAGAAGCAAACAATCTTTTCAGTTACAATAAGATCAATTTGTTTGAGTGGAAACTGTGTAATGTTCATGTGGAATCCAAATATCAGGATCCAAGTTGAAATTGTCATGGGCGATCATCAAATGTGCGGAAAACCTGCCAAACGGTAGTCATGAGACCTTGCTACAAGGTAGCGAAGGGATGGGCGGTTCCGTGGGCGGTTCCGCTCTAAAGATTCGAAGAAATGGCCTTGCTTGCTGCAGCACTGGACATTTGTTTCGATTGAAAGCCCAACTTTGCATATAATCGATAAAAGAGGCTGCGAACGTCATATATTGACCGCTGCCCAGGGATCAAGCCGATAGCACACGATCCGCAGATGGCGTCTCCCCAATTCTATGTTGACTCTGCGGATTCCCATCGCCTTCCTTACCTTCGCCCAGCGGATGCACTTCAAGCAACGGCGTGACTTTTTTAAATCTAAACTCCAGATAATCCAAAAAGGTAACGCAAGCAAACGTCTAGTAAATAAAAGCAACGGCAAGGCGGGGTCTGGAGGGCGGTCGCGGCCGCGGGCGTCACTCACCCGCTTCATAGCTTCCACTTCCGTGTTCAGGACTGCGCCAAATTGCCCCTCGCTAACCCCGTCCCTGAAAGATCGTAACAAAGTAGAGCTACGAGATAAGTGCCGGCGATAGGAAATAAGCCAGGGAAGTAACAGAGAAGTGCAAAGATGGCATTGGTGCGGCGTTCTAAGCTCTTCGAGCTTTCAGAAATGTAGGTGCCTTCGAAAGAGACATCTTCCATTGAACAATGAAGCGCCCGTGGAAGGACCGTTGATAAGGTCCGGTCTTTCTTCAGATGACGTCGCAGTGACGAAGGTCGTACGAGCGCCCGACGGCGCGCGCGCACGCGCTGCGCTCACCTGAACATGAGGACGCGGTCGGGTGGCGCTTTGATGCTCTTGTAGAAGCTATCAAGCAGGTCTCTGCAAGGAAAAATTTGTCGATTGGTCCTCAGATTTTTAAGCGGTTAAAATGGTATTGATAAGGTTCTGATCGAATCGGAGTATGTGGTAGGGATTTGGTTGGTCATTTCTAGCCGCTACCTCGTCTGCTTTCTTCGAACAATTCAGCGCAGGTAACCCAAGAAGCTCATAGCATGGCGTTGCAGAAGTAATCCTCAGTTCACACTTCAAAATGATGACAAACTGGTCAAGCCTGGGCTACAGCAACCAAACGGCTGAGAATCAGAAGCTTTCGAAGAGCGCTCGCGCCTACTTGGTTGCGCTCTCCATGTTGTCGATGATTTCCCGGCGCGGCTCCTGGATGCTGATCACCGGACGGTACACGGACGGCGTCGGGCCGTCCAAACTGCCCACCACCTGCGGACGTCCGATTGGGGAGGTGACGATAGCTAGGAATGGATAGACAAAGTGTCTGATGGACCGTGGAAAAGGTGCATTCTGCCTTGTCAAACGAGTGACGATTCGAAACCCACTCTGTCAAGTGAACCCATGCTTCTTTAAGGAATCTTTGAGTGAGGTATGCATGTATCAGCGTTCAGGTAGCTGAAACATGAGACGCTTCGAAGCTTGTCCCCAAAAATGTGGGAACTGTTAGGATGGAGACATACGCAGATCGTTCAGAGGCCTATTACGAGTTGCCATGAAGGCGATTGTGGCATGTCCAGAAGCGTCCGAGAAGGAACCGAAAGAACTGCATTCAAAGCTTCTGGCATCAGCTTTTCGACTCACAACGAAACGTTTGGACATCGTCTTCTTTCTGTGATGAAGAATTGATTTGAAACAGTTGAACATCTGAAGAAGCTGGAAAGTTTAACCAGCGACCATTGATGGCTTCTTTCTTGGCGAAACCAAGTTTCTTAGACTCGACGGTGCAGGTGGCATTAGAAACGTCGAACGTGGTATTCCCTGAAGAGCGACAGGATTGTAACGCAGAGTGAAGGAGGTACGATCGACCAACTAGGCTTACTGTAACGCAAAGAATTGCCCCTCTCAAATTGCACCGTCTCTTAATCGTGCTTACCGCATGTCTCTTCAATTTAATAATAGTAGGAGCTAGCAACATTAAGCTCCAACACTAACACTCAAAACTTAACCCACAAAATTGCCCGCCCCGCACCTGAACCATCCTAACCCCCAAACTACCCTACCCGTTCCAGGCTGGTTAGCTTACTAAATTGCTATATCATGCTTACCGCAGCTACGGAAGGCACGTCGTCCCTGGCTCCCGGATGGGACACGTCAGCTCCGGCGATCACTGCGCAATAAAGCGGAAGCTTTTCCGTGAACAGCAGTCAAACCAAGATGAGTAGAGGAAAAAGGTTCCGGGATGTAAATCACGAAGGGCAGAGGAAATCCACTCGTTTTACAGGAATTCATTCTTAGTGGTTCTAGATAGAGGACAGGATAGTGGACAGGATACAAGATAAAAAGAGTGAAGCAGACAGTCGGCAGGTCAAAATTCAAACGGACGCATGTAAAGACGCGTGTTTCGAGGATGACAGTATCACAGGATTCGCAATCTAACTCAACGCCGGTGCAATTCGAGCGAGGGTCTCGGAGCACAATGGTCAGTCAAGGAAGTGAATTTGATGCCGAGCCGTCCGGGTTCACACGACCACCACACGCATCAGCTTTAGTAGCGGAAGATGTAACCAAGGAAGATCAGAAGAAAGTACTCACGAGTCCGCTTCTCCTTGAGCCGCGGATGCGGGCGAAGGAAGGCCGCGTTCTGGCCGCCGGTCTGCCGGAGCGGAACGGAATTTAGATAATGCGATACACATTGGGCCGTTTGAAATTGCTAGCGATGAGACTTTGACCGCAACAAAGACCTTGCTCAACAAAAGTGCGACGGGTCCTCTGTTGTGCCGGATCGCGCGATGGGCGATTTGTTTTCAACAAAGTTTCTCAGCACCAGAATTCACGAATCGTACAAAGCAACTCAAAACCCAATCAAGCAGTCCGCGCATGAAGTATAACGGATAAAAAAGCGCAGCAACTTTTGTTTGTGCCATCTAACAGAATGCTCGTCAGCCGGATACATTGCTTCCCGTGACGTGTGGTCTTCACGGGAGTCGCACATGCGTGCGCGCGCACCTTGACGTTGATTTTGAGCGCCAGGTTGGCGATGTACTGGAGCTTCTTCCTCTGGTCCCGCTCGCGCACCTTCTGCGAGCAGCAGCACTGCGAGATGAGGCCGCGCGCGACCTCGCAGTACGTCTTCAGCTCGCCTGCGCGGGGTTTAGCAGGGTTTTAGCGGAGGTTAGCTGGTTCTGGGAGGAGCTTAGCAGGGGTTTGGCAGGGATCTCAGGAGAACTCAACAGGATTGTAGAGACCTAAAAAATTGTTTTATGAATAGCTACAGGTGCACTCCCAAAGCGTGCAGTAGGCAGATTTCTCTCGGCACTTACTCGAAGGGCCCAGAAACTTCAAGCTACTTGGACCGCTCCCCGTGTCAGCTGGGAGATACTGGACGGCAAAACTCACTTAACGAGAACGCGTACAGCCCGTTGATTACTCAAATCACAAAGGTAGAGTAGGGACCGATCCGTCTCATTTCGGATATTTGAGTCCATGCATCAGCTTTTTGGATGCTTCAGATTGGAAGCTCACCGTACACGGGTTTGACTCCCGGGTCCAGAATGACGACCACCATTTGCAGAGGCGCGCGCCCCATCCGCGCGAGCCACGGTCCCAGCGTCCCGCTGACGTCATTCGGGTTTCCGCGGTCCACGGAGACGGGGTCGTCTAGCATCTAAAAGTGAAAAGAGACCGCAGGAGAGATATGGTTGGAGAGGGCGCTGCAGAATGAGAAATTTGTTTGCATCGAGAGATTAGGCCCTTCACTTTTACTGTCCGGGGCAAATCGAGCGGGAGATGCAAACAAGGGCGCGATAGCCCAGGACGTGAGGGGTGTAAACAGACGCGGATGCATTCAAACTTTTGCACTCCTTGTGTTATCAAGATAAAAGTTTTCAAAATATCGTTGGTGCATCACCAATTCTTGCTTTTCGCTCGAGGCTTCATTGAAACTCTGCACTCCTTAATATATCTTCTAAAGAATGCTTGGTGCATCATCAGTCCTTGTTTGGCTCAAGTTTTCAGAACCGGTTGTTTGAATTCCGACAGCCAAGATAACGGGACAAGTAAGCCGAATCTCAACCCACCACGCCGACAGCCTTGCAGCCCCCGATCAAATCGCCCACGAACCTCCGCGCCTCCTGTTGCGACACTTCTTTGGACAGGTTGATCAGCGCCCACGAGGTGACAGAAGCGCCCTTTAAGAAGCGCTGCACAGGTTGCGGCAGACAGGTTCGAACATTTAGTCAGGGTTTTCCCACCGTATCTTGTACTCAATATTGTGATGAGCACCCCCTGTTTTGACTGGGTCAACGTAAGCTGGGTAAAGCCTGCACCAGAAGCCGTCAGAATTCATCGAGAATCCAAGAATCAAACTCTCTCGCCTGTGAAAGCTCGGGAGCTGGAGAGAGCGACGAGACTAGGATTTGCGCATTTTTCTTATTAATCCTACTTTCTACTAATTCTCTTCCTTGTGGGTTTCTCTTCAATCAGTCGATAAACGCAGGCGACTTTTCAAAAATCCTGTGTACAAAGTTCTTGCCGTACTCCATGGAATTACCAAAGCGATCAAATGACAATCACAGAGCTTCTTCGGTCGGTCCAGGCGTGAAACATTTGCACTGAAATGAACTTTCACAATCAAAATCTTGGACGGAAAAAAACCGCTCCAGGAGTCGCTCACCGTATTTCGCAAGTTCCAAGCGCCGTCCTTCGACGTCACGGTCAGGTTTTCATACTTGAGCTGCAAAACGAACGTTCGTTTCATCAGAATCGATTAAACTCTCCTTCAAAAGACCCTTATGATTCATTTACAAGAGTGTGGCTCTTCTTTCCTCTGTGTATGGTGTCAATCTCTTCGAGCAGCATCTGAAGAAAGAGTTGCTAAGCACGTGCGCTAAAAGGGTGAGGTCTGACGGAACGGGAACGCTGACCCGTCATCCGGAGACCCAAGGTCCGGCGACCTTTCCGCAGAAGCGTCAGCTTAGTCGTCGCCAAATCTGCAGTAAATACTTACGGTGGGCGGATCCAACAGGCGGGCTTGCACTTCCATCATGCGTCCGTCGACTTTCATGCCAAAGCCGCGGACGTACGGATCCTCGTTGTACGCGTTGCTGCGGACGATCTGTTGCATGACGAGGCGGGCGTCTTTACTCCGTTAGCTTTCCTGGTCTTTCATGTCTCGTTGAAGAGTTGTGTCAAGATACCCGTTGAAGACTCTGCCAAAGTGTTTCATGGAGACAACGATCAACCGTCGCTTGTGGCCGTGCAAAAGGGGAACGCTGAGCTGCGTTTTGGAATGACGTCCGAGGCCTTTCGGAGGATTATTTCCAACGTTTGTTTCTAGATCTCTAGGATGATACAAGCGAAGGACTGCAATAGAAATCGAAGTAATCCTGATTTTCTTCGACACAGTCTACTACTGACAACAAGCAGAAAGGCTGTCTACGATAGCTTCCAGTTCACCGTTTGCTTCTTCTGAACACCTTCAAATAAGCTGAGAGGACTCGGTTGATCTGCCTCAAGAACACGAGCAGCCAAAACACACCGTGACATCTCAAGACTTTCGCATCTCTAACGCGCGAGGTTTTCTTTCCGTTTCACTAACCCACCTTGTCAGTGTCGTTGACCCTTTCCGACGGCTTCCTGTTCGCCTGCCTGATCATCCCCCCGGTTTGCCTCTCATTCAGTCGCGTGCACAGCTGCCCGGGCACCACGTGGCACACCTGCGTTTAGAATCACGTCACCTTTTGATCGAAGCCCACGTGGCGCACGTGATGCCATTCGATGTAGCTTCTGAGCCGAGCTAAGACATTGCCCGAGCAGCTCAACGCGGTGTCTTTTGGGCTCTCTCTTGCGCTGCGAATCCCTCTAATTCAGCTTTTTCTTCATCCGGGCTTTTACTCGGATTGATGACAAGTCTGAAGCGGGCTGGTTAAGCCTGTGGTCGTGGAGCCTTTTAACGATCATATAAGCGATCAGAGCGTCGTTCCTGAAACACAAAACGTTAGAACGCCAAAATCATGAACCCAACGAAACCCAGAACTAATGACACCTCATATTAGCAATCAAAAACCCAGAACTCAAATCTAACGCACGGTGGGCAGTGCCCGCATTTCTAGTAACAAAACTCGTAACCTACCCTGGTTAACTGACCCTCACCTCCAAGGGCAGCCTGCCGTTATTCCTAACCACCGCGCACTGTAACCGCGGATATTGCAGCGTCACATTGTACGTCTCCTGAAAATACTGCGCCACGCTCTTGGTGACTGGGGCCGCGTCGGTCTCCGACGGCTCGCCACGTGGCTTGATCGCAAAGCTGCAACGTGTGAAATAAGGTTGAGTACAAGTGCGCATCGGGCATTACATCAATGTTTTCTCGGTTTGCTCTCTTTCTGTCTCCATCATTGTCCTATCTTGACGGACAATGGGATCTAAAACATAAGTATGACTAGAACGGTAAAACAGAATTTGTCGAACTGTAAGGAAGCCCTCCGAAAAACTGGTGTAGTGATCAGAGAGGGGGCTAGATGTCTCAATGTTCGCAGATTCGGATAGCTTTATAGAATTATCTCGGCTGTCTTTTCGACCCACTTCTTCAACTCCAGGAGCTTATATGCAAAAATGATAGCTCATAAGCGACTGATTTTGCTGGATCATTCTTCATCTTGATCGACCAGCTTTGGCTACTTTTTACCAAACTAATAAGAGCAATCCAAGCCTAGCCGCTTGATCCTATTGTTCCAGAGGACGCAAGAAAGCAAAGCACTTCTGCCAAAAGTCCAAGCGACTAATCCACTGATGTTTTTCGAACGAGGTATTCCTAACTCTCCTGAAATCCTCCGCTGACTCCTCCCCCAAGCGCAGCACCAAGTACCCCCTCTTTGCCCTCATGTGGTCTGTCGTGACTTTCACTCGCTTCAATGCCTTGTTCGCCTGCAGATAGAAAGATCTCTGAGTTGTTCGAAGCAATCCAAAACACATTCATGTTCGGATTTCTGACGCTTGGGCACACACGGCGAGCGAGTTTTACGATCGTTTTGCCGTTCTCGAAGAGCTTCGAGATGCTCAAACAACACTGAGGAAAAATCTCCATTTGCGCGGAACCTTCTTTTCACTTCGAGGATACATTCTCTTGCTACTCAGATGAAAGCGACGCCCCTGCATGCTCTTTCACGTCCCTACTTCTGCCTCACAGATACGACCGCGACCCTTCGTTGCCACGCAGACAAGAATGACTGCACTTCGAAACCAAGCCCCCTGGACTTTTTCATACCACGGCGTCACTTCCTTTCTCGACTCCTCCCCCGAGGCTTTTGAAAGAAGCAAGAAGTTTTCTTTCTGCCCAAGAAGGTTTCAGAGATCTGGGCAAGTCTGTGGCGGGCTCAAAGCAGAGTTCGGTCAGGCGGTCAAATTTGAATGAGCCTAAATAATCTGCAACAAGGGTGCGAGAAGGAGAGCAGCCGGATTAGACCTACCCTGTCAAACTCTGTCGGGGTGAGCCTCTCCTGATCCCCAGGATTCAGCTTTCTACCCACCACCTTGGAGACGTACTCGATGAGGGGCCCTTCCTCCAGGAAAGCGGCATGGGCAACATCTGGTGGAAGGGGGAATGTAACGCTGAGTACTGAAGCAAGAGTATAGTCGGTGGATAGTCTAGCCAACTTTGCCGTTTTGAGAGATGGGTATGGATCTTGGATTAGTCAAACGTTCCACGAAGCCCAATTTCATAGTTCACGTGGCTGCTGCTGGTTCACCAGCGCAGAAACGGGCAATTCAAAATAAGACACTTCTGAATCAGGGAATCGTCGAAACCTTCAAGTCCCGTGGCTTGGTTTGTCCAGATCCTGTAGAGTATCTACTTTGCCCTCGAGCACACCCTTCCGCAATTCGAACCAAAACCAAAGTGCAGAGGAGCCCATCTACGCTCAACCTTAATTGAGTGACTATTGCTCGGAGGTTTTAAGGCCGCCCCGGTACACATATGAACCGCCCGGTACGATTGAACGTTATCTTCTTGGCAGGAGAAGGCGATCGAGTCTCGACCTAGGTTCCCGCCAAATGATCGCTTTCAGCTTGGACTGCCCGAGTCTTGGGATTTGCCCCGGTTAGCTGACCATGTCGCTAGCTTCCTTTGTGTTTAAAAGGCGGCTCGTCAGATTCAGCAGTGCAGTAGTTTGCCGAACCCACTTACGTCCAGCGCCAGCCGTCCCCTTTTGGCTTGGACTGCCCCGCGGCTCCCAATAAGGCCCCGGTTAATATCTCCAGCTTCGTTGAAAAGGCGTCTTACAGAATGTAGCAGTGCAGCGGATAAAGCTAACCCACCTAGGTTCAGCGCCAGCCGTCCGCCGTCCGCTTGGATTGCCCGGAGGCTCTGGTAGTGCCCGGGGTACATCACCAGGCCCTCGCCCAAAGAGCGCCGCGCCTGGGGTGGGCAAGCCAGGTTGAAGAACGAGCGGCCGATCACCGATCGCCTGCGGTGGACAGACAGAGGAACCGTTTAGACGCGGGAAGGCCGAAGGAATCTGACGGATTCTGCGGAAGATCACTTGCTATCAGGGGCCGAGGAGTGGGGCTTTGGCCGGTTTTTTGGAAAACGAACTGCATGCCGCAGAGATGAGAATTCAGTTATGAGAATTCTTAAAGTTGATTGAGAGCGACCAAGGAAAGTCGCAAATTTGCAGTCCTGAACGATTTGATTGTGTTCTGAATACCTGATCAGAATCAGTCGCGGCTCGCTTTGAAAGTCAGCCCATCATTCCGCTCGTCTTTCGACGATTGTACGAACACGGAAAGCTATGTTTGCTCTGGTATTCTTCGAAGTGTAACCACACGGTTGACAGATGGGCAAACGGTTTCATGACCAGATAGATTTCTTCGCGAAGGAAATCACACAAAGGATGGTTCACCAGTGTCTGCAAGTTTTCGAGCGAAGCACTAATGAAAGCACTTCGTGGTTCAAAAAGCAAAAGCTTGGATTCCATCGATGCAGAGGCATGCTAGAATGCGTCTGTCGATTTTAATCAACCTGGATCGGACTATATGGACGCGGGCGGGTGGTAAGGCGGGAAGCGCGCGCTTACGAGTGAGCGAGGCTTTCCTGCATGACCACGTCCAGGCCCTGCGAGGAAACAGCTGGTAACATGGTTAGAAGGGGTTGAGTCAGTCAGATGTCGGTTCAGTGCAAACCTAACTTGGAGGGCGTGTGAATGTTGCCGTGATAAGAGTTTGCGCCGCATGTCGAAGTTCTCTCTGGTCTTCGGATAATGTAGCCTAAGTCTTCACTTTGTGGGAAATCCGGCGTTGGCGACGGTGATCGCGACTACAAAACGAGGCGGTGCCGATATGGGTGAACGTTACTTTTCTCAAATCGAAGTGTCAAGCGCCATCCTCTGATGATAAATCACTTGCTTTTTTGCAATCAACAGACAGTACGAAGCACTGGGTTGGCTGGATTTTCTTGTTACAACCTTCGAGAAGCTCCAGAGGGCACAGGCAAGACTTCCCGCAAGCAGATTGAGTGAGCCGCGTGAAGATTGACTATGACAAATTAATCCTTCACGAGAGCCTTCGAGACCTCAATCTGACATACGAAGCGTTCGAGAGTTGTGGGCGAACTTTCTTCCCTTTTACCTGGATAGTATGCTGCGGGAAGTCAGCCGCGCGCCCCGTTCTGTTTTGAAGCGCTGCCATCAGTTCCTCGATCTTGAGCTCCGTTTTCTGCGCGAGCGTCACGTCGAACGCGCGCGCCTTTCCGCTCTCCCTAGGCAGGTCGACCAGCCACGTGCGCGCGTCCCGCGCGCTCACGTCTGCGCCCTGGCCGCCAACGGCGTATGCCGCCTTTCCGCCGTCGTATGTGCACATCTGTAGGCCCGGCAAGTCTTGCGCGTATAGCTCGCGCCACTTGTCGAAGATCGCGCGGTTCAGGGCTCTGGGGAGGTCGCGCTCCGCTTTGGCAGTCTCGTCCTTAGGGACAATCGTCACCTGCGTAGGGAAAGAGCATTTTACGTCGTGTGTAGCTAGTACTAGTCTGATGGGCAACAACTCGAGAGGACTGAACACAATATGGTTGAAGATTTCTCTCCTGCACAAGAAATTTGAGGAACAATACCTTATTTTGCCCAGAACAATCAACAGTCTGATTCCCAGGAAAAGCAGCGGATGAAAAAGAAAGCTGAAAGTTCTCGTGAGGGGGAGAGGCAAGTCTGCATCAATACCGACGCGCACCGTTTGGATTTCTCACAAATGTGCATCCTACGACCTGTGGTTATGTTCCACTAGCTCGTAAGCCAACGAACGGCCCAGCGGATAGGGGATACTTGGCTTAACCGTGGCAATTCTCGACCCCTCAATCTCAATCTCTTTCTCTTTTAAGACAGATTTTCACTGCCCATGTCAACCTCACAGTGCTCGCTGACAAGACACAACAAGCAAAAACATTCTTACAACAGACGAACGTGCAAATGACATACAGTCCCCGGCCAAAAGAAGCGCCAAGATTTCCGTGCATTCTCAAAAGTTTTACCTCATATTCTACCAGTGATATGTTTGACAGGTGGACTTTGTACAAGTTAGCTAGCAGCCTGATGCCACTGCCCTTCCCGCCGAACCCCTTCCTCCGCGCGAGCTCCAGAGATGGGGCTTCCGGACGCTCCCCCGGGGCTTGGACGTCCGCGCGGTGCTTCTTCTCCGGGGGCTCTCCTGCGGACGCCTCCGCTGACGCCATCTTGACGTGGCAGAAGCCTAAGCAAGGACCTCAAGCGCTTTCAGACGCCAGTACAAGTTAGAACGTTGCAAATTAAATCCGTTCTGAACGCCAAACCCGATAATAAGGGATTGGACTGAAGACTGCGGAAAGAGATGGATTCAAGCAAGTGCGTGGGGTCTCAGCGGCGCTCCACAAAGTAGACACCGTTCGCGGAGTTCGTTTTGTGGAAAGCCTAAGCTCGCAGATCTACAGTCTGCTAGCTTCTCCCAGCGTGTCTGTAGCACGAGGTCTCTCTGAAGCTCTGAACTTGAAATACAGCGGTAACTTAGTGCAGGTGGGTTGTCTAAGAAATCACATGAACCCCAGTATATCTCACACTTCCTTCAATCCCTGTAGTGCTCTGAAGCTATATTTAGAAGGCAGCTCTTTACAAAAGGTTCAAGGATTGGCCGGCTCGATCACGACACTCCAGCAAAGCCCATCGAAGCAATTCTCGTCGAAGAGTGACTGAACCGCAGTGACTGGACCCCGGACAAACCCAGTGCAACCTCCCGAAAAAAAGTCGGATGTGACGATCGCATGCAAGATCGTCAGAAGCGGAACTCGAAGCACGCCTCACCAGAGACTTCAATGTAGGTGCAACACCGGCTCGACAGTGTGCTGCAGCGGTCAGAGTCCGAGGAAGCACTGAAAGGCCTTATCGCGCCCACTTTCGTGTACAAGACTGCAGCGAACTGGCCATCACTCACGCCGTCTCTGCAATAGGGCGTCAGAAGCGTGCGGGCGGGCGGGGATGAAGCAAGGAAAAACCGCATAACGTGTGCCTGTCGAGCGACGGTTCATGCAACTCTGGTGCTTCATCAATTTCTGAGAAAAGCCTTTTCCCCCATGCGTCCGGCATGGAAGCGCTTGAGAAAGGTACGCTACGTATCCTGACGAGCCTAGGACAGGGCGCTGCTGCTTTCAGTAGATGCACGCGGGCGCGCACGCGGGGCGTGATCACCTATTTACGAGCACGCGTTCGGGGGCGCCCTGCGCCTGTAGAAGCTCTCGAGGAGGTCTCTACGAAAGAGTAAGATGTCAAAAGGTCTCAGGTGATCGGGCCTGCACGATCTTCCGTTGACTGAAAGTAACACCCTCTGGTCGACCTGGAGCAGGTTGGATTTCAAATCCTTCAGATTTGGATTTGTGACAACCTACCCTGCCGCATCTTACGTCCCCGTAGCTCATATTTGCAGAATTCTGACCACCCAGCATTTGCTGAACCTTATTTTTGCTATATTGATTGAGCAGAGGCTTAAGCACCGAAGTGGTTGGTTTCTCGGGGTGATGAAAGAGCGTCGTCCCTACCTGGTTGCATACTCCATGTTGTCAATGACATCCCGCCGCGGCTGATGGATCACCGGAGGGTACACGGACGGCGTCGGACCGTCCACAACTGCCCACCACCCGCGAACGTCCAAATGTTCTAAGTAAGGAGACTTGCTGATGTTAGTGTACTACGCCCGCTGAAATGTAAGTATGACTCTGCACTTTTTCTTCGCGACTCATATATGAAATTTGGCTGTCTGAGACCTCCTATATAAGAAAGACAATTGCGGAGCTACGCAGCACAGCAGTAGAAACCTGTGGAGCGTCCAAGGCCGGTGCATGCAGAATAATCTCCCAGCTTCATAAGCGGCTCGATCAACTAAGCACCGCTTGTTGTTCTCGAACGAGCCAGACGTCACAACGGTCATGCTCAGCGATATCCGATAGATCTGGCGCTACTAATCTGGACAGATTTCTTCATCGTAGTGTCCATCATAGAAGCCGATTCCAGGAAGCCTGGGAATAGTGAGTACCCATGTCTAAAGAACGTCGCTTTCTAAAAGGTGTAGCCTTTCCTCGTCGTGTCACTCACCGCAGCTGCGGATGGGGCGCGTCGTCTCAGGTGCCCGGTCGAGACATGTCAGCACCAATTCTCGATCATTGCGCAACAGTAAAATAGGTGTAAAAGCACCAACGTATAGTCAAACCATTCGACCAAGAGATCGACTCATCGCGCCTAGAGGTTTGCGTGATCCGATCCACGATCCAATCGCTTGACCACGATCTAATTGTCGGTCATGTGTGTGAAGTAAGAATGCTTAACAAACATCTACATTCAATGAACAATCGCCGTCAACCACCACTGGCAGTGAGTGACCTCATTCATTTAGGCCACCGGGGAGTCACTGTGCCACGGTGCATCATGATGCATTCACCATGCGTACTAACGTACTTTGTAGCTTGGTGCGATTGCCGTTGCGGTGAAGTCGAGCTCGGAACTGAGTGACGTGACAGCGTCGCGAGAGGGTATAGAAGGAGCGCAACAATCACGGGTCTCCATTCGTGGCCCAAAAGGCCTGACAATCTCATCCATAGAAAAATAAGATACTCGCAGAACTGGTGTATATCTGAATGATCAAGACAATCGACCAAGATAACTTTTTTTGCTCTCACCTTCCACGAGATTGGACCACTACACCAGTTTCCATCTCCGAGGTGAAATTGTATTCAAAATAGTTGTAATACGATGCTACTTTAGGAATGTAATTAATACCGGTTCGTTGGGCAATCTCGCAAACAAATTCTCCATCAGCTTGATAGCTCCCAACATTCCAAAGACTCTCCCCTATTATTGCCCGGTCCATTACAAACATCCCAGTGTCAATGTGAGCCGGCTCAATCCTATTGCCGTGCAATACGTGCCCTAGATAACCCCTCACGTTCTCTGGTTGTACTTGGTCAAAGGTGTTGATATGAGTCACCTTGAAGTCCTTGAGTATGTCCCAAAACCTTCTATGTATAATAGTATCGTCGTCCAGGAAGTAAATGAGGCCTTCGGCAACTTCTTTCAGGCCCCTGTTTCTTTGTGGGTTGCCCGATATCCCTTCTGAATGATAGAAAACCTCAAGCACTTGAGTGTTACTTGAAAAGCGGGGGGCAACGTCTGACAACTTAGCTGTGTCGTAGACAATAACCCATTTCGAAATACACTGCCATTTCATACTTGCTACAATGGCATCCCACTCGATCTCGGAGCTGACCCTGGCGGACGGAGTGATTATGTTGATCTTAACAGGACACTGTGTAATTGTATCATCAGCCTTTGAAGCAATACCTACGGGCACAAAGAAATGGAAAGGGTGGTTCAGGCCCAAGGAAGTGGTTAACCCCAAAAAGGGATTGCACAAGGAAGTTGCAGATCGACCGACCTGAATCACATGCACTATTTGTCCCCCGTTGGACACCACAGTAAAACTACATAACAAAGAAGCCCTCAAACTTGTTGCAGCCACAGAGTTGCTCAAGGTACCAAGTTCGTGCAATAAAATTTCGAGGTCATCGCCAACCCGTTACTTGATGCAGGCTGGCCGACTGCAGGGTGCACCTCTGGCACTCTTAGATTCGACTGTTCTGATAATAAAAGGGAGTTAATTTTCTCCCTCCACAAAGCAAACTGGTGTGAACCTTCCTGAGATGGACAAGAGTTTTCGTATTATTTTAAGTTCTTCTACTACACACTGGCAATGAAGGGGATTGTGGGATAGAAAGGAAGAGAAACCTGAGAGGATCTTGAAATCTGCCCCACTTGTAAACCACAAAAGGCTGGTCCCACCTATGACCATACTCATCTGCAAGGGTACAGAAAAAGTAGATTTAGCATGGAGACGACATCCATTTGACCAGAGGATGTATATCGAATCTTATGGCAGGCTAGTTATCAAGAATTTCAACTTGATGCTAACCCATAAGGAATCAGGTCCCTGAAGGTGTTATTGAATATGAAAACACCAGCCTGTTGAGAGTATCTCCTCTTAAGATCGATTCAATAGACACAGATACTAGCTTTCTGTGTCAGTGGATTTTTTATCCCCATGCTATTTCCTCTCGCAAACATAAGCAACAGCCTGTGACAGACAGACCCACCAAACCAACCAGCCAGACCACTGGGTTTGTAACGAAAGTATTCAGTGGCTGTGGCTCAATTTGAGGTGGTCTAACGCTTAATGAGGCCACCGCAGGCAAGGCCTTTAGAGCATAGGTCATGGGCCATCGACTTTCCATCAACTTGCAAAATTGGGAATGCGCCAATCAAAAACGCTCGCAACATCGATTCATAAAATCACTTTCCACAAGGCTGCAATGGCGCCGTTCTTGTTGATAGAATGCTTGTGCTGAATATTTATGATAGAGCTCTGCCTTTCAATGCTAGGCAGCTGGTCAAAGGTCAGAGATTGATCAAGACTCACCAGAAGGAATGCCATTACAGAGGTCAAGACGTGACCATGACATGGGCCCTTGCTTTGCAAAGCCGGCAGTGGTAGCCACCAGAACATTTGCCCCACCATTTCTGAATTGTCAGTGCCAGCTCATGATTAACCGGGTTGCCTTAGGCTGTGGTCAACAGCTCAAACAGGGACCACCCAGCGCCCCATGACTGTTGTGGCCTGCCCATATCTACACATAACTCTGTAAACCTCGACTGGCCGCTAACACAACATTCAGAGTACTTTCGTGGACAATCAATTAACGATTTCCCTCGACATTAATACTAGGAGGTGTTGAAGGCCGTCCCGCCCTCACCCCGCCAGAATTTATTTCCTGTTCCTGTCAACGCCCGGGTCGATTGTGCAAAAGAATAGGCTTACTGTTTTAGAAAAGTGGTAAGCTTACCGCCCTTTCGCCTCACATACCTTCAAGGAAGAAGACGACGCATGATGGCGAAAGGAATTGCCCAGACTCGGAGGTACCCTACTCCCAGAGCACAGACTGAGAAGGACTCTGAAGACTCTGACAATGAAGCCTGAAGGTCCAAGGAGCGCACAGCTATCCAGACCTCGAAGCTCTGGCCCTGGGAGCCTGGGAATCTTTATCGGTCCCACTCAGTATGCGACATGACATTAATCCCGGCAATTTGATTGGGCCGCGTGTCAAAAAGACCACGTGTCGATCATAGACCGGGGTCCGAGTCGCCGGAAATAGAATTTGATGCAACGTCATTTCTTCGTCACTTCTCGACTGTCTGGAGATCGGACGGTCAGAGTGAATCAAACACTGTATCGAACGGCCATCTGGGGGCCGTTCGATAATGCTGATATCGTCTTATAACGCTAAAATACTCTCCCTTATATCTCTCCTTTTTCCTCTTTTCTTCTCTCTTTTCTGCTTTTCTCTCTTCTTTTCCGTTGTATCTCTTGGCTGTGAGTGGGGCCACACCTGTGATTCGCCTTGAACTTGAAGTTGAGGGATCTCAGATCTGCGAAAGCGACATTGCATTGCCGTCCGATGAGAGTTATCAACCTTTAATCGCCGCTCGATCGTAAAAGCACAGAACACGGAAGAAGGGGCCTAATCACAACTCGCAGACCATCGACAGACTGGAGACCCGTCCTGGTCAAGGACAATGCCTATCATTGCTACAGCAGCCATTGTGAAGCTGAAAGCTCAACTTCTTGCGGCAATACACTGCTCAGTGCTCCTTCCTTCTTTTGCAGCAGTCTGCAAGCTTTTAGGAGTGTTCTTGAACCGTGACAGGCCAGGCTGCTTGCTACGTGGGGATACAGTAATATTAATGTTGTAACGACGTACCGCGGCCGGACATTGGATAAGATGTATTCATGTATCGGATGTCAGAATACGGTATTCCAAGAAATTGCGTCAACGCGATGGCATCGCAAATTGACCGGATTGGTACTGATGGACACTTCTCGAATCATTGATGCCAGGACACTTCTCCATGGATCTTTATTGACTGACCCGTGCACATCAAACACATGGGGCGGGATCACATGATGATGCAAACTCCTCTCATGACTTTCATTAAGGAGCCGAACTTAGGAGTCGAATTTCGCAACTCTGTTTTATTGATGATGATGAGATAAACCTCACGTCCGTGCAGCCCCGCTTATAAAGGTAGATTATTTCCATCGAGTTTCCGAACATATCCTTCGAGACCGGTTCGAGGTGGCTCGCTTCTAATGCAATTCTCTACTTCACAACTCAACTTGCACGTCTCACATATCGGCAGCATATCTATACAGTCTGTAGGCTTAAGAGACATGACCGACGACACACTATTTAACAAATGCGACTTCTTTAGATAGACCCGACTCTACTTTAGGTCCTCGATTTTGGTGAGGCGGAGGTACTCCACGCCTGAAGGCACCGCGCATGTCTTGTATCCCGGGAAGTGCTTTTGCGCGTCCTCCTTGGTTACAGTGGGCAGCAAAAACGCGGAGCCCTTCATGCCGATGCTCTCGTGGTTGTTGGGCCAGTTGGCGGGGAGAGCCTGTGGGCCAAAACACAAGCAACGTTTAAAGACAAGTCCATGAAGGAAGCAATCACCAAGGGCGAATACAGCAGTGTCTTTGCAAGGCGCAATTTCCTCTTCCCTTTCAAGATTGAGGTGAGAAAGAAGCAACGGGTGCCAGTCACCCTGAGGAACCGAAAAGTCAACGTCCGAACGCCCTAATGGAGAAAGACAGCCCTGGTGTTGTTAAGAGCGGACTCCTCCACGTTGTACGAGAGTCGAATTGCAAACGATGGGTCTCTTCGAGAACTAGTCGGGCCTGTTGCTGGCCAAAACTGCTTAGTTACGAGTAAGCAGCAACGATTCCCAGCTAGTCGAAACCAGCCCTGATAGATCCCTGTCAGTCCCAAACACAGACATCGCACTGCAGGGACGCTGGGCTTACGATGGAGTGCTTGGCCGAAAGCATGAGGGCGTCAGTCACACGGACAATCTCGTCCATGTTACGTCCAACAGAGGCAGGGTAGTTCAAAGACAGCTTCAGCTTCTTGTCGGGGCCTGTCAATGGAACGTTTCAAGTGGTCAGCTCTCTGCATTTTTGGCAAGCCCGGCAGAGTGGACATGAATCGAGGATTCCAATACACAGTTTGTTGGGTTCTGAACAGGTAGCGGCAGTGCTATTAGTGATGATTAAGCCGCATTGACAAAGTCGCCATGTAAGTTCTGCTCATCAAAGGTAATATGAAAACAAAGACGTCAAATTTGACCTCCGTGGAATGGAAACTAGACTCGAAAGAAGAGCAGTCCAGTACGCCGATCAACAAGTTTCCAGTCAGGTATGTCGAGCTGGGACAAGCGTCAACGAATCTCCGATCTTGCACCTCTACAAATCGAGAAACGAGGAAAAGCTTTGATCAATGGCCGACTATTCTGGCTGCAAAACTCCGACCGAACGGAGTACCTAGCTTGAAACAGGCCTACAGCAGCACGTCCGATGCATGTCACTGAGTAGATACTTCCTCTCATCCGGTCTTGAGGATTACACCACTAAAAACTTTTTCAAGAGAACAGACGGAACTCAAGGAGAACTCGGATGGCATCTCACCGACGATGAAGACGGCGCGGCAGGTGAGGGGCAGGCCCTCCTTGTCCTTGATGGTGGGGTCCAGCATGCCATACTTAACGCTGATCTCGCGCGTGGGGTCAGCGATGATGGGGAAGTCGATCGTGATCTTGTTCTCGCAGTGCGCCACCACATCCTCCAGCCACTTGGTGTGGCTGCTCACCTGCGCGGAATGGGGCAACACTTCAGGGTCACCACAAGGACACATTTTTTTGAAAAAGTTTCCTGCTAGCAGCGTTATTTAGACTTACATCCAAACCCGGATTGAAACCGTTCTACAAAAAATCTCTTTAAAAATCCTCATACAGAAATGGCATCTACTTATCACTGCTCCGTTCCCTTTCCCAGCCAGATTGACAGCGTGGTTCTGCTAGGCTGAGTTGTCAACATAAACTGCGGAGGAACACCAACATCTTGTCCAAACTAACTGGCAGTACACTGGCTATTTATCACGCGAGCGTGCTTTGAGATATGAACCTTCCAGTCACCATCCATTTGAGTAAGATATCCCAATTTTGAGCTTGCTTCTACCCATTTCATTTTTAGGGTTTGCAATTGAGTCGCTGGTCCAGGTTATGGGATGGAGTACTAACCGGATCGCAGGAGAGAGTGGCCAGCTTCACACCAATGGAGCTCAGGTAGTCGTACTTTAGCGCCAGTCTCCCAATCTCGGTGGTGCACACCGGCTGGAAAGAAGCGAAAGGATAATAAGTTGAGCTATGAAGGGGCGGGAGAAAGGGTGCAAACCTGACATTCAAGAACAGCTTTGAAGAAACATGCTCAAAAGCAGTTAATTCCAGATCCCTTCCAGATGCTTGAAGCGACACAAGCATAGATCCTTGTGAGGTTTTGCAACCAAAGGCATGCTTGCAGACTGCCGGCGAAAACCCCGAGTCGGCGATCTTCAGGTTGTCTTGTTCGAATAGGATTGCTGGGAATATGGGGACTCTCAAAGAATGTCTCATCTTGGTCGTCTGCACACGTGAGTGTAACTGATCAACAGGCCGTTGGCAGCATTGCGCAGCCCAGATTGATTTGGAGACTCACAGTGAAGTCAGCAGGGTGGGAGAAGAGGATTGCCCAGTGGCCGTCAATCCACTTGTGGAAGCTGGGCATGGGGCCCTTGGTGGTTTCTGCGGAGAAGTCAGGGACAATGTTGCCCAGGCGGAGCACCTGCAGGTTGAGGCAATGCATTAAGACAGCACGTACTAGATCAGAAAGGAGCAGGAACTTTAAGGTAAGTACAACCAGCACATCATTAGGAGGGTGCACTCCTCCTGCAATGCCTGTGTTCAAAGCAGCTGTCGCGCCCTGTAGGCATAGATTCCTTGCGCTCAGGCGGGTTTATCCGGCTAACTAGGTGTACAGGATCAGTACACGGATGCTGACTGACAAGGCCAATCTGGAAGAGAACAGCAGCACAGAAAGATTGTTTGAGATCTGAGCTTCATCAGACAGAGCGGCTGCGGCGTCGCGCTGATGTTGCAACAGAAGGAAGAAGAAGAGTATCTTACCCCATCGCTAGAGGTCTCAGGGTACAACTTGGCATAAGCGTCAGATCCTGAGGGGATAGCGCAAGACATCTTGGCAAAACTGAGAGGTTCCGAAAAGGGGTTGACAAGATGGAGGCAAAGGACTGGCTGTTGGAAGCGGCGTGCAAGGTGAAAAGGTGGAAAGCTGTTGTTGGTTGCAAATGCAGGAACAGGGCACAGATTTATAGCTGTCGGCTGCGCGGGTGGTGCTGGTTGCTTGCTGCAGATGGCGTCCTGCTGTTGAGAAGCACGTCCGACCAAGTTACCAACTTGAAGGCGAAGTGCAATCTACTTGCAAGAACGTGACGACTTTTTGCTGGTCTCTGGAAGCAGTAGTCTTGCAGCTACTGCTCTTCTGACCCCTCCATAACGGTCCCTGCTGGCCAGCGGGCAGCTAGAGACCAAGGGGCCAGGGCGCTTGCAAGCCAATGCCCATATGGGCCCATTGGCCCTGGGAGAGCACACGAAATGTGACGCCGCGAAAATGACCTCTTTCGCAAAATGATCACATGTGCCAGTGGATTTTTGGCCCTTTCGGACATTTTGACAACAAGTTTTTGGGGCGGACGTCCGCAAATAACTTGATGATCAGCGGCAATCAGAATCAAACGTCCTAAAGTACGCCACGCTGCCACGTGTCGCAAGGCGAAGTCCGCTGCAATTTTCGTGGGGATCACGCAGAATCTAAGCAGGGTCACTTCTCATGTCATCCCGACTCATGAGACTCGGAAGTCATGAATCGTCATGGGGGCGTTTTGTCCGCAGAGCTGAGCTCCAATCTCCAAGCCTTGAAGGGAATGATTAAACTCACTGCAGATCGCGATGGATGGAGACACGTTCCTTCAGAATATGGACGGCAGACAAGAAGCAGAAGGGTCAGGGTTGCGTGGAGGCTAAGTAAAATGTTGCCATGAATGTATTTCCCTCTCTGCCGGGAAAGTGTCCAACTTCTTTCTGTTCGTTAGCAGCTCTAGCTGAGGCCATGCACAGAGTATACTTACCGCTTGTCCAGCCATTAAGAGCAGCGCATTGGCTGATGGAGGCCCACAGCATTCATCCATACTTGATGCATTTGAAAGTGCAGGCAGCCTGATTTGCTCCAGACGCTTTTCACCCCGGAAAAGACTTTGATGAAAGCTTTTAGATACTATCCCGTAAAGAATCCTCCCTTCTCCTTTTAATCAACTTTTGCACCCATATAAGAAAGATTGTTCGTGTGGAAAGGGCATATGCACGGAACAATCAGCGATAGATGGATCAAAACTGCACAGGTTCTCAAGGACCATTTGAGCACATTTTGAGCATTCCCTTTTTCGGAAAGCCTGCTGAACAGCCCGCAGTTGCTGTGGAACTGTAAGTCCAGGTTGGACTCTTCTAAGCTTTGCACAACCAGACGTTCAGCTGCTGAAGCGAAAAGACTCCTCTCAGACAGCAGCCATGAAGGGCAAGCTGTATGCTCTGACCGTCGCTGCACTTATCCTGTTTGTGGTTGGCCCAAGCACTGCCAGTTCACTGGACATGCCCCTGGAGGGTATCACGCCTGGAAGAATGAAGCAACTGGTGAGCAAGTGCAAGGAACTGATTGCTACACTTTCCTGCTGCATCCCTGTCAACATGGTGCCTTTTCTTTTGTATGACCATCTTCTGTGTCTTAGCATGCTATCGGCAGATTGGCTTTGGATCATTCTACAAGTCTTCAGAAGTCCTTGACAACACCACTCATCATGATCAATTTGGATCTGGAATTTATAGCACAAAGTATTGGACTCAGAGCTCTCCAGTTTCCCAAAATTGCGTGCTTGCCTGCGCTCCATGGTCCTGCGCTTTTAGCCGGCTCGCTTTTCTTCTGGTCATCTAAGCACTGTCCATTGGTTACTCTCAAGCTCCTAAGCTCAAAGAGCTTTACGGTGCACTGAAAGTAGCTGACTGAGACGACACGACTGCTTTTCGCAATATGCGTTTCCATGTCAAGAACGATTCTCATATCAGTGAGCTTTTGATGGACGGTAGGAAGTCCGATTGCTTGGAACTGACTGCCAAATTGAATGGATTGTGTGTGAAGAACGTACAGTGGAACTCACCTTCTAATGCACTTGCCATTTGCAGTTTGAGGACCTTGCTGCATTCACCGACTCCGCCCCTCCGTCCGTCACTCGGCTCGTGTTTACAGACACAGACATGCAGGCCCGCAAGTAAGCGCGGCATCGTCCTTGGAGCCATCTCCCCTTCTCTTTGCATGGTGAAATCTTGCACTCTCGCGCTTTTGCAAACACGATTAAGGCTGATAAGGCTCCAGCAGATTGCAAACAGGTCGAATGGGTGTTCGTCATTTTTGCTACACTGCAAGGCAGCTTGGAAAGGGGTGTGACACAGACGAAGCTAGGCAGTAGGTTCATTATTTTCTCACTTGGTGTCCTTGCGGTGGTCAGTATACAAAGACCGCTTGCTGCTTTGCAGACAGGATTTTGCACCTTCGAATCCACTTGAAGTATATCCGCAGCACCCCACTCAAAATAAACATGAACCTGACTCCTATACACTTGCAAGATTGTGACATCAACGACGAAAATTAACCGTCCTTCTTCAGTCACATGCACTTCGTTCCTGGTCGACACACATTCATCCGGAAAGGAGTTGGTCAGGCCGCCCTCTATGCTGCTCTTCAGGAGGCTATCCCAACAATTGTCCATGTCTGCCATATTCGGCTGTGCATTGAGTAATTATTGAGGTTCCCACCCTGCAGGCACATAAAGCAGCTGATGACAGATGCAGGCCTAATAATAAGAGAGGACGCAATGGGGAACATCTTCGGCCGTTGGCAGGGCTCAGATCCAGATGCAGGTACGATTGTCCCTGCTGAGGCCTGTCATGAATCCCTTCAAAGCATTTGATCCCGATGACGTTGATGGCCTGGGAATCTCTCTCTGATCTACGAAACTTCAGCATGCAACAGTCTGGGCCTCCTGTAAGCTCGAAGGGCTCCTAAATCAGTCTGGGCGTCCGCCAAACTGCGTCTTTCCATGGGAGACGATGTCCCATTCTATTCCGGAAATTAGCCGATTGTCTCGGAGGTTTGGAATTGTCCAAAGAGCACGTGACCAGACATCAGCGCTTCTTTGTCTTTCAATGAGCACCTAGTTGAAGCTTATCCAAGGGCTTTTCCCTTGTCCGTCCGCAGGAGTCGTCCTGTCCGGATCGCATTCTGACAGCATCGTCCTGGGGGGACGGTACGATGGCACGGTCGGGGTCCTTGGGGCGATCTCTGCAATCAAAGCACTCCGAGAAGCTGGCTTCAAGCCGGTGAAGTCGATCGAAGCCATCATGTTCAGCACGGAGGAAGCGTCCCGGTTCAACATACCTTGCTTGGGAAGGTGCGTTGCTCCGTTGCTCACAGCTGCCGTCCTTATACGTCCTCACGCCGTGCGCTTTTTCTGCTTGCAGTCTGTCGGTCCAGCTACTACTTCTTCCTTCTTCCTTTCGTCTCAGGTAGAGTACGCAATGATACGGTCGGCTGCGTGGCTTGAAAGTCCTCCACTGGCCTGATGAAACAGATCTTCTCATATCAGCTGTGCCAGTTCTCAGGAAGTATGTTCCTGCCGGTTGCATTTGCATTAACGTCTTCAACACCTGTCGACCTCAGGGTACCGGCCGACATGGCCAACCAAGTCACGAAAGAGAAGGACGAAGATGGGCAGAAATATTCAATTTGAAACTTTTGAGGGTCAAACAGCTCGCGATGATTTTGCCTGCAGTCGGGGGATCACCGGTCACCTGGACCCGAGCATACTCGACTCGTACAAGGACGAGAACGGCACCAGCTTCGCAGAGGCGGCGCGCGCCGTCGGCTATGCAGCGGCATCTGCGCAGGTAACATACTGTACTGAATTGCCTTCGTCTTCATTCCGTGATAACCTCCAATTAAACTGCCCGTGATTGCGGCTCGGCTTCGACCGGGTCAGGGGGAATCTGCTGTAGTGTCTGCGCTTTGACTTGAGCTGCGCAACCTCCTTCCGATCGAGAATCAGTTAGAGTGTAGGTTTAAGCGGAGCAGGCAAGACCTTGCCGCGAAAACATAGAGTCTGCTCATAGCTTAACGACCATATCTTATGCGTTCAGCCTTGGTTCCGAAGAAGCTCATGTCGGAATGTACCCGTTCCTTTCTGTGGGCTTCTTCGGAACCCTCACGTCTTGGATCCTGACCCACTTGGCGGCTCTTTTGCTCGGCTTGTAACGCTCCTTGGACCCGCTTCCGTCACAGGAGTTCGCCGATAAAACTCACTGGAAGAGAACGGGCCTCAAGATCGACGCGTTCGTCGAACTGCACATCGAACAGGGCCCGCACCTCGAGGCGGAGGGTTTCGACATCGGCATCGTCGAAGCCATCGCTGCGCCGTCGATGATCCGCGTCGAGTTCACTGGGAAGGGCGGCCATGGAGGAGGGATGCCAATGCTTCAACGGTGAGTTTCTTTACTGCACATTCAATTAAACTTGGCCGCTTGACCAGATTCCTATTTGAGCCGATCGCAACTTCTTGCCCGATGCGCAAAAAAAACGGATCCTCCAATGACTCAGATGCGGCTCATCGAACGGCCCAGGTTCTGCGCTCGAGAAAAGATCTGCGACTGGCTCGATTCGGACTCGGGTCAGGCGGCCAGGTTTGACCGAACTTGCAGTAAAACCTCGAAAGCCGGGGGTATCAGAAGCCTCGTCCTGTCGAGGGAGCGCTGCGGCGACCACGAGGCTGCGGTAACGGCGCCGATGTCGCCGCTAGAGCCGTCAGCAAATCTGATCCGCAGGAAGTGAAAAAGCTCAACACGGCTTCTCTGTCGCAGACAAGAGACGAAATTCAGACAGTTTTTCAGATCACTTATGCGGATCGAGAAACAACCCCTCCACGAAACACCCTCGCCCTTGGAGCATTCTCCGGACAAGCAAAGAAGAATCTCGCCAGAATGACGTCTTAGCCCAAGCTTCTCGAACCCGCAAGATCGACTTGCCAGGAGAAGTGTGTCCCATGCGAAGAATCTGAACCTTGCACCCTATCCGCAGAAACGACCCTTCAATGGCCGCAGCCGAGCTGGCGCTCACCATCGAGAAGGCCGCGCTCGGAACAGGTGCGATCGGTTGTGCTCCTCGAGTTTGCTGCCTTCCTTTTGGCGCGGTGCCGTTCACAGCAGTGTCAAGCAGCGTTGATGTGACTGTCCAAAAGCCTCGGGGTCCTCACCTTCTCGCGGCAGTTCCTCTTTGAGCAGCTGTTCTGCGGACCATCTGGACATGATTGATTTTTGAGACTGCTCCGACTAATTTTCTCTGTCCTTCAACACTTGAAGCGTCACTACAATCGGGCCCTGAATTCAGTACCCCTAGAATGTTCCCTTCTAATCCTGGCACCATTTGCAATTGGTTTAGGCAGACCCTTCGACCGGAGTCCCCATCTCTTTCATTCCAAAGTCTTCGCGACGCTCGCGCAGAATGCGACCAGTTCCTCGAAACCTTTCCGACAAGCTTTGACGCAGTTCGTGGTTTACCACCGCAGGAACAAATCCAGATACCAACTTTAAAGACACGTGTCTCTCTCCTAATCGCAGGAGCTTCTGAGACGGTCGCTACAGTCGGGCTATGGGACCAGTCGCCCAACATCTACAACGCAATCCCCCGGAAAGTGCAACTGGACATCGACATCCGGGACACCGTCGGGGAGCGGCGCGACTCCGTCATACAGACCGCCTTCGATTCCGCGGCGGAAATCGCCGCCCGGCGGAAGTGCGGCTTCTCGACCAAGACGCTGTTCGCGTATCCCCCGGGCACCGGCGACGAGCGGGTATGGCATCTGACGCTCTCTTGCCCCTCTGCGTCTTTCTGCTCGTGAGACCTTATTTCCCTCTCATTTCCCCTTTTGTTGACACCTGCTGCAGCGCCCTCGGATCCTGATAAGATTCGTCTGTTTCTTTTTCCGGCCGTGTCCTTCGTTGGACAGGTGCTGCAGAATCTGAACGACCCAGCCCTTGATTCTCCAAATCTCGCGTTCCCATTCCTAGACGCTTGTATACCAAGCGCCGAGCGAGCCCTCCGTTGTAATCCCAAAGCGCGCCACTGAACACTCGGATCAACTTGCTTCGCATTCTACTAGTTGCTGAAACAAGAGCGCGCGTTCCTGAGCCTGTCGCCTGATAACGGAGGAAACCAAGTGCTGCTCCTTTCACTCTGTTAACCACTGAACGATCATGCCGGATGATGAGCGGACTCGTCTTCACTTTCCAGATATTGAACGCAATCGAGAATGCTTCGAACAAGCTGGGCCTGTCGAGCAAGCGCATGATTAGCCGGGGCTACCATGACGCAGGTAAGGGCGGGGAGTGAGAAAGGTTCAGGTTCATGGCAGAATGTTCTTTCCCCAAGAGCGAATCTTGTGATGGACCAGGAATGAAGTATGTCGCGTTAGAGTCTGGTAAGCGGGCATGGTCGAGCCAAGCGTACTTACCTTTGCACAAATTGGCTTTTACGTTCCATCATTTTCATTGGTGTTCAGAACGGTCACTGCGGTTTAAAGGATGCCGGAAAGACTTCCAAGAAGTTTGTGTCTCAGTTTTCCATTTAAGAAGTGTTGGCACTGGTTAACGGACCGCCGGTTTAACCAACAAGTCTCGTGCGCATAATTCGATACTGTTCTGTAGGTACTTCTCTTTTGTACAGATCGCGAACGATTGGCGTGCAATGTTCTATGCTCCGAACACCTCTGGTACGATAAGTGCCTCGCAGTTCTTCGCCCTGATATGTTGATTGCATACGTCGCGTGTGCAGGCTTGATAGCGCAGATTGCGCCCACGGCCATGATCTTCATCCCGTGTCGTGACGGCCTGAGTCACCATCCGGACGAGTACGCCTCTCCCGAGCAGATTGCTAACGGTGTGAAAATTCTCGCACTCACACTCGCTCAACTTGCTGGGAGCCCGTCTAGCGAAGGCAAAGACGAGCTGTAGATTGGCTTGCTCGCGCGCTCACTTGGACAAAACAAAGAAAGCACGCTTTTAACAATTACTTCGAGCTTCGTTTGAAAGTTGCGTTACTGGTCTTGTTGTTAGTCTTGTAGGCACAGCGGGAGTCTGCAATGATCCTGATGCTCATACATAGGGGCTCAACATAGTTTTTGGCTGTACAAGCAGGGCATACGGTCGTATCTGCATTAATCTGTTGTTACAAGCAGAGGTAACACCGTAGGTCCATCCTAACAAAGCGAAAAGGAAGGAAGTGACCGAAAGATGACAGCATGGTACTCAGCGGCACGGACTGCTGCAGAAGAACAACTGCTACATTTCAACACATCACGTACAGAGACTCCGCAAGGCGTCGCTGGCTTGCTGCCGTCTCGGAGAACACTAGAGGTGACAAGGCGAACTTAGATAGCATATATATGGGCGTCCGCGGGACTTGATGAGCATTTTCGAATATCTGCCACATGCCTTCGGGGGAAACTGGAACCCACATCCACTGGGTCAGACCGGGTATTTATTATCAAAGTATATGCACATGAGATTGAACTGTAGGTTCTCTGAAAGGCACGCGCGCTCACACAACCACCTGAGGCCACGGTAGACATGAACGAGGGCGTGACTACTTCCCTCGGAGCTCCAAGTGACTCAACGTGCATGGATGATATGGGAGTCACCCAGCTAGCCCTGCAGTCACCCAGCTAGCCCTGCAGCTGCCGCCTATCCAAGATCAATCGTCCAATCCTCGCGGCGCTTGATTCTCAGTGCGGGCTCAGTGCAGACTCGAATGGCCACGGCCACCCGTCTTCGCGCGACACAAGGCGAGGCTTCAATTATTAGCCAAAACTTTAGTGTGCAGTAACTTTTTGTATATGTAGGACAACTTGCTGTAGTAGAATTAGTAGCACGGGCAACGTACGGGCGCAAAGCTCGAACCTTCCAAGTCGAAAGTCAATGCATGGAAGCAACCACAATGTGTCAATGGACCGCTGTCACATAGGTATCGGGAATGAGACTTGACGCCAACGTCAGATTGACACGGCGCACAGCCCAGAACTGGATCGTCCATTTCCAAAATCCGGCTGGCACGGCAAACTGCCGCATTCTCAAAGAAAGTGCCAAGCTCAATTATGCCCCAGTCAGGTGAGTCACCATTGGCCAATGACACTTGAAGCTTGCGAATATTCCTCGGCATCCGTGCCCGGCCAATGCCGACGCTCGTGTGGCAGAATCTCGGAATTGATCCACTTGGCAAGAGTGGGAAGATTGAAGAGGACGTTCAGGAGCATTTTGCTGCCACTGTGCCACAGTGGTGGAAAGGTCTCCGACTTTCTTCCGGGAAAATGAACAATGTCCAGCTCAAAAACTTCCAAGTTTCTACCTTGAAGGCGCATCCACAATGGCGGCACCCTCGTCTTCGTCCCGCATCAGCCTCCTCCTCATCCTGGCTGCGGTCAGCCTGCTTGTCGGTGGCGCCTTTGCTGCAGAATGCAGCCAATGCACCAAGCAGTGCAGCGCAGTCGTGAGTGGGCAAACCGACTGCCCGTATCCGCCAAGGGACAAGACTTACGAGTACTTCCTGTTTGTGCTCCAGTGGCCAGGTAACTTTTCTACAAATCCTTGTTCACCTTCAGCTTGAAACCATTCTTGGTCTAGAATGCAAAAAACGATAACGTGGAACGGTCTTGCAGCTGAATTGTTCTTTGCATTGAGCAAAACCAGTAGTATATGGAAGAAGCACGCAGTTTGTCTTTGATTAGTGAAAGGTAGCTGAAAATTGTTCACGCCGGAGCTGGCTTTGATCAACGCAACGCGATTCTTGTAGCACGGGATGTAGCATCCTATTGCCTAACATTTCCCTATTGATACTGTGATCTGACCTTTCTAAGCTCATGGTTTCAAAAATAGAGTTCATATTTGGAGCGACTAGTCTGGTTTGAATTGGGCTCGAATTTATACGGACAGAAATTGCAATTCTGATTCAGGAACCTTTTGCAAGAGAGACAACAGCTGCTGTGATGGCAGGTGCGTTCGCAAGAGTCTGCTCCTCTGCTGCTTTGGGGCCTGAGAATGTGCAAACCCCTGACTTGTAGACTCTGCCATCTTCTAGTAAATGCATGCTCCTCTGAAACTCTCTGACTCCATCACGCGTTAAGGCACCTGTCAATGAAGTCCCTGGCTTAGTAATGACTTTTCAGGTTCCCCAAGCTTTAAAAGGAAGCCCGTTATCCAGTGCATTCCTGCCCTTCAATTTGTGAGAATGCCTGTGCGTCAGATTGCTTCTAGGATGAAATACTCTGTTGATGGCATCGTGAGCAATCAGTAGGGAGGGTACCAGAGTCAGCTATGGGTGCGGCTACCAAGCTTTTGAGGCTGTTTGCATAGGAGACATGGGTTGCTTTGATTGTCTGCAGAATTTACGAGCCTGAGCATTGTCACTTGAACCTCGCATTGTCAATGCCCGCTGTTGAAACCTGCATTGTCAAAGCTGTTGTCTTTGTTGGTGTTGTTACGTTTCCCAGACTGGCAAGCATCGTTGCTCAACCCCATTCCGAGGCCTGATTGTCAGTCAGCTGAAGCACTCAAGTCAGACACGTTTGCAAAGCTGGTTGAGAGTTCGAGTTAGAATAGGAAGAATGCAAAAGATTTTTTGTGAAAAGTTGCTTGCAACGCTAAACTGCGCTTCTCATGTTCCTGCAGGTTCCCCGATGGCGTCGACTGGACCATCCGTAAGTGGGCCTCCCTTTCAGCGTCATTATTGTCCTTTTTGCTTGCACCCGCGCTGTTGTGCAGTCTTGTTGCATCCATCTTCCTTCCCAACCTGCCCTTGTCCTTACAAAAGGCTGGCCTCTGAACAGGAAAAGCGAATCTTGCGTTAGAAAGCCTCAACCTTGGGTGAGCTTCCCAGTGTGCAAAGAACAGCACCAGCTGCAATTGGAACACGCGTGCTTGGCATAACAGAGCACTTTCCCTAAGAGAGCTCTCGTTGTCAATCAAAGCACTCCCCCTGAGAGACAGAGCACTCATGAGCAAGAGCACTCCCTCTGGAGACAGATGTGAGCATTCGGTTGGGGAGACAGAGCACTTTCCTAATAAACAGAGCGCACCCCCAGCTCAGGAGAAGAGCACTTGCGTGCTTGTCTGACTCTGCTGCCTTCTGCTGGTCTTCAGACGGTCTCTGGCCTGAGAAGTCCCAGAACTGCTACCCCTACTGCTGCGACCTCAGGAGCGTGAAGTACACCCCCCAAGCGGTGAGGAGGCTGACTGCCCTCTCGCTTTACTGTGTACTCCGCCCCCCTGGAGTTGCATAAGCTCAGGATCAAACTTCAAACTTGCTTTGGACGTTCGCTGGTCGCATAATGGAGAAAGCAATGGGAATGTTGGAGGAGAAGAAGCTTCTGTGGGTTACGCTGTTGCCAGTCTATCAGTTGTCCTGGCAAGTACTTGTTTCACTCAATGAGGCTGCTCTAAAGGAGAGCATTTGGAGTACATAATGAGGCTGCTTTGAAAGAGAGCCGCTTAGAACCTTGTGGCGAGCTCGTGGTGCGAGCTTGCTGCCACCTGGAAAGAAGCCCTGTATTGGCCAGTAAGGTTCTGATGAAGCTTGGATTGTAGCCCCGAGTAATGGCCAGTAAAATCAAGAAAAACTTCTGTTGTACACCTCTAGCCACGCCTGCGGTACAGCCCTCTTGTAAGACCTTTGGTGACAGAAGCTGCTTCAGAGGAGAGGGCTCCAAGTAGCCTTGTCAAACAATAGCGAATTGGTAACAAGGTCTGATGGTAACTAGGAACTCAATAAGAATGGAGGGGTTGCTTTGAGGTATAGAGAGTGGGTTAAGGTGCGGCGAATGTCTTGAATCTAGGGGTTCTAGTCTTGCTTAGTTCTGAATTCCCGTTTTGGTACTGCTATTCAACCTTGTCACTACTAAAGCTTGTCCATATCTGGTCGACGTCTGCGTGCAGGTCGCCTTGCTGAGGTCGGACCTCAGGAAATTTGGCCCACTCTGAGCTGCAGGAGTGTAGCAAGGGGATCCCCCTGCGTTAATGGGATTGAAACTTTGTTAATGTAATAATCCAAGCTTAACTGGTCGATTCACTTGCAGGTTACCTCGCTGAAGGCCGACCTCAGGAAGTACTGGCCCACGCTGAGCTGCTCAAACACCGACGACTCTTTCCACAGCAACGAGTGGGGTGAGGGACTCCAGTTAGCAATGAGCCATGCCAGATTATCACTTTGTCACGCTACATCCTGTCAAGCCATCAATTCATCACTTTTCCGATGCCCTCGTTCTGTCGCTTTCCCTTCTCTAGTTCAACACTTTGCTACACAACCGATCTCCCCGTTTGTCATCTGCTCCGACGCAGCTCTGTTCGATCCTTGCCGATTTTGGTTGCGTCACACTGTGGTGAATTCAAGGGACGGGTGGGTTGGGTTTGGAGTCAGGAAGGGGCGTGTCATAGCAGAGTTTGGTTGTCTTGTTCGTGTGAACCCGGTCTCCGAATGCAGCTGAATGAGACCCGATTCAACGCGAAAACGATATTCCTTTACGGTCGCTGAACCTTTCCCGTGTGCCCCTCAGACAAGCACGGCACGTGCATGCTCGCCGCACTGCGCAACCAGTCGTCGGTCCTCGTTTACTACTATTTCGAGCGGGTTTTGGACCTCTATGAACAGCTCCCCCTCGGCGTAAGCTGCCCACAGACAAACGCTATTTCCGTCCGGTTGTTCGATCGAAGCAGTTTTCAGATTGAAAGTTTTCCAGGTTGGCAGAGAATCCGGTTCAAGACCATCGTTGTCCCGTTGCACGAATGAAGCTTCGGAGAAGTTTCAGATTGAGAAATCGTCCAGTTTGGCAGAATGGTGCCATTTTCTTGCAGCAGCGTAGCCCGAAAATAATTGAGCGATCCGGTACGTAATGAGACAAGTCTGTCGTGCCCCGTTTCAATTCCGTTCTGTCATTAATCGCAATCAGTAGACGGTTTTAGAGACCTTGCACACTGCCCGCTTCCTCTTCATTATTGGCCCCACTGAACCGCGCTTCAGCGTTCAATATCTCTTCCTTATATCGAGGCCGACCAGCATCAAGCAAGAGAAAACCTTTCACAGTGCCAACACAAACGTAAAGCAGAAACCAAACCAGAAGAAGAAAACCAACTATTCAAACCCAAGAAACGGAAACTTCGAAGCTGAGCAGCGAAAGCGTTTGTCAGCTTGCTCAGGTTCCGTTTCCGCTCGCTTATGTTCCGTCGCCCCTTCCGTTTGCCAGAAAATCCTTGCGGATGAAAACATCAAAGCCGACAACAGAAAGACGTACTCCCCAGCTAAAATCATCGCCGCCATTGAAAAGTTCACTGGCGCCACGCCAGACTTGGCCTGCGCCGAGAACGGAAAGCTCCTCGACGAGGTGCATTTCTGCCTCGACAATGATTTGAAGGTACGTACCGTTGTCCTTGACACCAGTTTCCTTACGCAGCTATCTCCAATGTCTCAGCAGTGTAACAACCCATTGACGAGGTTCGTTCCAAGGCCCTATAGGTTCGTACCAGGTCATCCAAAAGCCGGAGCCGTTATGTACACCTACCCTTGTCTGAGATCTCGCATTCGGCGTCTTCTTATACGCTTCCCTATTTGTCGTCTCACATTCGCAAGTCCAAACCCGCAGAGTCAGCGTTCTCGACACATACCAAGACCGACACTTATCTCCCCGGCTATCTGATCTTATCCACAACTACCCGAGTCTATTTCCGGGCACTCAATTCAAAGTTTGGCTGCTACTCAGATTCCTCACCGAATTCCGGATTTTAGGATCCGTTGGGAAGGGAGCTGTCTTTCGACCTGTGAGAATCGATATAGCAAGGCTAAGCCGCTGCCTGTGCGACCATTTTACATCAGTCTTAAGTCCTAAGCATAGACCTCCGGCTAGTGTATCTGCACCCGCTGCTGATTGACCAACCAGCTGACATCGTCTAACTAACTTCACTTCCGATTTTCTTGGTGCTAGACGTTCTTCAACTGTCCGCTAGGTGAGGGAGACAGGAAGAAGTGCGGCCCCAAGGTTCGCATCCCCGAACTGGACACGGTGTTGGTCCAGTAAGCTGGCGGTGGAGCTGTACCATAAGAGTTAACCATATTTTAGAGTCTTGGTTGAGAGTTTGACTTTTGCTTAGTAACTAGCCGTCTTGGAGCTTTTTTTGACAGTGGAGTTGTGGTTTAGGAGCTCTTGGAAGGGTTTACGAATGACGTTCCCACCACTGAGATGACTACAGCTTTGGCTGATAGCGTGTGACTGTTGAATACTAAATATTAAACCGGTGTGATATAGCTAACCACGTTTCGCAGTCTATGTTTGAGAAAACGACCGTTGGTTAGAAAGTAGCCGTACGGTTTTGGCTATCTTTGACATTGGAAGTTGTTGTTGCGGGACTGTAGAAGAATCTCCCACACGAGTCCCCGACTTGAGATGGTTACATTTTGGGATGGTAGGATGCAAGCAATGACTTTCCTTAAACAAATCTGTATTGAGATCAGTCGATGTCGAGTACTGTAGATCTGATGGGGCGTCCGTTTCCGTGCCCCTTGCTTTTTGTGGCATTTTTGTGCCGGCGTTGTAAGTTGCTGCTTCGTGAAGTAGAGCAGAACGGTAGCAGGGTGTCAGCCGCTCTCAGCAGTTGCAGATACGTTTTGACCAAGAACTGGACGTTGAGTTTGTCAGGCGTTGACTGCTTCGTATGGGTTGAGCTTGTGCATTAGGCGCCACGTCATCTGTAATCTGTTGATTGAAAGCTTCTTCTCATGCTCAAACTTCAAAACCTGTCGATCAGTCAGCTTGTCATTTTCAAAACAATGTACGCTAAATTCTGCATCGAGTGGGCAGCCACGAATGTTCGCCATCACTGCGGGTTCGACGATAACCTGTCGTATTGGACAGTGCTGTTATTTTACGGCTCTGAAAGCATTGAACATACCACCGCGTCAGCAATCAGAGTGTAGGCCCGGTCGATTGCGAGATCGAACAATATCATGCTACCAGCCTAGTGCATTTATTTTGATGGGTGGGGACATTAGATAGCCAGGCATGTATCTGATTGATTATGATCGTTGTGAGCGCTTTGTACAATCAATGAAAGAATGAGACTCTGGATACGCAATGATGTCTTTCTGGCCTTCACACTCAAGTTACATAATATATCGTCATTCTCCACGCGAGAAGGCTCCAACTCAAATCTCACTTTTGAGTACGTCCTTCATTCAAATTGCGAAGCTGCATACAAGATTGAATGTCTTGACCGTCAAAGGTAGATTAGTATGATGGATCCATGATGGACTCTTGTTTCTACTTCCTTCTTCATGTAAGTCTTCGCCATGCAGTATGTTTGAAAAGGGACTCGGGACGTCTATCGAGCCATGTGTCTGGCCTGGCTACATGGTACTCAAGCTAATCGATGCAATCAGAACACTGCCAGGAGGACGTTTGTGGTGGTGGAGTCATCACTCGAATGTTGGGTTGCCAGAATTACGGGCTTGTGACGGTGAATCATAGCGGCAACAAGAGAGCGGCTTGCTTGCAACATGCTATCGGGTGCTATCCTACGACCGTGCTACTGGTAGTACTATACCGTACCTTTGCTCTTAATTGTAAACACCATTCTCTGTCAAGTTGAAATATTTGCTTGCACAGGGAGACAACGCGGCTTGCGCAAGTCGCCAAAGGCCTGTAAGTCCCATTAAAACATGTTTCGATTGATCTAAATTGTGTGGTCCAGGTTTTCGGAGAGCCAAGGAAAGACTCAAGAAACGGCTGCCGATCACGCCGAAACATGATTCTCCGAACAAAGCGAGAAGTGTTAATGAATAATATGGCAAGGTGATGCCTACTGACAGTCCCCTTTCAGAGGACAAGACACCCATACTATGATACCTGGCACGTAAATCTTACGCGCTGCAGACAAAAGAGCCAACGCCTCGGAACGAATCCAATAATCATGTGCATGATCCTGTGCAACACTCAACCTCTCTGCTGTGCTTACCTTTCAATCCTCAACGCTATCCTAGGCCCTGTGTGTAATCTGGTCACATCCTAAACGTCGCCAATGTTACCATGGTTGTACCTTATTCGAAGCCGGCGTCGTCACTCTCATCGTCAGAACTATAGTCGCTATTTTCGTCAGACGTCGCTTCTAGTATTTCGAACGGCCACTTCACATGATCCTCCAATACGCGCTCAACCAACCCAATCACGTGGCCGAATTCGCAGAATCTGAAGTCAGCAGGGGTCTTCGTCTCCACATTGATACACCCCCTTTTGTTTCTCCACAGTTGGGAGGCGCAAAAAGGGCAGAAGCGGAGCCTTTCAGTAAAATGCGGAGGATTGATGCCCGACGCAGCTGTCCGTAGTTCCTCAACAGAGCCCAAGAACCCTCGGTAGACTCGCCTCCCAACCTTGTGAGTACCAACCAACCCAAAGCTGTGCACAAACTCGTGGGCGCAACAGAGCATGTAGAAGGCACGGCAGCTGGGATGCTCCACAAAAATGGAGCTGGATACGACTTCAACTCCAGCTTGCTCAGGGGACATATGCCCACTGATTGTCTCGCATATGTGCATTCCGCAGGCCCAGCTTGACAGTACGGCACCCCAAGCAGCTTCTCCAGTGCTCTGCAATCTTCCACGTCTTCAGGGTATTGCCCGGGACACCAAGTCAGAAGCTTCGCGAAGCCCATCCAGCCGCCGCCTCCGGGGCCATTGCTGCGCGCTCCTGGCGGGGAGACTAGCGCGCAAACCTCTGGCGCAACCTTTCTGCATGCAGCTTCCCACGCGCAATCTCTCACGAGGCGCGCGCACTTTCGCGATGCACAAGCAAAGCTGGCCAGGCTCGCCATCCCCTTCGGGTCGAAGTTCCTGATGCATCGGGGAGACTGATCCGAGTGGATTGGATCAATCAGCTTCTCGAGGATCACGCAGCTCAGATCCTCATCCAGATCTTCAAAGCTTAGCCCCATTGCGCGCTTTGAGTTTGAATAACCCCTTGAAGAAGAATTTTCAGAACTGCAAAAACGTTGAAGCGCCTCAAAGTAAGGCTTCAGGAGTTTGGAATGGCGTTTCCTGTTACAGATCTATTTCCCTTAGCGCGAGCGCCTACCGCCAGCTATCTTCAACGAGAGCCTACCAGTAAAAGCTGGTTATTTATATGGACGTCGCCGAACTTTGGAGGCGCCAATGCTAGTCGAGGCGCAAGCGGCGCTTCAGAGTAGAGTCGATTTGAAGACAGCTGCCGCGCTGAGTTCAGCCGCAGGTTCAAATGAACCTGAGTCTCAATGCGACAGGATCCGAAATCTGTCGATGACTCAGCAAAGCAGCCACTCAAAGCGGGCGTGTCAGTCAGGTTCTTCACTTATGCTACGCGTCACGAGCATGCCGGACGAAGCTGTGCTTGCAAATCTGAGTTCCGGCCCGCGAAATGAGCGCGCGGGAGTGACAATAACGTGTTGTCACTGTTATCTTAATAAGTCGATCTTATCGGACATAAGATCACCACTGTTTACTGATCGATCAACGGTACATCTGCACCATTTTTTTATAGCTCAGAGCTTGTACGAATTTTGATAAGACTCGCTACGCTGAACACTCCGCCGCCACGGCATGCAGCATACAACGAAGCACTTCTGAATATACAACCTTAGCGCTATATGACGTGTATAGGAACTAAAACATTTTTTCGGTAGCCAGTCACTGCAACCCGTGCCCATTTACGCCACATCTTTCTTGTCATGGATTTCCCAAACAGTTCCAAACACCTGTCACGGACGCATGATCGGCAAAGAAGTTTCTTTCCTTCGATCTATTATAGGCTGCCTTCAACGCGAGATCTTATCACATTTAAATGAGGGCCTGAAGAGAAGCTCTGTATTCGTGACAGCCGTAGCATGATGACTTCGAAATATATGCAATCACAAGAGGCAAGCGTTGATGCGACCGTACGTACATCCGCTGAAAAATTGCGGGGCCCGTTCTGGTTGAGCTAGTGCGTCACTTTGATGGTAACTTACACCCACCAAATTGATTGGCCTGGGCGGCCATTCAATTCGTCTGAAACGATGTTTGATTGTTCAAAATCTGTACACCCATTGAGAGCACTTCTAGTCCCGTACTTTCTGGATCGATCTTCTTTGGTAACGGCGTATATGTCTATATCAATATTCAGCACCTTCCATACAAGCTCGTATAGGTGTTCCCCTTGAGAACAAATCCTAGACTTTCTTAGTGGAGCATGTGTAATATTACACCATTTCGTGCGGATGCTAGGGCGCCGTAAACAGTGCGTGCTTGTGTCAGGTCCCCTCGGCTAAAGGAGTTTTCCCTGGCTACATAGTCCATTAGATGCTTAATGCACGCCACATACGAACCGGAAACAATCAGGCCCTCCTATACATTGGGCAGATGTCCGGCTCTCCAACGCTTACCGTACAACCACTAACGTACAACCAACACGTAGGAATGCGTACAAGCAAAACTTACTCTAATACGACAGCCCAATATCGCCCCTCGGCCATAGGTTCCCTGTACAAAATCTGCACCGCGCCGCTGAGCCACTGCAACTGGTGTCATCGTTGATTCCGCTCTGAGCTCCGACGCTTTCTTCCGGGGAAAACGCTTCAGAAGAAACCGGGCCCGTCGTAAGTGCCCGAGGTACTCGGCGTGGGGGGGAACGCAAAGCTCACGCCGTGCTGCCTTCCGTCAGTCACAACCCGCCGCATCTGACCCCCCGGAAACGGGTTACTCTGCCGCACCCAGTTACTACGGCCGTCGGGGCTCGCGAAAACTACATTGTTGCGCGAAAAGTGCATTCCCGGTTGCATGAACTGGCTCTCGTTGTAGGAGCGCATGTTGGTCGTCGAGTGCGCGCGCGAGAGCGCGGGGTGCCGGGTTGAACGGGCCAGCATCACGTTTTCCTGCAAAGCAAAGGAACGGCCGATTCAATGGTTGCAAGAAGAATCCCGGATTCCTCCGGCTTACAACTCTCTAGTACCGAGATTTTTCCTGGAGCAGATGCTTTAAAGGGCTTTCAATGAGACGCAATCGTGTTCCGGAAACCTCCGGCTTACAAATCTCTGTTGCCGTGATTGTTTTCTGAAGCAGATGCAATGAACAGCTTCCTATGGGCACATCGAGATTCTTCGATGTCCGAGCAACGCTATGGATTTAATAAACCCTCGAGAAGTACTCCCAGAGAGACGTAATTATGCAGCTGGATCTCAGGTGGAATAAACGGTTCGCTGCACGAACTGTCAACTTTCTGCAAGCGTCAGGCTGACGTACCTCCAGCGGTGCGTGGAGCATCTCCTGGAAAGGCTGGTAGAAAGAGCCCTGGTGCGAGGACTCGTGTCCCTGCAAAACCGGAGAGCTTGATGTTAGGACTTCGTCGAGTCGGCTCCTTTCCACCAGCTTAATATCCTTGTATGACTGGCGAAAGCACTCAAAAGGCAACTAGATCAACGACGAATGGACAGGCGACTAGTTTCTTCCAACGTAATCAACCTGCACTTCTTGGCCGTCGCGGCTGAATACATGCTGCGGAGTGGTTTCGGTCTGTGAACCCAACAACCGGCCTGCCGTTTTCTGAAGCAACTTCGATGCACTTGGCTTCGATGCTGGTTTCCGCGAAGGAAGAGAGCAGCTTATGAGCGGTCAGGCAGGGGTTGCGAACGAACGCCCCCTCAGCTCTTCAAAGAGCTTCCCCTTACTTGACGACTGACGTTAACACTAATATTTGCAGACGGGAGTCGAGGAGACAGTCAAAGAGGGTTGTGTCAAGCGTACCTGGATGGGCTTGGACGGCATGCTCTGGAACTCCTGGAAGACGGGGCCCGTGTCCGTGCGCGAGTCCGTATACATGCTGCCGCCCTGCGGAGAGAGAGTGCGGAAATTATTAACCAAGACTGGCTGCGATGGAGGACGGAGACTGAGCTCAAAAATAAAGTGCCTACTGCTTACAATTTCCTGCTTACTGCTTCCAAGCAGGTCAAAATCAGCGAAGTCGTACGTGCGGCGGCAATCAGAGAAACGTCAGCAGCTAGCAGGACAGGGTAATGACGGACAAGCAGTGCGAGTACTTCGATAGGAGATTGGAACAAAGAAGGAAGCAAAGAAGGCAACACTTGGAGTTGCGTCTGAAGAAGGCGCCGGAAAGAGAACCTGTGTGGGTCAAAGACAGAAGCATCAGTGGAAAACAAAGTCTGGGCATATGCTTAGAGGTTGTTGCTTGCCTGTGTCGGTTCAGTGAGCATCAGCTGATAATCCTGGTACAGCGTTCCCCCGTGCGCCGACTCCTCATCTTGGACAACCGTTCCCTTGCTGTGCGCGCCAGAGCTTTCGGGTGGGGCCATCGCAGATGAAAACAGGTTCGTGTCCTGCAAAACAAACGCCACATGCAGATCAAAATGGAGACGAGGGTGGGGGAAAATGGGCAGCGGAGAAACTTACTTGCACCCGAGAACTACTTGCGGGTTGAGCCGCGCGTCTCATAAGCATCGGATACTAGTCAGCTGATGTATAGGCAGAACACAGAACACAAATGACCGGAACAGTGTCTGAACAACTAGGCCATCCCGGGTTCATTCATCATCAAGTCTGGCAGGATTATTTAGTCGGATAGTCTTTGATTTGGTACCTCCCTAAAATCAACAGGACTTGCAAACATCAAGAGAGCCGCTTTCGAAGGGGTGGGCTATAAAGTGACAGGAGTTTCAAAACATCTATCAAAGAGCTACCCTTTGCAGCCATCGGGCCTGCCATCAGGACGGAAAATAGCATGACATCCAAGCAGAGAATTGTTTTCTCCAAAGCGTTCGGCCCACAAGTCCGAAATCCGGAGCGACCGAACCCACCAGCTCATCGGACGCCTCGCCCCGTGTCCCGAACGGATTGTCCTCTGACGTCAGAAACTCCTCCAGCAGCGTCGACATGTCCGGCGATGGAGGCCTCGCATACCCGAACGGCCCTTGCTTGCCCCACCCCCCCGCAGCGGTCAGCTGCTGGGTGCCAGCTGTCAGGCGCGCGGCGCCAGCTGTCATCGTCAGGTTGGTCGCGACAGGGCTCGAAATCTGGGGGGGCCCGGTGTGCTCGGAAAGGCTCCCCCCCACGGAGTGAAAGGCGGTGTCTTCCGCCCCCGTAAAGTCCGCCAGTTCCGCGAAGGAAGGCTCAGACCGGAAACTGACGATCGGGCTCAAGTCCATGTGCACTGGATCCAAGTGCCCCGAAACGGGGGGGTCGGAGTAGGGGGCCGCCGAGGGGGTAGCGGCTTTCGGTGCGACCTACAGAGTAGGAGCAGGGAGTAATTGAGCTCCTAAGATATCAAGGTCCGCCCTCGTTCTCAAGTTGACCTCTGAAATAGTTTCAGACGTACTCAGTTGTAGTTGCACCGAGCTGTTCATGGGCGACGTGTTTAAAAGTACATTGTTTTTGCGCGATTGCGACGAGCTCACGCAAGAAGTACATAAGGAGGTTGGCTGTCTCGAATTTGCTGCATCAATGGATCGATCTTTAGCTGAACAAATCTCGACCAACATTGTAACTGAAGAACGATGTCGGCAGCTTATATAGGCGCAAGAATCTGGACTCAAGCAGTGCTCAAGAACGGGTCTTCTTACCTCCCGGTTCGGACGCCCCGCGCTTTTGGACGCCCGCTTCTGCGCACTGTCCGCAAGGCTGTCGGCTTGGGACGTCACCTCCGAGGCGGCCACGCTCTTGACTGTGGACAACAATCAACGATGGGTCAGAATTCCGTTCTTCAGTTGATGGATGGTGACTTCGGTAGGCTAGATTCCAACGAAAACCATCTGAAGATCACCAGAAAGCAACGAGTCGGCGAAAGAGCTCACAATACAGGGTATTCGGAAGGTCTCCGTGGGAAAACGTTGCTTCGCAAGTGGCAACGCCAAGCAGAAAGTGCTTCCGACCCGGACAGTCTAGATGCGTCGCTGCCCGAAATGAAAGGCCTTGCGTTTCCTCCTCCAAGAACTGTTCCCTGCTCGATGCCAATGAGAAAGGACCCTCTGATTCCTTTTCCAGTGAGCACTCGGACAATCGCGCCCTAGTATATCTCACGCCCAACTGGTTTCAGGAAGTCACGTATGTACCAAGGAATGGTATCAAGACGAAACTTCTTTCTTCCCACGACTTCTCACCTGACACGATCGCTCCCTCCAACGTCTCCTGTCGCGGCCACCGCTCGATCCCGTGCCTGCGGCAGGCGCGCTTGAGCGTCGTGGCACAAACGTTGAGGTTCTTCGCGGCCTGCTTTTGGATCACGCCGAACTGACTCTCCAGGTCAGCGAGGGTTAGCTTTTGACCCGGCTTGCCGCAGCTGCCCTTGCCCCGTCTCCCTGTAAACAAAACAGTGAAAGGAGGTTTTGAAAATGCGAGTTTGGAGAAGCGTATTGTTGTCACTCTGACCAAAGTGGCGAGGTTTGGGCTCTTCTAAAGATGAGATCAACGGTGAGCAAATTGCTTGCTAGATTTCTGGTTAAAAGTTATGTATCACCAGGAGTATATCGATACTTGGCTGGTAATCTCTCGTCCTGGACTTACTCAAACCCCAACCGGACAGGCAACGCTCTCGCCTGCGAATCGTCCAGACCGATTTGGATTTAAGGCTCAACATACGGACAGGAACTTGTAAACCGTTCCAGTCATTGCATACAGCGGAGCCCGTGTAGGAGGTGAGGGGCTCCGAGAATCTGCAGAAGTGATTTCAAGCAAAGCCCAGCAAAACTTACCTCTGCTGGTGCTGGTGCTCTTGGTGGGAGCCCCCTTGTCCGTCTCCGTCTGGTAGCTGGACGCTGGCAGAAGGGACAAAGCAGGTGAAGATTAAGTCAGGGGCTGCCTCAGGGAATAGACTGTCGAAAGGAGGGGCCCAAGAGACGGAATGCTTCTCCAGCAAGAGTAGATGGGCCGGCCTTATGGAGTTTGGCAGAAGTGGACCACATTCCTTTTACCAATCAAAAGAATGGATGTCGGTTTGAAATTTGGTTTCTTACCTGCTTGCAGAGGGACGTTCTCGGTCTGGACGCGTTTTGGCGGGGGCTCCTTCGGCGAGCTCGCGCGACGCTTGCGCTGGGCGGCTGCGCTGCGAGTCTGAATGGAGGCAGCCTGCAAAACGAATCAAGAACGTCAATCTTCGGCGTTTCAGGAAGAAATCAATGACGAACGGATTATCAAAAAGCAGAATTGCAGAAACGGGGTCTAAAAACACCAAGTGTACATGAGGGGGCAGTTTGACCTACCAACGAGAGCCAGGCTTCGAGGGCATTGCAAAAGCACTCCCAAAACGGCTATCGGTTCCGGGGACAGAAAAGGTCCCCGATCGATGGACTGAAAGATGCCGCCACATGTTTCTAATAGCCCCATGTGACTCCGGAGTCTTACAAGACGAAGACACAGAGTTGATCAGAGCGTTGCAAGACGGGACATCAATACAGGGTTTCCCATGACCCAAAAGGCTGCAAAAAGCTTCACTTACATCAAGGATGGCAACGTCCTCGTCTCGGTCGTCCTCGACAGCTGTCGTCTGCGCCTCAGGAGAGCCCCAGCCAGCTGTCTCCTCCCCCTCCATCCCCTCGATAGCTGTCGCCTCGGCCGTAACAGCTGTCACCTCCTCTCCACCAGCTGTCACGCACTCCTTGCCAGGTGTCACATCATCCTCAGAAGCACTCGGACCCTCCATGCCAGCTGTCACACGCTCGGTGCCAGCTGTCGCTGCCGCCTCCGGCTGGGCACCCATGTCGTCCCTCTGGTGGTAAAGCACCCACGTCTGCGACTCCGACATCAGAGTGCACAGGCTCTTCGGGTTCCTCGCCTCTAGTTCTCCCACCAGATCCCGTGTCTCCGCAACCTCTTTTTCCTTCCCCTGCTCAACCACTGCGCCGCTCCCCGGATTCTCGGCGATGACGTCACTCCCCTCCTCGCGCCTCTCCCCGCTATCCGCCTCCAATCCGGCCTCCCCTTTCTGCCCATTTCCATCGCTTCGGGGACAGCTCGCTTCGTCCGGGGTCTGAGACTTCGCCTCTCTGACATCAGCGCCGCTCTCCGCCGCGCGCTGATGGTACAATACCCATGGCTCGGGCGACTTTGAGCGCGCATCAGAGTGCGGGGGAGTCGCTTTGGCTTTCGGGTTGGCATCGGCGTGCGGATCCCGCTGATGATAGAGCACCCACGTTTCGCCCAAGGGGACTTCGGTGGGAACGAAGTTCTCGGCCTGTTGCTCGCAGTACTGTTCTGCGAGGGACTTCTCCATTTGGGCGAGGCCGATCTCGGCCTCGATTGTGTACATGCCACATTTCTGTAAGGAAGAGTAAAGGGAGAATACGTGAGTGCTTGGTTAAAAGAGGACATCTCGATTGTTTGCAGGCGTGTAAGTGTAGGAGATGCGAGTGCTTGACGAACTGAAAGGACTCAGTATGAACACATTGCAGCGTTCCGGTATCAAACTAGCATACTGACCCTTCGGAGTCAATTTACTAGCTTGGTACATTAGGAGTTCCCTAAGGAACATTCATTCGCAATCTAACATGGCAACACAACAGAATTAGAAACTCGTCACTTGACGGCACCAAAAATCTTCGTTCGATCCTTTGAGCATTCCCAGAAGCACGTGGGCAGTTCTGACCCACAAATCGAAACAGTAACCTCCTTGATTCGACCTGCTTTCATGCAGCATTCCGAAAGAGAAGGCAAGCAAACCAGTGGCCCACAGAAATCAGGCTCTAAGCGGGAGTTTACCACCAAAAACACATTTCAATCCATTCAGGCACAAACATGAGACAGATTCCACTCAATCTACGCAGACACAGACATACTGATTCCGAAGCAGAAGGGGAAAACAGACCTCTATTTACGCGTGTTTGCATTCAGGATGATATTCAGCCAACACGCACATACACCTGCCCAAACAAGCATAGACAGAAATAAGCTCTTTTTCTGGACACTTGCCTTGAGAATGATGGCGAGGGATGCGCAGATCAGTCTCGGGGGCACTTCGTGACACCCCTGGACCGCCTGTCCGAGGCTGGCCGCCCATGTCCGAAGTTCGTCGAGAAACTGCGCCAGGGAGGGCTGTACCGCATCCTTGCAACCGTACTTGCCGCGGGTGGAAACATCGGGCCTCTGCAGGGACGGTCAATTCTCTGGTCATGATTAAGGTCGCATTCTTAAAGAGTACTGCAACCTCGGTCCACTGTTGTCTGATCAAAGACTAATACCAATTGTGAGGTTCTGTTTTCAACTTCTGGAAGCAGACAGAAGCAGGCGGTAGGACAATGCAGGTCCGGTTTGCAGCTCGAACACCTGACAGAAAGGGGAGGCAATCGTGCTCTGTGAACTCAAAAGTAGAAACAGGCTTCTGAACAATCCAGAAAGGGGTCCTTCTGAGGCAAGAGTCAAGTGCCCGCAATTGAATGAAGGCCAGAACTGCAAGCCGTGTGATCCCAGTCATATCATGTTGGGGGAGTCCCTCGCATCCTGAGATTATCTCTCGTCACACCAATCAACATGCACAATGAAGTTGGTCTGATTGAAAGGCAGCCAGCTGGTATTTGCCAAAGAAAGAGCACAAAGCGCATTTGCACTTGAGAAGTGGGTTTACAAGATGCCTCATCTTTTCCAGCACAATGCCTGAGACAGCACTGTTCTTTTCATTGTCTTGCCAGGGGAAAATGCTGCTTTAGACTGCATTGCAGAATCGTGCTTGTCTTGTCCAAGTCAAAGAGACGAGGCAAGGAAAACTCTCATTATGCGCCCAAGTTTTTAAAGCCCGCGTCCAGCCCTTACTCCAAACAGCCACAGGGGGAAAACGTGTAGAAACGTGCATGCCCCTTTGTAGTGGGTTTGAGATAACTTAGGGCCATTTGAGTTGCGTTCTGTGTACGAATCGACAGTCCAAGAAACACAAAGCAGGCTCAAGAGTAATCCATGTGAAGCCCAGCCTCTCAAGAGAGGCATGCCAAGAGAGAAATCGAGGCCCCCTCATGAGAAACAAACGCTGAACAAAGAAACAATTTCACCAGGCAATACCGCTTTTGTTAATGTAGCTTTTGTTTGCGAGAGTCCATACACATCTAGGGGAAGTTATACAAGAGAGTATCTTTCTAAGTGCTTAACCTTGTGTACTTGAGTCACACGCCTTTGTAAAGTTAGCAGGATTCATTAGGGCCCAGAGGGTTCTTTCTCGATCAAGAGCCATTATCAACTTCTTGGAAGACAAGCTGACAACTTCACGATGTAGGTCCCTTTTGGTTTGTAGGCCCCTGATACTTCAAGAAATCAAACCAGACAAAATATGCGGACTGACAGGGGGGAGTAGAATTACATTGCCAATGCTCAATCTGCAAGATTGTTCAACGCAAATATTTAATTCGCAGACAACACTTTCGACGAGGACCTCACCTGGCAGCCATTGTACTGGATAACTAGAGGGGGCTGGCGCGAGAGCGAGGTTAAGAACTCGAACAGGGGCCGCGAGATGTCGACTCCAAGACACTTCATCTTGGCTCCTTGTGTTGCCCCTTCTTGGTAGTTTCACTGGACAAGAAGAACAAACTACGTCAGCAAAGCTTGGCAACTGAAACTTTCTTGCTTCTCTCGCGGTATTTTTTGTGGGGCACTTTGGCTGAGCCCAACTCCGCCTTTCCCCCTGGCTTCACAGAGACTTGGGCGCGTGAACCTCTGGCTGACCCTGAGTCAGAGATTCTAAGAAAATGTAGGAGTAGCTTCAAGATTGCGCTTGCGGTTGCACAATGCAGGTTCTGCAAAAAGTGCATCCATCGACCCAGATTTGCCTTTAGTTCAGTAAAGAAATGTAAGAGGGAACGAAGCTTGATGCCCGACATTGCTCCATTCATTGCAGATGAAGTAGTGGGTTTCTGTGGGTCCCTGCGCCCCCAATCATGGCCCCTTTGAGATCCTTGTCCAGATACTTCCTCATCAAGAAGAACGAAGCCCAAGCAAAGAAAGTTCACGAACATGTACTCTGTTCTGGCCCAACATCAGGATAAATGCTCCACCAACTCTTGGGTTCTGCATCTACATTTGGGCGCACTTACAGAATTTGTTTAAGTTGAAGGTGATGAAAGTCGTAAGTCCGCAAGATCGCGGTGCATAGAAAGCTGAGGTAATGGTTTGTGTTCGTGGGAGGGCAGAATTGCCAGACACCTGACACGGGCTTTGAGGGGCCGACAGCCCAGACACAAAGATAATCGACCAGGTCGGCTTGTATGGCCCAACTGGCCCAGATTTTCATTCTAGAGTTTCCCGAAACTCCGGAAGTCGTGAAGATGCTAAGTACATGTTGGCCTACTCTGTTCAAATGGTTCCTCCCACCGTTCTCCTCAAAGAGCTTTCACGTTTTGTGGCTGTATTCAATGGCATTTTTCCGGGCCCCATCCAATGTGGATTGGCGAGCAAATGCAACTCATGCAGCAAGCATCGGCCCAGACAGGAAGAAGCATCAGTCCCAGTATGCGGATTCATTGTCCTTACTTCAAGGGACCCACATTTGAACTATCACAAACCCCACATTCGGGCTCTATATTCGGGCAAAAGTGCAGAGTACAAGTGGCTTTCTCAGGAGCACACGCCTGTGGCCTCACTCTCTGGTGCAACCTATCTGGAAGCAGGCATGCAAGTAACAAAATGGGGGCATCCCAAAGATTCTGATCAAGTAGTGCGGCGCCCGAAGCCCTCCGTAGGATCTTTAAGCTCAAACAAGGCCCACGCGGTTGACGGTTACTCACTTGAGGACCCCACTAATACACGTTTCGTGTGATGTTGAAACATACACACAACACCAATTTACAATTAAGCACTTGAGGGCTTGATAGAACTCAAGAAGATGCTTCCTGCATTTATGCATCAATCTTGTGCCTGGGGATTTGAGGCGGCGAAGAGCGCACCTCACCTCAGCTTCAGCAGCACTTTCAAGGGCACTTCGTTCTCAGAATGAGGTTGGTGGCAATCGACCCAAGTTGACTCCACACCTCCAATCAAAACCTATCAATGCACTGTTCGCGCTTTTAAATCTGGCAGTCAAGTGCATCCAGCTCCCTTCCGTGAGTCGTGCACACCGCTACAGTACCTAGCAAACAGCCCGATGCCGAAGAATCTATTCTTGCGACTCATGGCAACACAGCCCCATCTGCAAACCCCGCATTGCAGGCTCCATCCAAGTAGTTGACGACCTGCCCCCTGTTGCCTACCCTTCCGCAATGCATAGACGGTGCTGAGCACTCCCCGAGCGGCCCGCCTCTGTGCAGCAAACAGAGCTGCAGTTCAAAACAACTCACAGCTAGCTAGCTAGGTATCTTGAGCACAATCTCCAGACCACCAGGTAATTAACTAGAATGGTACATACACAGCTCACAATGTTGCTTTGACATGTGCAGCAGCCATGGCGCCTCGTGCAAATTGCAGCCTGCCACACTGCAAAAGTACCGCACATGAGTGCAGATTGCTCGCGGCCTCTTCGCAATCTGGCGCCTCTGCAGTAGCTTCCATTTTCACGGAAGAATGATGATTTCGGCCCCAGTAGTATCTTTCCGGTAGGAAAGAAGCGGTAAATGTGGCTTGCTCCCGGGCGTGTTTGTGACCGGTAAGGAAGCATTGGGATGCGGCGACTCCTCCGAGGCGGCCTTCACGAGGTGACGTTTTGCTCGACGGCTGGCGTCATGATTGACATGTGGTACACGTGTCCAAACTCACATGGTCCATGTGGGTGAGTCGACCAATCAGGATCGTCGATGGTTCAGCCAATTTGCCGGACCGTAAACTTGCTGGAAAGGCAGACCGTCGAGGCATTGAATGACACTGAACGATCACTTATTCATTTATTCCCATGTATGCCATGGAAGCCTATGGCCCATGTGGCTACGGCGTTTGAAAAGAGAACATCACGCGACAGTACTGCCATACTCGCAATACTGAGAAGCAGTATATTGAACGCTCGACTCCTAGTGAGCGCCTCTCTTGAAGGCTACCTAATCTGCATCTCCGGCATTCCCTCGGCATTCCTCTTAGCGGAGTGGACTTCCAACGGACTTCCCGGTTTAAGTGTATATTAATGGAGCTTTGCCCGTTCAGCACTTCGCCCCGACTTTCAAGCGGGTTTCAAGCATTCTTAGAAGCGAGAGTGCGAGAGAGCAGACAGAAGAGCCCAGAAGAGCTCAACCGATCATCCAAACTGTGATCTTCAGCAAAGGCAATCGGTGGCTCTGACTCTTTAGCTCTTCCTCGAATTGCACCTGACAGCGTACTATATCTAGCATTCACAACTGCAATTGGTGAACATCAGAAACATCCTCCTGCAGGCTTTGTTTTCCTCTCAACTCTCATCTATAAATATTTGGCGTCAAAAATTCGTTGCGCGCGGTTGTGCTAAAGTACTGGGCCTATGTAACGTCCTGCACTCCCGTGATGGCTTGGCTGAAGCGAACAAGGGCGATACATGAAATGCTCAAGTTAAAACTTTAAAAGGCCTACGCTTGACACTTGGATAGTTCCTCATAAGTTCCCCGGCGTTTTCGATTGGAGATAAGTGCGGGCCCACAGTGCGCCCAGTGGACCAGTGGTTGTCTGGCAGAGAGGAATGAAGTGGCACAGCTTTACGGATTGCGTCGCAGTGGAATTGTGCAGCCTCGCACCCAAATTTCTAAGCTGATCGAGAAACAGTCCCCTGGTGGCAGTAGCGGATCAGTGGCAACTAATAACGGCGGCGGCTCGGTGCTTTGCTTCTAACAGCGCGTCTGGACTAGTCTCCGACAAAACCCGAGTCTTCTAAACACAAGTAATGAGGAAATGCGAAGTGCATTTCCGGATGCTCCTTATCAAAACTATCCCGAAAAGTCGAATCAGCTCCAGTCGACTAACCTCATTCTCCGGACATGCACCGTGAGCAGGCTGTTATATGTTCTTGCATGACGAAGCCCCTCACTCGCCGTGAGATTCGCGATCGAAGGAGCTGGAAATAGTACCGGCCGAATCCATGGGGCTGCTAATCTGGAACATATTAACGACATGTTGAATATGTTCAATCACTGGCGAATGTGTTCTAGTGACGAACACACTACCTTTCACGGCCCCTTGTTCCGTTTTTGGATTTTGCATCAACAAGCGTATCAATGAGACGTATCCAGATTCAATCGCGATGGAGCGAGGCGATGCGTAAGCAGTGGCTCGAAGAAGACGAAGAAGCTTTGAACGACAGAAAGGCTTTATATGTCATGTTTCAAAATGGTTCAAGACAGCTAGCTACTGCTTATGACAACGAGCTGACTCGAGTATATTATAGGGGCTGCCAGGTCGCTTGTGAAGATCTATCTGTTAAGCACACGTGGCAAGCTCCAATCAACGAACCTTCCCAAAAGCGAGCGCGCGTTCTGTGTACTTAGTAATCATCCCAGGTTCATCGGATTTACACCAACTCTTAGTAACACCACCGTACTTAGTAACCCAACATGAAACTCTCCCTGACCCATTTCCAACTCAGACCGCTCGAGCCCATCTACAACTTCAGGTCTTCGATCTTGGTTAGGCGGAGGTACTCTACGCCCGACGGCACCGCGCACGTCTTGTATCCCGGGAAGTACTTTTGCGCGTCTTCCTTGGTCACGGTGGGCAGCAAAAACGCGGAGCCCTTCATGCCGATGCTCTCGTGGTTGTTGGGCCAGTTCGCGGGGAGTGCCTGCGCAGCGAGGAATAGGGGTTAGGAAACAGGAATGGTGGGTTAGGAGAAAGACTTCGGTTGTGAAAGAGATCGGAGCAGGAATTCGGCGCTGGTTTCTAATCTTGAGCCAATTGGCGGAGGGTGCTCGCGGGAGGGGTTATGGAAAGGAAGGAGGGAAGCTGATCTAGCAAGAGGATTACTAGGATTATTAGGATTACTAGGATTACTAGGATTACTAGGATTACTAGGATTACTAGGATTACTGAAGCAGGCCTTTCTGTGAATACGATGCGAAGGTCATGGAAGCAACGAGGACGCGGATGGGAGCAGTACGGCGCAGAGGAGCCAGAGCGGGGGCAAAAGGGGACTGTCAGCGATCTTCCGTGACGGGACTCCACGAACGTGCTGCGCTCGAAAGCCAAAGCGTGCACGCTATCGGTCTTTCCATCTTTGCGACCCCGAACCCACACGAGGTCGACATTTCAAGTGGGTACTACTTTGTAAGAGCGCTGATGTCGGCGTTTCTTGTACGGCCCTTCAACCGAGAAAGAGTCACGCTTTCACGGCAGCTTTTCGAACGGTGGCCCTCGCTAACACTTTCAGCAACTCCGCCAGCACCCGACTTTCTTTCTAAGGAGCAGGTAGGAGGGACTTACGATGGAGTGCTTGGCGGAGAGCATGAGGGCGTCCGTCACTCGCACAATCTCGTCCATGTTGCGGCCGACGGAAGCGGGGTAGTTCAGAGACAGCTTCAGCTTCTTGTCGGGGCCTGCAAAGAAAAGAGAAGGGACTCAGAGTGCGTCGAGCGAGGATGCCTGTGGCTCTGTCAGGGAAGTCAGAGGGGAGCGAGCTTTGCTTCGGTGACTTGTCTTGACATTTCAGAGAACGGACGGAGCGGTCGCTTTGAAGACGAAGCAAAGGTTTCTAACTTTCCAAGCACGTTGCGGATCGGCAATGGAAGATGAGAAAAGGACGACGATTTTTGAAACCTTGCCCGAGCAGAGACACGAACTCAAATGGCGTCCTGTATTTACAAACTGTTTGCTAGACCCGAGTCACTGTCTGCGTGCCTGTACAAAGGAGGTATAAGATACTGCTGTGGGCGTGCCTGTACAAAGGAGGTATAAGATACTGCTGTGGAAACGCCGGAGAGCATCTTAACGAGAACCAACGACGTTCGAAAACATGGATCGCCAACCACATGCGCAGAGACCCACGACCTTCTCCGAAGTCAACTGGCCAACTAGATGCGAGAGACCTCCTCTCACCGATGATGAAGACGGCGCGGCAGGTGAGGGGCAGGCCCTCCTTGTCCTTGATGGTGGGGTCCAGCATGCCGTACTTGACGCTGATCTCGCGCGTGGGGTCAGCAATGATGGGGAAGTCGATCGTGATCTTGTTCTCGCAGTGCGCCACCACATCCTCCAGCCACTTGGTGTGGCTGCTCACCTGTTTTCGGGGGGGGAAAAGTATGGTCAGAAACAGAATCAGGGCAAGATCATAACTTTGTGCGAGACTATTTGAGCGCGAAAGCATCTAGTCCTATATAGCTTTGCACACGAGACCGTATGATGGGTTCTGTCTTCTTGAGGCGACTTGCGAACGGCAGAGATCCTGGGGCAGTCTGAAGCTGGAATCAAGTTCGCTACGATCCGGACGGCGCAGAAGCGGAACCCTAAAGATTCCTGTTCGAAGACTGGCTATTCAGGAATTTTAGATTTGGAAGTGCAGGGAATTAGCTCTATCTCTGGCTAGCGCTTCCAACACCCCAAGCTTCGAGATGAATGAAGTGCCCGATCTTTGGTAGAGCACTCGTCCAAGCAAAATCCACATTTTTTGAAGTGTCGTTGTAAATAGAGAACTTGTATAAAAAAGAGCTGTCCCTTCAGAGAACTAGGCATGGTAGACTCACGGGGTCGCAGGAGAGGGTGGCCAGCTTGACACCGATGGAGTTGAGGTAGTCGTACTTGAGGGCCAACCGGCCGATCTCAGTGGTGCACACCGGCTGCAAAAGAGGCCAGAAATAAGAGTCCGTTAAAGTGCCCAATGACTCTCCATACTCGCCTACCGAATGCCCACTTGGAGAGTCGTGCAGAATTATGGCAATTTTTCCTTCCGCTGATGCAGTTGGAATGCTGAATGATGGTTCAGCACCTCGAGCCAAAAGTTGAATAGACTCGACCATCGTAGTGGGCTGCTCTGATGACTCTTTGCGAGGGAGGCGAAAGAAGCTTATAGCCCATATACAGCCTTATAGCAACTCGCCTCCATTCAGACTTTTATCAGCAATTGCGGGCACAGTGCTCCTGCTTTTTGACCGACTTGTTGAGGAGAAGCCTCAGAAATATCTTAGAAGAGTTCAAGCTTTAGGAACCCAAGAGGACGGGAGAAATACACTCACGGTGAAGTCTGCAGGGTGAGAGAAGAGGATGGCCCAGTGCCCATCGATCCACTTGTGGAAACTAGGCATGGGGCCCTTGGTGGTTTCTGCGGAGAAGTCAGGGGCAATGTTGCCCAGGCGGAGCACCTGCAGGTGGGTAAAATTTCACATTAGTTGATCTTCTTTCACCGACCATGTCAATTCAGGAATTTCTTATTGAACTCCTGTGCCAGAAAGAAAGAGAGTCACAGGGGAGAGGTGACCTTTACTCGAACATAAGTATCAGAATGCGGAAGCAAGAAGTGCTTGGTCTTCTTAGGAAGCAATTGGTACGTTTTATTAGCAATTCAGAGAGGATGCCAAGGGTTCCTCTACTTTAGATCAGCGCAAAAGATGAGCTTTTCCGAACCCCTAGACGTAAGGCCCCAGCCCACTTCGTTGCAAAATCTCAATGCTGAAGAGACTGATGCATGTGACACTTTGTGAGAGACACACTTGCCTACGCCAAAGGACAAGCAGCAATAAGCTCAGAGAATTAAATATAGAGTTGCTGGAATTGCATAAACACCCTTCGTGATGCCCCACAAACTGAGCCCTTCACACTCTCATCATTGAGGCTTAGACCCAGATCGTACCTGCCCACTTTTCAGCAGATGAGCAGCAAACGCCACACACTGAGGTGCAATACCAACTGATGCGCCAGATGAAAACAAGGATACAACAGCGAGGAGCACATTTGGAGCTTCTGCGGCTTACCCCATCGCTGGACGTCTCAGGATACAGCTTCGCATAAGCCTCAGCTCCGGAAGGGACTGCCGCCATTGCTGCTGACTTTGAAGATAAGAAGAATCTGACTGGTTGCAAGGCGGGTACAGAGTCTTGTTCTGGGAGCTGAGAACAGAAGCAGGAGCTTTTGGATGCTTGAAAGCAAAGGAAGCTCGGCGAGTTGAAGTTTGAGAATGACGGAAAGACACGGAGCTTTAAGTAGCTGAGGATCTGGCTGGGGTTAAGGGGGCAGAAGCCTTTATCTTATTGCATTCGCTGATCTGCGACCGGGTCTGTAGGGTTCGCAAGGAAGGAATGCAAATTAGGGGTGAGTTCTTAGGATTGCTCTATTGTTCGGCACATGATGAGGGCCCACTTTTGAGCTAAGGAAAGTTGTGATTCAACCTGTGTGGAAATGCGTCGCACTCGCAGTAGGTACTGCAAAGGACGTGAGCCCCTCATAAGCACGTGCACCGGAATGGCCCCCATGGATGTCAGCACGATCTCTGACGTCACGGGCCGATCAATCTTCCGAGTTTGCCTAGGTTAAAGTGGTCCATAAAACTCCATTTGGAAACTGGCTTCCGCGAAGTTGTGTCAAGCTCATCTAGAATTTCTGCCCCCACTACCTACAAGTCTAATGTAGGTAAGTTAGGTAGCTGGGTACTAGCTGGGCTGTGGACTCTTCATGGAGACTCATATTGGGGCGATATCTCAAGTGCATCATGCACTGCACAGCGTTGCGCGCCGCCGCCGCCGCGCAATTCCGGGCGAAAAGCCATCATTGCAGATTGCCAACACGGGGCTCGCAAATGGCCACGTCACGTGCACAACGCATGACGTCAAAAATGACTCCCGCAAAATTGGCCTCCACACGCGCTGATTGGCTCAAAATGAGCCCCCGTGCACCATGTAAATTCCAAGTCCAAGCCCGGGGGGCGACCGATAGGGGCGGTGATGACCGGGGTGAAGTCGCTGAGAAGCGGCGGAAGACCACGTACTATACTAGAGTCTATAGGAGGGCCCATTTCTGGCCCGCCAGTCTTGCGAGAAAAGAGATCGATTACTGCGGTAGCGGCGCAGTAATAATGGCTGCCGCATTCGGTGCCTCAAGTGGCTCATGCTTATGGCTGGTTGAAGGACCACTTTGAATAAGTCCCATAGAAGCAGTACATATTAAATTCTGTGGTCTATCGAAGAGCGCGCGACGAAGTTCTTCTTGAGTCCACGAGCTGAGTCCCACATTCTAGCCCGTGGTCGCATGATAATGGACTCGGAAGTCGGAAGCACACTATGCTAGACTGCAAAAACTGCAGATATATAGCTCTTAGCTTTGAACGCGACTCTTGGCATCTCCTTGGCAAAGACGTATGAGTACGTATATAACTGGCACTTCTACTCTTTCCCACTTCTAAAGATTCTTCGTCAGCTCAATCGTGCTCCCAACCTCCACTTCACTTTTGGTATTTTGCTTCTTGAACTCGTCACAGAGGAAGTGAGCAGCTGAGACACTGCCAAATCAAATCCGCACTGCAAACAGGTTGAGAGCCCTTGCGTGATCCTCGCACACGTCGGCCCAGCTAGCGCCAGGTACGTATGGAAACACAACATTGCTGCGATGCACGATGCAACTTGATGGACTTCCTTTTCAAAAATGTTCGTCTGTCTTCGTGAGCTAGCTTTGAGCAGAGTCTGAGGAGGGGTAAAGACTTCTTCAGTGGAGGGACCTGCGAGACTGAGGATGGGGAGTGATAAAGTGTGATGAAGTTGAGGTTCTTTTGTATGAGCTGCCACAAAGTTGCACTTCTCTTAAAGAACGTCAGGGAATATGCATGGTACTTATTGCCTCATTCTCTTATTCTGTCTCTAGAACTTCCTTCTCATTGATTCTTCCCTGCAAACAAACGTTTCTCATTCTTTAGTGCCAGCTGTCGTCAAGCTCTCAAATTGTCGATCTTGGCTCACCTTGTATGATTGGATCCACTCCACATTTCCTTTGCAAGTCTTCAACAACTAGACAGAAGCACAGAAGGTTATGCTAGAATACAATTGTTTGAAAGAAAACGTTGCCCCAGATTCATTAACTAACATTGCCCTGCTTTCTCCTCTCTGCAGATCTCATTCGTGAGCCACCCCATCAGCCAAAATGCCGGGCCTTCTTGAGACCCCTCCCCTTCACTTTGGCTCCATCAAATATGTCAGCGCAGTGCTGGCTGAATTCTTTGGGTCCCTGGTGTTTGCCCTTGCGGGGGGTTCAGCGCTCTATGTTGCGACAGGGCCACTGGCACCCCCCCCAAATGTGGTCATGGCAGCTTTCGCCAACGGCTTGGCACTGATGATCGTCAGTAAGTCATCAAAGCTGAACTTGATCATGCTTCTTGCTGCAGACAATCTAAAACTGCTGGGCTCATGGAATGCTCTTCAAGGCATAGAGTATGCTATGTAAAGTCCTGCGGGCCCCGAGGAATCTGCTAAACGACTGCGTTAGTGAAACCAGCTGGTAATCAAAGAGCAGTACTGCCTGGCGTTTTATCTCTTCTTGGCTTCGACTCCTTCTATTCAACCACTCTCCAAAACAAAAGGTGTCCAGCCCGTGCTTGCCTGCTCTCTGCACCAAACAGCTATCAGCTGTCCCTAATCCCAGCCGCCGTCAGGAGTGAATCCAGCCTCTCGTCGTTTGGAAAAACCCTCTCTCGAGTCTCCAAAGAGTTTCTGACTTTGCCTCGTTCTTTGCAGTCTTTGCGATTGCCAACATCTCGGGAGGCCACGTCACCCCCACCGTGACCATCGCGACAATGATCACCGGTCATATCGACCTGCTCAAGGGACTCCTCTACATGCTTGCGCAACTTCTGGGCGCCATCTTCGCTTCTCTTATCATGGTAAGCGTTGACAGGGTTATGGCTCTTTGCCTGAACTGATTTGAGATGCTTGGCGCTTCGTTCCTAAACTGGTGCGTTTCTCTCCAGGACATTCGCCTTTCTGTTGCGCATTTGGAGGTTCGGTTTCCCTTTTACAAACACAAAGTAGGCCATCGTCTTTGGGATCTGCACTTAAGCATCTCGCAAAGTAGCTCTTCGTGCGCATCCTTTCCTGATCACCATATGCGCAGCAGTGACCGCAACCTCGCTCGTATGGCAGGATCTTTCAAGAAATAGCAAGTTTTCAGGTTCTTACGTGATCTCCCCAACTACAATTGTTGCACTTCGCACCGACCTCAAAATGCCCCCACTGATTCTCGCCCGGTTCTTTCTTCCAGGCTGGCCTCGTGCCCGGCGCAGGCGTTGCCATGGGCGACAGCGGCCCCGGTTGCTTCTCCCCGGGCGCAACCACCACCAACGGCCAACTCTTCGGCTGGGAGTTCTTCAACTCCTTCATCCTCGTCTCAGTGGTTTACGCCGTTGCCATCGGATCCCCCTCTTTCGGTGAGGGCAACTTTTGCTCATCCGGACTTCTATTCCAATTCCGCTAGGTTCTTTGGTGAGGGCACCATTCGCTCATCGGACTCGTAATCCAGTTTCGCTATTGGGCACTTTGAAGATGCCGTCGTGTGACGGCCTTTTGAGCCTGGGAGGAGTTTCGAAGCTTCGACCGCTCTGGGCGGGACAGTTCTGTTTTTCAGACGACTTCGTTCCGTCCAGATCGCGGGCGAAATTCGCCTAGCTGTCGGACTCAGTTAGCTGTTTCCGCCCGCTTGCGAGACTTTATCGCTCTGCTCATGTCACCTCGTCAATCTGCTCTCTTCCAAATGACGTCATCAAAATCCCCCGCCAAACTTGTATATATAGTTTTGGCCGCATCACTAACAACCTTCTTTTCGTTCGTCCTCAGGGAACGTCGCTCCGATCGCTGCCGGCTTCACTCTGGTGGTCGTCATCTTTATGTCAGCAGCTTTCTCCGGGGGCGGTGTCAGCCCGGTCCGTGTGCTCGGTCCCGCCTGCGTCTTCCACTGCTACTGGGATAAAGTGGGCTACTACATTCTCGGACGTAAGTATTTTCGCTGCTTCTCTTCGTATTTCGTTCTTCCGTTGTTAGTTTTCGAGGCTTTGTTAGCAGACTGACGTATGAATCGGATGCTGCTTTTTGGTGGCAGTTGAGCCCAGGGAGACCTTTGAGCTGTTCTCGTGCTTCAAGAAAGATGGGGTTCAAGCGGTACTTGATAATCTCGAAGCAACGAGAAACCTCCTTTCGTCAAGACGGAGGAGGTTTTGAGGTTTACTTTGGACTTTCTACTCCGGCTTCGTTCATTCAAAATGCATTCTGAGCGGAGGACACGATCGCGATGCTGTAAGTCACAAGCGGCGCTCATATGCAGTTTTCTGTGGGTTACCTTACTTTCCGTCAGGTGTCACAAAGTTGGATAGGACTTCGCTTGTCAGGGCCTCACCTCGCGAGACAATTTTGAGTCAATCAAAGGCCATTCAATCCTCGTTGAAACGGTCCTCGAGCAACCTTACAACTCCAGAAATAGATAATTCTGACGCCAAACACTCTTGGGCATTTACTCTGACCAGCGATGATTTCCCTCTGAGATCTGCTCTTGTCGGTTGCTCTTGTACCGCCTTGGAGAGTCCACTGAGTTTGGGCTTGCATCTGCGCAGAATTTGGCGGCGCCATCATTGCGGGGCTGTTCGCGTGTCCCCTGTACGGCGGCCACGCGAAATGGATGGACCCTTTCATGCCGTGGGGCCACGTCAACTACGAGTCCAAGCTGGAGGCTGACGGCTCCTTCCGGGGAAAGCCCGGGCATCCCGAGAAATCGATGGAACCGGCGTCAAGCGTTTAAGAACCGGGTACTTGGTCCGGGAGAAAGGAGCCCATGTCAGGATTCGGGTTCTAGAGTGGGAGGAGTACGCGTGGGTGTATTATCGTAGCGAGTCGATGGGCCGGGACGAAGTAGATATGCATATCTGCTACGAAAATGAGGATATCGTATGGTGCCCATAAGCAGGCATGTTGTTTAGCGCAGGAATCTGGTTTAGTGGGTTTCAGCACGTCGACCGTCAAATGTAGAAAGACTGGACGGGTTAGTGTAACCCGAAATAAGCCGGGTCGTTGTAAAATTGCGTGCAAGTAAACCTTAGGGGAAATGTCTTCTCCAGGAGCAGTCCAGCTGCTTATTAGTGCAAAACATTTTGGCTGTCGAAACTTTGTCGGATGCGCGCGGATAACTGCAACCATTATAAAGTCACGAACCCTGCGGTGAACCTAAACACTCTCGCTAGCTTCGTCTACTACCAGCTTTGCAGTTTGTACGGTTTGCAGCATCCTTGCCATATTGTAATCCACTAGTCTTAAACTTACCGTGAAGCGACATCTTAGTCATTCTCTAGACGCCTCGATTATCATTCAACGATTTCTCATGATCAGCGCCGACGGTCCCGTAGCATGGCAGCTGGATAGAGGAATCTTGCGTGTTGTGGAGTACTTCTTCCATGTATGCACGTCAACTTGCTGCGAGGACACGCGATGAGTCAAAAGCATGCTCGCCAAGTTGTCTTCTCGCATTCAATCGCCTGCCCGATACGGTTCTTGCCCAGATTATTTCCTGCGAAGCACTTTAGGCAGAGTCGTACATGTACGTACATGTAGCTCGTGATTTGTGATGCAGAAAATGGAAACTTTCAAATCGAATTCTTACGCGCCATGGTTCGTCCGACTCGCCCTTTCAAGGGCATCAGGCAAGCCGCGTTCTGGCAGCACAAGATGCTTTTTAGCTTGCGTCCAAAGATAGGAGATGAAGAGCGTATCGATCATGGATTCCACGTGCGTGCCCGAGCGACGACACTTTAAGTGATGCCAGAAATTATACCAGCTGCTGCCCAAAGGATTGAGCTACAGCTTGCATTAAAGCAGCCGCGGGCCCTGTCCTCTTCGGACCGTCCACTTACTGTAGTCTTGCCCAAAGGATCTGGCAAATCTGTATCCGGCCGCGAGTCTAATGTTCTTCCGGCTAGTTAAGAAGCATGAATGGACACGTGGGCACGATTTGGCACCGCGGCACTATGGTAGCCCTAATTGAACTCCTAGAAAGCTCTAGGCTAAAGATCTCGTAAGAACGAGGACGACTTGGTTCTGCGCGTGGGTAGTTAAATGTTCTCCCTCTAAGGTACTAATCAAATAGCCAAGCAAAGACTCGGATGGCTTGCACACATGTGCAGCTGAGTGTATGTTGCTGCGGAGCTCAATTTAGAATCGTTGCCAGCGGCTGCATCGTTCTAAGCGTAGGGTCGCCATTAACTTAAATCCAAAGCGCTTTAATCTATATTATGGCACAACGCATGCAAGCGTCGGAACGCGCGCATCACGTGTCATCTTGTCACCTTCACTTGCGGAGCCAGGCCCTTAGGCCCTCGTCGCGACTGGTTAGTACTTATTCAATAAAGTCCATGCTCAACTCGAATCGATCCCAAACACTGTCAGTTGACGTGTTAGCTTGCACAACGTTTTGGCTCAAAACTGCATGCAGGATAGCTATCTGGTTCTGCAAAGCGAGCATTATAGCAAAATAGCACACTTTGTAAATGCCCTCTATCAAGAAAACTCGGTTGTGTTAAGATTTCGGAATGCCTCCAGCAACTTGGCGAAGCCCAAAGCAGAATTCCGGCTGCCGTTCGGAGCACAGATGAAAGGCCCATTTTCTCACTTCCTCGTTTCTGTCTTTCCAGTCTCGGAAGTATACAACTCAGCCACGACCCGATCTTCCTACGATGCCAACCGACCGCCCTCCACAATGTCCTTCAAGATGGACCGCCCCGCGGGGACTCTCCAACCGAGCTCTTTCTCCGCCACTTCCGACGTGTACCGGTTGGTGATCGAGAAGAACCAGGCGAGCGTCGGGTTCCAAATCTTGGCCGCCTCTTCGAAGGGCACGCTCTCAATACGAGAAAGCGATAGCCGCTCGGCGATCGCCTCGGCGATCTTTTTACCGGTCACTTGGGTGTCGTATTTGTCACCGATGTTGAAGACCGTGCCTGCAAATGGATTGGAAAGCAAGTCTTGGCTGTTGACTCTGTTGAATGAACGCCCGTCCCGCTGTAGAAGGCTGCAGGGATCGACTTGCATTGAAGAAGCAAGTACGGCGCCGGAGCTTTTTGGGTTCCGTCCCCTTTTCTTCGGACGGTGGTCTAGCTTTGCTTCTCCAAGGAGATCTTAGAACCCGCTTTCTGATTCTCTCGTAAGACTTGAGGAGTATTGATAAGCTTCCTATTCGTTTGGGTTCGTTTGGACGCCCGTCAACGAAAAATAAAGAGTTCACAGACCGAAGCCATATTCCGCCACCTTGGCCTCCAGATTTACGCAAGGACTCTGGTTGCAGAATGGTTGAACCAGAATCGGAGCGATCGATCTCAATTTCACTCCATGCAACTCAGATTCAAACAAGAGATTCACAGAATCTTCACAGAATGGTCCGTCCTAGGTCCGTGGCTGCTTGAAGGCTGTCTTGTTCCCACTAGCAAAAGCTCCTCTGTCACAATCCACGCCACACCAACGCTTTTGTCAACCGATGCAGACACCAGGTCGCACAAGAATAACGGGAGGGCGCGTTGAGACGATAGCGAAAGGGAATCTTCCCTACCTGGTGTGAAAGGCTTCTCAACGGCCAACACGTATGCGGATGCAGCGTCCTCCACGTGTATCACGGTCGTCAGGTTTGACCCTGCAGGTGAGAAGTCTAAGCTCAGCAGCTTGCAACCTGTATTTCGCACTTCTTATGTAGGAGTGATGAGCTTGAGGAAAATGAGATAGAAACCGAAACTGAGAATCATAACCGCATTTGCCACCAGTCCGCATCCTAACGGACCCCAAATCTTGGAAACTCCCTCTGATTGACTCGTATCATACTGGTGACCACCTTATCTTGGAGATGTCAACGCTTCTAATGCGAAAGCGTTAAAGGTTGGCAGCCTTTCGCGAGTGTAAAAAGTGACGGCTCTGCCCAGTTTGTTTCCTGCATTTCTCCCGCAGCTTCCCCCCCCCCCAGCAAAGGTCTTATGTGTTGTGCAAGAATCTGGACCGTCGAGCTGCAGTCGGCCGGGCTGACTTTGAGTGCGGCAGGGTTGAAGGCTGACGGGAGAAACGCAGAACACCGCTGAGCTGCCCGTGAAGGCAGGAGAATCGTTGGGTGTGTCCGGCTTGCTGACCCCACTAAATGCACAGCCGCAAAGTAGCTTCGACAATTGAAAGCCTCAGCTGAGCTCCTTTCATACTTAACCACGCAACGGCTCGCCGGAAGCATGAAAAGGAGTAGCTCCGTGTCGACACGGTGAAGAACGGAAGCGAGGCGGCTCTTGATCGCGTCATCCGCAGAGTCGAGGATACTAAGATCAGCAAGACAACGTCGCAGTCAACGGACATTGCCTGACCATTCGAGAAATGCCGGCACTTCAGCAAGACATACGAATACACTCTAACAGTAGAACGAAGCTGGTTTCAAACGCGCGTCTCTTTGATGACGCAAACCATCCTCTTTAAAGAGGGCGTCAGTCTATACATACCGTCCCGGCTCGAGTTTCTCTAAACCAGCTCGGAAGCACATCGACTCCTAGCAAAGTTGGCAAGGGCGCTCGACTTTTACCGTGAATACGAGCGATCGAAACTCGGTCGGAGCAACTTTACTCCTTTTTCCGCACGCCGTGCAGGTCGAACTCACACCGTTTTCAAATTTCACGTCATGCGGGCAGACTTTCCGTGCGATTGAATTTCACCGTATGCGGCTGACGTCAGGCGTTACGGGTCACGGGACGCCCTCTTTAAGCGCAAACGGGACCTGAGAAAGGTTATCCCCACCTTCGCCGATGTATCGTACAACGCCATCTTCCTTCGCCTTCGCGATCTGGATGGGTATGAAGGTGCTGCCGTTCCGCCCGTAAACGTGAAGCGCGAGCCGCATGACTGCGCTGCGGACACCGCGCGATGCTGCCTGCACGGCGAAAGGAGACCTTTGGAATCGGCAGAATCCGGTTTGACCAGAGCGCCCGATGCCGAGTGCTTGAACACTCAAGCTCCAAGATGAGCCTGGTTGAGAATGCAACGGACCGATCCAGACGCCGCGCGACGTTGCCGGGGATCGAGCGTACCGTTTTCACTCTGCGTATCTGCACATATGGGTTTGGCGAATAACGGGATTTAAACCCATGTTCACAGTCACAGACCGGCACTTTGACCAACTAAGTTATACCAAGCCCAGGACATAAGCCTTTCAGATGTGGAGAGGACCAGACTTGGAACTCAACGACAATTGCCGACCTCAACTGTAAGCCGAGATGCTTTGCCACTTTGAGCACCAGGACAAGCCCGTTTGTCAAAATACCGGACCGAGTATCGCTTCTTCGTGTCTTCGCCTTACGAGTCCGAGAACGACCTGAACAACCTGCCGCGAAGTACTTCGAATACATCTGGGTCTAGTGTTGCTGAGCTCCTCTCTCCTGAGATTTTCATTTGAACCTGGTTTGCCCGCCTGGACTTTAAAGCGACCCAGCTCATAGAGTCCAAGAACAAGGACGAAGCCGTCTTCCTTTTTCGAGAAATGGATCACTCAAATTCCAATCAGCGAAGCGGAAAGTTCTGCTCCCAACGCCCTCAAGTGTTGCTAAGCATGTACGTTCGAAAGTCCCTCGAGCCCCAAGCCCGCTTGCTCGGACAAACAACTGCTTCGGCACAAGTCGAGTTGTCGGGGGCCCCGTTAACCGGGAAGGCTGGTCAGTCGATCGCGCCAGCGTGGCTGCTTAACCCGAGTGGTTGATGGCGTGTTTTCCACGCATTTATGAGCGGGTTAAGGAATGCCACCCTAGCGGAATTGGGTCCTAAGAACAAGACCAGATTTACTTTGAGGCCGGCCTTCACAGTGCGCCGCCTTTCATCCCCGTCAATTTCAGAGAGAGTGGTAATACTGTGCATCGGTTTAAGCCTCAAGCGCTTAGGCAGAACCTCAAGCTTTCTACCCCTTACCTGCACATAAGCCTGCTCGGAAGCGACGCGTGCCGCTCCCCCGGGTCCGGGCTTCAGCTCCGTCTCCTCATTCGCAACCTGATCGCCGGTGTCCTCATATACACCAGAACCTGCAAAACACCTTTAACCAGTTTCATTCACGGAAAAGATCTACCGTTGATCCACTTGAATCCCGGTTCTGGTCGACTGCTTCCTGTAAGACGGTTGTGTCACGGACAACTTTGACCAATCACGTTAGCTGAGAAGATCTGCCGTCACTCAGGTTGGTTCGTGAGCTTTGGTTCACTGCTTTCTGTAAGACGAACGTGGCGGAGTTACGGCTGACTCCACTGAGCACACTGAAGCGAAGGACCTAGTTGGAGGCCAGAGTGGAGAAAACAAAACGACCGATGCAGGTTGATGCAACTGGATGTCAACTGCAGCGTTTGAGGCACGAACGGGGCACTAAGGAGCTACAGAGAACCTCTTTTCTCGGAACGTATAAGCTTCGTCTGTTACATATCCTTCTTTGTGAGTTCAAAACAAAACACAAGGACAGCAGCATCCATATCGCTAGGCCTGTTCGCTCGACGATAAAGCGCCTGCCCTGCGGACCTTTCTGTGAAGCGAGGAAACCGTCCTTGTGGCGGAAAGCGAGTGGAAACCCAACGAAGAAAGACGTTCCGACGAACAGGAGCAAAACCTGCTTCGCAGCCGAAAGGAGTAGCGGGGAGCATACCTGACGTTCCGACAAGAACCTTATTGGTCCCAGCCAGCGCCTCTGTGAAAGCGCCAATCACCTTCTGGTCTTGCGCCAGGGCCTCATCGTACTTGTCAAAGTCGTGGATGAAAGCGAGATGGAGGACTGCAAGTTAAATCATGCACAATGTAGGGGTCTCGGCCAATCAAAGTTTTCCATATCGCATGTCATACACGCCATTGTTGATAGGGTATAGTTTGGAAGGTGAGGCATCCTTGAAGCGCTTTCCAGACACTCTCACGCTTGAAACAGATTTGCATTGACAAGCTTTTACATTCTGGGGTGCAGGAGGCTGAAGATTCTCATTAGAGAGGCCAGCTCCTTCAGCTGTGGCATAGACCTGCGTCCGATCCGATCGCTTCTGTCACGCAGAAAATCGCTGTGACACATATTACATCAGAAGCTGGTTGTATAAAGCGACTCTAGAGTTGGCGGAACGTAGAAGTTGAAGAAGCCCAGGCTCCTGCCTCCGGATAGGTCAACTTCTGTGATCACGGCAAGTCGAACTTGGTCAGGTGGCCAGGATTGCCGGGTCAAGCACAAACCAAGGCTGCATATGAAGTCATTTGCTCTTAAGCAAGCCTGCTCAAAGCGCAGCTAACCTGACGTCAAAGAGCATTTATTCAAGTCAAGGGCCATCACTTAACCACCAACAATTTTGCCAGTGGCAGTCTCTTAGTCTGCCCGGGGAGAGATTCAGCTTGTGTGTCTAAACATCTCGCTTGCCTCAATGATGTTTCCTGTGTCACAAGCACTCAGACTAGAGTGCTTGGGTTATGAAAAGGGTAACCGGTTCTGGTCAATGCCAAGAAGCGCATCTGGCTCAGCTCCAAACCCCCTTTCTGCAGTTGGGGGGCAATTGAAAATCAACTAGACGATGGCCTTTCTCATGCAACAGGCCACAAGCAGGTCATCACTTGCACAACAGTCAACTTCTTGATTGACTCTGAACTGGTGTTGGTCAAAGTCTCACCAGCATCAGCTTTCTGTGCCTCTTCTTTCAGAACGTCGAGCGTGTGCAAGTCCCCAATGACTGGATCCACTCCTTTGGCCCTGAGCTTTTCAGCGGACGCTTCGCTGCGCGCCAAGCCCCGCACCGTGTGACCGGCCTTGAGGGCAAACTCTGCAATCACGCTGCCAATGTACCCTGCCATAGATAACAAAGAAAAGTCTGAATTCGGCTTTCTCAAGAAGAGGCAATGTAATGGTTAAGAAGTAACACCAGGTGGTAGGAGGAACACTCATTGGCAGATCAGCAGTTTACTTAAGCGCAAATTCTCTGTGTCACAGAAACGAGAGGGGTCTTGAACAGTAAAGAGGTCAGAGAAGATGAGCAACGGCAGTCGTCAGGCCTTGCTAATTGAAGTTCTCTGAGGTCATTATTGGGAGCAGAATCCCAGCAGAATTGTGCAGGTACATCGAAGCTGCGATTTTGGTCAGCAGCGAGGTCAACAAAAGATTTCTCCTCAACTGCTCTTGCATGTCGCCCACGGCATTGAGAGTGCGAATATTCATTCCAGAGCTAGCCAATCATATGGGGCTACACAAGATGATACCAAACACGTGCATCCGCTTCCTCACATGTCACCAACTAGATAGTTATGCTAGCGACCTCCTGAGAGAAAATGCAGCAAGGGGGTTCTCGCAGTGACTTACCTGTGGCACCAGTCAGAAAGATCTTCACCATGGTTGCAGCCAACAGCAACACAGCTGTCAATCTGACTATTCTGCTTTGAGCTGCTGCAATTGAGGTCGCGAGAACGTCCGTGTGAACTCTACAGGTTGTTCTCGTCTACTCATCAATGGTGGCAGATTGAGATCTGGACAATATGAGAACGACTGCATTGAATTTGAAAAGCATGAGAACTGAGATCAGAAACTTCTTGCTTATTTAGGTTCTTGCTTTAAGGTTCTCCATTGGCATTCAAGGATAGTGGATCCATGCGCTTGCGCTTGCATGATGCAGACTTGCATCGAAAATTGCATCTATAGGCTATACACACTACCGGTCGACACGGAGAAATTCGGAGACGCGCTGCTTGACACTTGTCACACTGAGACTGCTCAAGCACGTTAGAACCGTCGATGGATTTGTCTCTCGCGCTGTCGACCGTCCAATTCTGGTCACCGAGGGCTCAACCTACACCATTTGATGCTGTTCAAAGGTATCACCGGGCCCCGTATGGCCCCATGTACTGAGTGGGATCGAAAACTGAGCTCGTAAACTTCAAAACTGTGGCGCTTCGCCTGCATAAATTGAAGTTCCATGCATGTTGCACGACATTTCGGGAGGCGCTGCATCCGACAAATCACATCACAGCCATGTGCAAAAATTAGTCGTTACAACTACCAAACCCTTCCAGAAAGCACAATCAAGCCACATGAATATGATGCACATTGGTTGCATCGTAGAAGTTCGAAGCACGTTCCAAACCCGTCAACCTTTTCAGCTGATTGATCGAGTCTATTCTAAAGATTTGCTACTATTATGCCAGAACTTAGGTCGGATAGGGACTAGCCGGTACTAGATTTGCTACTTTCAGATTTTGGACCAGACTTGTATCTGTAAGTCGTATATGCTGCATGATTGACCAATTGTGATCCAAAAGGGAAGGAAGTAGCAGGCAAGGCCGCATCAAGCCTCAAAGGACAAGGGCCACCTTGACAACATCGTTGTGCTTGTCCACTTGACCGCCGCCGGAAATCAGCCGAGAAGAATGCGAAGGCACCTTGCTATCAAGCAAGCTCTTCTTGCACAACCTGGTTCTCCTCCACATCTCACAAAGATAAAAGAAATGGCCACTGTATCCTATAATATACATAACTCCACATCATCCTTAAAGTCTGGTGCCTAGCCTGAGCAACGTAAAGGGGATGCATACCGTCCTTTACTATGGTGGAAAGCTTTAAGATCTGCTCCAACATCTGCCATCATAACTTGGATCACCACGGTTGGGTTGTTTATTGTAATCTTCCACACTACCAAGCTCTAGCTCACTGAGCTGTGCCATTTGCAATTGGAGGCGCCATTTCAGTGGCATTTGGCAGGACGCCTTCGATCGCCAATTGATTTCCTGGAACATCAATAGCCTGCAAAAGTGCGCAACTCAATCAGCGTCTCCCCCCAACAAGTGACGACCAGCCGAAACCAATGTTGAGGCCGGAAAGCAATACCCTGCGCTTCTGATCAGAAACTCGTCACCTCGTTGCTATATGCTCTCTCATAACATTCCCCGATGACTCCCGGTCATTGAGATCCCGACGTCTGAGTCAACCTATGCGTATTCAGGAGACAAAGCAACGACAAAAGCTCTTTGCCTTCTCTTCTAAACGCTCTTTGTTGGGCTGAATGCTTGAGGCTTGACGTGATATAGAGTCCAGCTAAGAAGGGAGGTTTCGATAGACTATCCTGACGGAACTTTGCATCGCTGCCCCTCACATCGGAAATCAGACACAACCGTCGTGATGAGGTCACACGCCTCCACTGCCTTTCTACTGCTTGAAGATTCATAATTGCTAAAGAGATTGAATTACCTGGATCTGTTGTCCCAGGACTTCTTGCCCTTGGACCATCGACTGGTGCTCGGAGCTGATTGGCTCCGGAAGAAGCTGAGGCAAGTACTCCTGGTGGACGTTCTCCTGCCCGTCCATCTGCGGTTTAGAGTGTAATGTGAGATTTCGGCATCTCCAACGCGAAAACATCACTCTGAGAAGTTCTGAGTCTGCGCGGAGTGACCCTTGCCGTGTCAACGGACCGACATCAGCAGTGAAAACTGTTCACGAATACGGGTCACGTCGGCAAGCCAAGTATAGTGCCGAGCTAGAGCAAGCTGCTGATTATAGCAGATAGACGAAGAAAGGGAAGTAGGATTCAACTTCGACACGCAAGAAATTGGGAGAGATTCCGTTGGCAAAAAGACTGGAATCGATTGACAAGTACTAAGAATCCGTTTGCTCTGGACTCTGGAACCAAATCCTGGAAGAGTGTACCGTACTCAAAAGTAACTTTCAGAATAACGAGCGTTACTTGAAGCATCCCTTAGTGTGCCGAAATTCCTCAAGGGGAATGTCTGATCTAGCGCGGCCCAGTCAGCTCTTTACAAGATGTGACGCCCTGCTTGGCCCGTCTCTTCGAACGGCTTTGTGGCATTGGACTCTTGTTGACAGGTCTCCATTAGCAATCTGTTCTGCTTGGCAAGAGATGAGGCTTTGCTGCAGAGGGACGACCAAGCTTGTGCTGCTGGTTCAACCAAAGCATGCTCGGGTTTCCTCAGTGTGCCCCCAAGAATTCGGGTGTCTGTTGGGGGCAAGACTTTGGGGGCGCCGGAGATGTTCACGGGCTCTGAGACAGCCACTTCCTTGGTAAACCCTTGTAGTCATTGGTTGGAAAACGTAGACTACTGACAGCTTGCATGCGCTGGCCCTCCGCCCTTACCCTACACTTTCAAATTCATTGGCCGAGTCCTGAGCACTACATATTGTACTCTGATTTTTCACGCGGTCGACTAGCAGAACCAAGCCTGACTCTTGAAAGCTGGCTCAAACCTATGTGTCAAGGGTAGATTGCAAACCCGTGTACAACCGCGCCAGGAAAACAAAAACAACAACCATTTAACCAAATTGCATACGAAAGAAGGAGGACCACTTCTCATAGTACCACAGGTTGAGCGCTTACCGAGTCCCTTGGCTGTTTGTCTTTGCGGGTGTCCCGAAGAGCACCCTGTAGGGAACGAAGTGAAAGATGGTCAGCCAAATAGGTTTCTCGCAGCGAAGCCGGATACAGCAGAATCCGGGATTTCGACGATGACGACTGGAAAAGCCTTTCCCAGCTCACAAATACAACCCCTTTTGAGTCCAGAGATTCAGAGCGTTCATTCAAACTCAAAACGCCCTGACTGCTCGTCCTCGTGACCAGACAAGATGGGCAGTTACAAGGTATCCTCAGACAACTTTGTCAAAATCCTCAACGACTTGGTCAGAAGTACCGCACACAACTCAAGTACTGCCTTTGAATGTTAGTACAGGGCCAAATGATCACCGAAAAGGTCAGATAAGAGAATGGCCAGGTTTCGCTTCCCATCACCGAACGACACGTGCCAACAATCTCTTAGTTTGAAGCTGGTGGCCGACCGCAAAACCAGCAGGAAATTTATGCAAGGCCGACAGAGGTCTTCCAAGGAAGACAGTGTCTCGGCTCAAGGCCAGGTGTCCAAAGCTCGGGAACGATGACAAGAGCCAAGAGAGGATACCAGAAACATGGCCAATTGAAAGAAGCTTTTACTCAATCCACCGCCCGGGATCTGCAAGCCCAAAGGAATGAAGCCTGCCAAGTGACTCAGCTTCGAGAATGTCGTAAAATCAGACCAGACTGAACGAACCACACCTCTGCCCCTTTCAGTTGCCTGTCTTTTCCACTTTCAGGGGTTTAGACACCTGCTGCTACGAAGGGCCACCACGATGATCAAATAGACGGGCTTAAGGAAACAGCAGACATGAGGACAGAGAATGGAAGGGGCTACGAACGAGCTGCCAAAGACGCACCTTGCTGGCCCACTGCAACCCGCACGCGTTGCAGAGTGTCCCGGGGCCATGCGGACCCCGCCTCATCATGGGGGTCTGCTTCTCACCAATACCGCAATTTGTGCACCTGCAAACACAAATAAAGCTTCAGTGGCAAGGAAGAAGAACAGTAATCTTGTTGTAAAAAGCTCGATCTCGGTCACGCGCTGATGTATATTCACTTCCACAAGTGTCATGGTGGTAAAAGGCTGTGATCCAATCCTGTGCTCGGAAAGTTTGAATTCGGATCCCTCCCCTTCAAGGTGAAGATAGACGCCTGCTTCGTTGTCATTGGGTCTAGAAATTAGGGCCGCAGCCTGCGGAATGACCATGCTCTCAGGCACGTCGAAAGTGGCCATCTCTAAGTGCGCGAGAGTTGCAGTACACAAAAGAATATTACTTGCCTCAAGCCCCAACCAAACCATCCAGGCAACCCAAGCAAGCTGACTGACGCATCATCCATTTTTGAAAGGACATCAACTTGCAAAAGGATGATGCAGTGCACCCCAAGCCCTCACTCACTTCCGGGAGGCACAGGTTACCTCCTTGGAAGAAACCGTCCAAAACAGACACTTGGAAGACACAACTATCAGGAATCGATTGAGACATGTCTGCAGGCCGGCTAGCAAGCCCTCAGCAGACCCGCGTCGACACAAGTGGTCAGAAGCGTTACAAACATGATAAGTATTTCGAAGATTACAGGAACTGTGAACACCGGGATAATGGAAGCCAGATCCTTCACTTCCTGAATGAAAAAATACTTGAGCTTTTCTCTACATCAACCATAAAACATTTCCCACCGTACAAACACAAGGATCACAAGGATGCTCACGTCATCTCCTGGTGGGCCTGACCATCTGACCCAAACTCCCCGCCCCCGGAACCATCATCGCTTGGCTGCGGTCGGTTGGAAGCAAACTGGCCTTTCTTCCTTTGCATCCTGCAGATAACAAGCGTCATTGTAAGAAAACGTCAGCAGGAGCCCCCCATCCCCATCAGAATGCACAGCATCGACATACTCTAGCTTTTGTGTGTCTGATCCTTTTGAACCTAGTCAGAGACAAACCGCATCCTTCAAAAGTCTCAGTAATCATCAAAGCTGCATCATAGGGCCCCTTGATGAATGGGGGGCTGCGGTTTGTTGCACCCCCACGCAGTTCCCCAGTTGGTGGTAACTTATCAATTCATGAAGAAAGACAGTTCACAGTGCTGACGATGACTCTGTCTGATGGGGCGAAGTCATAAGCTCACCGTTGTGCCACTTCCTTGCGCACCGAGTATCTAATCTTCTTGTCATAGTTTCTCTCTTTCCGCTTCTCCCTGAAACGTTGCAGGGACGCTAGCCTCATAGGCTGGTTCAGGCGGGAGGGCAGGTCATATCCCTGGAAAGAAAAGTTGGTGTCAATCAAAGAATATCTTTGCAAAGTCAAGGTAGGAAGACATTCACGAACAGCTCGGAAGATATCTCCTGACTACAGAGGCAATCACTGGAATGCTTTCAAAAGCTGGGACCACGACCAAAACTTTGGGAAGCTTTACTTTGAAGAAGATTCCGAGAGACAGTGCTTGCAGGAGTATGTATCAGAGTTCAGCGCTCTGCTCAACAGGAGCAGAACAAGAGCAGAACAAAACAAACGAGGAAACTCAACCCGGCCACACCAGATGTAGGCGCCATAATCCTCTGAGCAAAACCAACTTCTGAGCAAGCCTCACTTGGACGCAAATCTTTTAATCCAAAACAGATCTTAGCCACTTACTCTGAAAGCACCTCAAACTCATTTTTCTTGTGGAACCGCCTGTGCTTGACGAAGTTTTAATTACCAAACCATTCAATCGGTCTGATTCAAGGTTTGGCTGCAACATACAGTCCAAACCACCATGCTGCATCGCATTGTAGGAGGTGGAGCTGGACAATCCGAGACTTCTTACCTTTCCAAGCTGGGCGAGGCTCAGCCCTGCAGGCGTCTCCTGGCTTCCAAGGAGAAGGAGCACCGCTTGCACCTGGGCAAGCAGGAGCCAAATATGTGAGTTACTTGAGGGGCAGATGCAAGCCTAGCCAGCTCAACATGTTTTTTCATGCAGTGCCAGCTAGAAGTACAGAACCTTTTTATAACCGGAATCTTTTGGACCTGGCGTCTTGTGGGGCAGGTAAAATGGGGGACAAGTACCACGCAAATTTGATCTAGCAAATAGCTGCACTTTGTCAAGTATCAAATTCGCTCCTTGCAGCATCGTCTTCTTGATACTAGGGCAGGCTTTTGGTTGGCTTGCTTCAGGCCTGAGGTAATATGCCCTTAGGCATATCAAGCTTCTGGGTGCAGCACTTATGGGTCCTCTCAGAGTCCGAGGCAGATACCCCTAATATTAGATCTGCTTATTACCACTGTAGTCAATATAAAACAAACTAAGGTAGCTACACAAGCCTGTGGAAACCAAGAATATAATAATTTAGCACTGAGCAAGTAATCGACATATTAGAAAAGTACAGAATGTTTGTACTGAACTGCCAGTCTTTAACTTCAACTCGGAGCTCACTGAATGATTGGAAGAAAGTCAGAATCCACTGCTTTGATAGGGATTCAACAAATTCAAACATCTGAGTACAATATACAGTCAAGAAAAATCAGAATTTTGAATGACCTCTTGCACTCCCAGCCACAAGATGCACAGGAAAGGACACCCTTCCTCTTTGTGTCCTGTTACGTCTGCTGGCCACCTCCAAGTAGACAGAACGGTCGCTCCATGCTCACCAAAGAAGATAACTACAGAACTCTGACAAAACCTGCCCGGACCCCTGAAAAGGACGGATGAACCACTGCACGGCAACTTTCTTGCAGCAGCCATAAAATTGCTACAAGATCCGGAACTGCTCTGAAGGATGACCATGTCATGCTCAGCTGTTCCTTTACCTTCTCAGGGGGAACCGTGTCAAACACATAGACCTCTCCTTGGTACGACAGGGTCAGCTGCTTGGTGTTCGATGGATCTCTGACTGACATCGGATCATCGTCATACTCCTCCCCCTCAATTTCCACATCCTCATGCCCCGGGTGTCCTTGATGCACAGGAGTACCCTCGTGCAACACCCCCTCGTGCATCCCACCTTCGTGCATCCCACCTTCGTGCATCCCCCCCTCATGGATTCCCCCCTCATGCATTGCCCCCTCGTGCATCCCATGATGCTGCTCTAGTTGCTGCTCATGCTGGTGTGCATCTTGCTCAGCCTGAGCCAGTCCAGCCGGCTCTTCCCCTAAGGCAGCCATTGTGCCAGCTACGGACTACTATGCGCTATAATTGACCCACAAGTACACCCAAACCTCTTTGGCCCACCTCAGATGTCACGGAAGCAAGCCAACAAGCTCAAGAACTCAAAAGACTTCCCTTCTTCTTGCTCACAAGCACAAACGGTCGTACTAGCTGTTTGAAGGGTCATTACCCAGCTCAATAGTCTTCCCTATGCACAGCTCGTGAGGTATCCCTTTCCTCACGCTGCTTCCACTGCCAGTGCCTCCTAGCTGCCGCTGCGGCGCTGCGCCTTGTGTGCAGGCTTCTTTCTCCACCACGTCAGCCTCGGTTCAGGTTTGAAAACTGAAGTGGGCTGCAAAAGTCAGATGATGGACTCTCAGCCGTCCGCAACCATCAGATCTACTCAAGAGATCCGAACCGTCAGATTACGGAGGCCAAGCAAGTTGCACGGCCCAGAATCCATCTTGCAGCGATGGGGGAACGTGGACTCGACACCGTTCCTCCACTCCCGCAGCTTCGCTCATCGTCGAAGGCAATGACCGGCCACTTTGCCTCCACAGTTAAACCTCCTACTTGCCTACATTTTGAACATCATAGATAGGTTTCTTCTAGATCTCTCGGTGATAGGTACCGGACTATCACCCCGGATCTGAGGGCCCAAGAGCGGCGCCCTTGGAGACTGGGGACCGACCATGAGGCCGAGAGCATCGGTTTCTGGACTGGACACCGGGTTGGATCAGGTTAGATCAGATAGGTACATAGCAGCCTGGGTTCTCAGTGATGTTTTTCGATCATAAAGGTTCGATCAGCAAAGCCGCAGAATGCATTGGACGGCTGACATTGTCCGCAAGTTCCCTATATGGATGGATGCGCTCGAGGCCGTTCGATTGAAAAGATCAAGCTCTGGCGGTTCCGACGAGGATGTGGACTCATGCTACCTGGCCCCCGGCCAGCTACGATGACAGACTAATTTAGATATATTATATATTTTATAATAATGCCCCTCTTCCACTACCGGTCTGGTCTTCCCGAAATTAAAATTCGAAGACCAGCTAGAAAGACCGGAGGAATGCGGAGCCAGCCAATAGAATTTCAGAGAATTGAAGACCGACCGCTACACAATGGAAGAGGTCTCCGGTCCTTCTTCCGGTCGGTCTTCGTCTCAAAAATGGAGGCACCAGTGTAGACAGGCTACTCAATCATTGCCGTTCGAGCCCCACGGTGCGCGCCGCCTTGCCATTGGTTGGATTTTACGGATCCTTCGGAAGACCGGTGGAATTATTCCAGTACCGGCGAAATCCAGCCAGTGCTTGCCACGAACCGGTGTTTAAGCTGGACCTGGCCTGCAGAAATGATGGATGCACCGGTGCCGAAGGCACCCTACCGGCTGGACAGCCGGCAGAAAATGCTGGGCGCCTAGGCAGAACCGGCGTCCGGTGCTTTAGCCCGTGTGGCAAGCCGGTAAAAGTATAGGTGGGCCGGTAGACAGCCGGCACCGGTGAAAGTTGGTGGCAAGCCCTGAATCCAGCGGTAGTAAAATAAATACTTCTTGACCGCCGACGTGGCACGGAGTTCTCGGAAGACCGGTGACCGAAGACCAGTGTAAGACCGGTCTACCGTAATAAAAGGGGGGTCTGGCCAATGGGAATTTAGAGAAATCGAAGACCGACCGCTAGTGGAAGAGGGGCCTAAGAGCCAGGTATAATAAGCTCCAGCTAACACTAAAACCCTAACCCAACAATCTACCCGCTCCGCACCCGTACCCACCCTAACCCCCAAACTAACCCCTCCCGTCCCAGGCTGGTGAGCTTATTATACCTGGCCCTTATTATTCCTATAAATTAGGTACCGTCGTCCGAGCTCCAGCTACGGTGTAATCTCAGGCTAATTTTACAAGGAAATTGGAGACTTTTACACTAGTAGGGAGCTTAGCGGGAAGAGCGGAGCTCGAGAGTTGAGAAACTTGCTAGAGTTGGATTGGATGCCTCAAACTTGGAAACCGGGAATGAGGACTTACACGGTGGAGAAGTCCACCTTTATAGGTGAGCCGTAGCTCCAGTCACAAGATGCAAGACAACATAAGCAAATGCTCGCAAGGCGAAAGCAGCAGTCCTAACGGTCAAATGCAGGTAGATAGCCGTTAGGCCATGGCGACAGGTATGCATCGAACGGTGCAGAATCGCCACGTCATTCCTATAGATGTCGTGGCGGCAGAATATACAATATCAATGGTGCACGTGCTACATACGGGCTAGCCTGCTATAGCCTATGGCCTGGCCTTGCTAAGTTAGTGGGCCTGGGCTAATAATAGTAATCATTGAATGGCAGGGGCCTCGCGGTTTCCAAATGTTAATGCAGCACGTACGTCTTCTCCCATCTGACCCTTAGACAGAGGGAAACATGTTGCAGATATTGCATTCCACGGATGTGCTTCATTGGTCGTTCCGCTCTCGAGGCCGTGCAACTATTGGGTTATAAGCTAGGCTAGAGGTCTTATCTCACGCGCTCGATTGTTGGTTGAAGATCTCTACGTTTAGCCTCGTTGCAAGCTTCTGACGGTATGGCCTTCCACCTGGCAAACGCATAGTGGGGCGGTCGACACGAGGTGAATGTGGCACACTAAATCTCGCAATCATTATTCCATTACATTCCATTGGAGAACATACTCACAAAGGACTCGTGATGCCTGCAGCAGTGACGTTACAATCGAGAACCATAAGGATTTCAGTTCCGCACAGCTACGTCGGAATACTGCAAGATTTGGGCTCGTTCAATTGCATGGCCCTCCTCTATTTTGGAGGACACACTTAGCTTGGAATGTCGATGATACAGTGTGCCAATAGTCGGTCGCCTTTTGACCGGATCAAGGACCCAGCGTAGCTCCGCTAATTGAATGAAGATGTGCCTTTGCAAGCACATGATCGGACGCGACTTTTCAGGGTACGCGACTCGGCCTCACATCATACGGCTTGTTGAGCTCGTCTATCAAGGCCACATTGGCACCATTCAAAGAGGCGGTGACAGGGCCTTCGTGCCCTTGACTTGAAAAAGCATAATCCACAATGGAACGACGACAAAGGGCCCAGATTTGATAGGCGGAAATTTTGCAACTTGCTTGGTGCTCTGGACGATCAGTGGCTGTCAACAACAGTGCCGACCTCAATGCCATCACCATCTGCATCCAGCAAAAGCATAACATCAGAACAGACCTTGGATTTTTGAACCAGTGTGCATGTCCCAAACGTTGGAGCAAGCAGAATACACTAGCAGCCACCACCCTTATGAATCCAAACATGACAGCATATGGGCAATGAGCACGTTCCGACGAGACTTCAGCTCAGAATCTGTAAGCACGACAGGAAGTTCTACCAACAGATTTCTCAACAGGCTTTGACAACCGCAAGAAGAGCAGGCCGCTGGCTCCCGGGGATTCGATCTCGAATCGAGAATTGAATCTCACTATGCCGTCTTCTCACCATTGTCCGTTTCCTTTAGCGGGAGTCTGCGGTGTCGGTCGGACACCTGTTGGAGCCTGTACTGAAGCAACGCGCACACGCCCAAGAAAGTCGAACACATGGTGAACATGGCAGTGAGGGAGAAGGCGCTCACCTGCAAGGAGAGACTCCACGCAAGTCAGGCCCTCTTGCTCCCGCATGCTTGCGGGCCTCATCTAGTTTGTACCCTCCCTAATGTTTCCGTGATAGGGTTCTCGTCTCGCGCCAACTCTGCATCTCCTGACCGTCAGTCACTTGAGATCTCGTTTGGCGCTGTTGGAGGGGCTGTTTTGCTACGGCCTACCTCTTAAGCGGCAGCGCTGGAAGCTCTAACTCTTTCTAATCTATGTTCGCTTGCCTCTTTTGACTCCAAATCAACGACTTGCGGCCTGATATCTCAGATGCAGTAGTAGCCTCCGTGTTTGACGCTGATTTACCAACACCCCCCCAAGATGAGAAGCCCACGCTATTTTAATCATCGCTGTCAGGTGTTAGTCCCTTCTGGCTACCCTTCTCCATTTGCCCAAGGCTGTGGCTTTTAGCGGCAAGCGGCTGATCTACTTCGTCGTCTGGACTAAATACCCCGCTGCTCCGTGCTTTTGGCGCAACCGGAGTTATGCTTATGAAGTGTCTCAGAAGAACGGCCGCGACGCAGTTGAACAGAGAACACATGCCAAACACCATGACCCTTGTGTAACTTTTCACCTGGAAGGGCAGCAAAACAAGTAAGCCCTCCGATGAACAGTTTTCGCTACCTCGACTGATATTGCTCAGAAGGTTTCACACGATTCAGCCACAGCCACGACTGCGAGTCCAAAGCTTTCTATCTAGCTCTTCAGAACGCCACACTTTGCACAATACGACAAACCCTTCAAGCAAGGCAAATCAGGATCCCCTTCCTCCGAAGAGGGCAACATCCATATCTCACTGACAAAGCATGCCATATTAGCGGTTGTGATTGACAACACGGGCACATCAGCGTCGTGAGCGGACTGCGCTTATGCCAACAAACAGGACTTACAGAAAGATGCTCAGACTCTCGGTTGCATCTGGAAGCGATTAAATTGCGGCTAATCGAGCGGAAGAGCACGCGCCATTGCGTTGCACAGCGAGTTGCCAACGCAAAAGCGGGAGACAAAGCGAAACCAGCGCGCTTACGTTGTAGAGCACGATGCAGACGAAGATGTTGAGCGGGATGCGGAAGAAGTTCATGATGGTGGAGCGGCTCTCCTCCGGGATGTACTGCGACCGCATCTTCATGATGCTGGGCCAGAAGATGCCCACGCACGCCTCGAACACTAGGAAGCCCAGCAGCTGCAGACGTCCGCCTGACGTCATGGGGCCGCCCTTTTCGACCTCGGGTTCAAACACGAGCTGCGGATAGAGAATCGGGGGTTGGCTTGAGGGAATGCGTCCTAGATGCAGGTTGTGATGTGGGTCAAGGATTGTGGCGTGCACGGCCTGACTGAACAACTGGGATTTTAAGTGGAGGAACTTTGAGTCTGCGCCCTGACTGAATAGCTGTGATCGAATGGAAGAAAACAATCTTTATCTAAGCGCCCTGACTGAAGATTGTAGTAGGTCAGGATCGTGGGGCAGACGCCCCACTGGAGAACGACATTCTGAATCAAGGATCTTAGGGTAAGTACCCTTTGAACACGAGCTGTAGATCGAAAATCAGGAGTAAGTTTGAGGATCTTAGGGTTTGCGCCTTGACGGAAGACTGCGATAGGGCAAGGATCCGGGAGATTTCACCAAACCGGAGGTCACTTTCTAAACCAAGAATCTTACAAAATGCGCACCGACTGAAGATTGTCATCGGTCAAGGATTCTGGGGTATATGCCCAACCGGGAGGTCACAAAGTGTGCACCTGGCTGCAGATCAAGACCAGCAACGCACCGCTTGAAACCAGGAATTCACACTCATAAGCGATTAGTCACTGGTGGAAACGAAGTAATGTCGATGACCTGCACCTGACTACAGATTAGAACCAGCAGTGTGGCGCTCGATACCAGGATGCACACTTATGAGCGATTAGTACCTAGCGGAGACGAACTGATGCCAAGGAACGCGCACCTGGTTGTAGACCGGGACCAGCAGCGCGGCGCTTGATACCAGGAACACGTACTGCATGTAGGTCTCGACGCGGCTCGAGCGCGCCATCAGGCGCGACGCGATGCTGCTCCCGATCATGGACGCGAGCATGAAGGTCGCGAAAATAAAGCCGTGCGGAATGGTCTGCTCGTTGGGGCTCAGCGCGGGAGTCCAGAGGAAGACGAAAGTATACATGGAGCCCTCGAAGAGCGACTGGATGGCGCCCAGGAGCGCAATCTTCTCGTCTGGGGAGGAGGAGAAAAGAATTATACTCGAGGAGAAATAGAAGCCGATATGATAAGGTAACCGCATTGGACGGGTAGGGTTGCTTGGTGGTTGGGGTGAGTACGGGGGCGGAGCAGGTATCTTTTTGGGTCAAGGTTTTCAATGTTAGTCGAAGCCCATTGATATTTTGGCTTATTATTCTTGTTTTTGAGTCTTATGAGAAAAGAAGGGTGAGACTGGTGACCGTTGTCAATGACGTAAGCTGCTTTGTATAATCGTCTCGGAGAGAGGGGAAGAAGGGGTCAAGTTGCGAAATGTGACCCTTCTGGTCACTCCGCTAATTTCCTATGCACAAGATGTAGCAAGGTCCTGATGACAGCTTTACACACAATCCGTCAGTTCCTGCCTGCGAAATGAACACGAGAGGAGATTGGACAGTAGCCTGGCCGTCGGAGCTACATTTCAAAACTGCGTAAGAGGGGCCCAGAAGTCTCTCCGACAAGCCAGCTGACGCAGCCGAAAGCGAACCAGTTGGAACAGAAGAGTGGTTCCTTTCTCTGTCACCACTTGCACGCAACCGAAGAAGCCCGAGGCAGAGAAGAAGCATGAGAATGCTTAAAACGCCGCTAATGCCGAAAAAGAAGGCAGGTCCTAAAGCCAGAATGTAAATCGGCGAGGGCTTCAGAAAAGTAGCGAGTACGAATCAGATCGACACCATCCACAGGACATGGTCGTGACCAACCCGCCAGGATCAAACACCGAGCCAAAACATCACCACTAACCCAACAGAGGCCTCTACTCAGGGGGACCAAACACCACTGAAACAGATCGAACCATGATCCGCACCGTCAGATGAGAAATTTTCCGATTTGGACGGTCAATATTGTGTAGTTTGGATGTCCCGAGTCCAATGTGGTCCTTGGTTAGTCTGAGGAAAGGGTTAAGACGAGTGTTAGGGGTGGGTTGATTGTTTTTTGGCTGGTTAATCCACCTAAACCTGCCCCCAATTCCTGCTAACCGGCGCGTTGCCCGGACCCCAAACTCTGGGTTTTGAAAGGTGACCCTGTGGAGGTTCAATCCCAGCAATTTTCAGTTCCGGGCAATTAGCCATTTAGCTGCTGGCACATGGTTCATGTTGCTAACTTTCTTACCTGGGGTGTTCGGTCCCCTCCCTCTACTTTCTTAGTACGAGAAATAATAACTTCAATGTGACGGCGCTGCCATGATTTACCTGCTAGAATAGAGTTCCACGCCTGCTGGAACTGCTGCTGCAGTGTCTTCTCCTCGTTCGTGTCTCCGTAGTTCTCTCCCCACGTCTTTATGATGATGGCGCATCCAATGGCTAGGAAGACAGCCGCGGTGTCAAACGGCGCGACGGGGCCGATGTCGAGGTCCACCACGAGGAAGTTGGCGATGAGCCCGGCAACGATGGCGACGAGGCCGTTCCCGAGGAAGATGGCCTTGGAGAAGGTGAGCGAGAGCCACTGGGGCTCGAAGTTGTGCTGCAGAAAGGAACACGGATGCAATATTCCAGATTGGAATAGGAAGCAGGGGTAAATGTAATCAGGAAAAAGGTTATCCTGGAAGACCTGACGATGGCGACAATGCCGTTCCCGAGGAAGATGGCCTCAGAGAAGGTGAGCGAGAGCCACTGAGGCTCGAAGTTGTGCTGCAAGGTTGTGGAAGCAGGATTTCAAGAGTCTGACATGAAATGGAGGAGTGGTCTGTCCTGGCAATAGGGCCGTTCCTAAGGCCTTGAAGAAGGTGAGCGAGAGCCACTGGGGCTCGAGGTTGTGCTGCAGGGATGACGAGGATCGAATTTTTGAAGGCAAAGCTTTGGAGGCACAGATTTTGGACTGAGATATAAGGTCTATACGGCCAGAAGAAGAAGTTTGTGGAAGACTTGCGCGTTCTCGCGGAAAGATGGCCTTGAGGAAGGTGAGAGCCACTCAGGGATCGAAGTTGTGCTGCGAAAAGAAATGCGGCACTGAATTTTCAGGGGTTTTGAGGTAAAGGTTTCATTTGCAACTTGGAAACCAGGAACTGTTGAAGTCCATCTTCTGGAAAAAAGGAGCAGTCAGGGGTGCCGCATCCAAAAGGAGCAAAAACAGCAGCGAATCAAATGAATGTTGAATGTAACGTCAGCGAGCATTCAAGAGGCCTAGGCCTCAGAGGCAGGAACCAGAATTGCAGATGATGACTTATGCAGAGCAAGAGGGATAGCCCCAACTTTGCTTCTCCATGAGGAAGGTACTCAATGAAATGTGGCCCTTTCAAAAGCTCCAACATGCCAAAGCAGTTGCCGAAACGTGTTGAAGTAAGTTCGTTCCTCACCTTGAAGTGCTCAGCGACGAGCCACGACTCAAACGCCGAGAACAGCAGGCTGGTTGCGATTCCCCCCAGGATGCGGCCAACCATCAGAATGGCAAAGCTGGATGAATGCTTGGTCCAGCAGCTGAGAATGTATGTGATGCAGTAGAGGATGCTGGCACGTTTGCGGCCGCTGCAGAATCACAAAAGACAGGGCTACTTAATGAGAAGCCTGGTCAACATTGAAAGTTCCTTGAACACCACTTCGCTGGAAACTTGCCCATTTACGGCTGCTTCAGGGAACCACATAGGATCCAGATCTTTGTCAAGATCTGGCTGCAGGAGTGGTTGTGAAGAACGGAGGACCGGAGGAAAGGCGTTTCATGTGAGAAGCCATGGCTACTTCTTGAATGTGTGCGAATGTGAACGACTTGGCCAAATAAAATACAAAAATCTGACGGAGCTCTGTGGATGGCCAAAGCATGCTGAGCATCAAACCCTTTGCCATAACCCGAGAAATAAACAAGAGCTGAACAGACCTTACGTCTATTTTTGAAGCCAGCAATTGACCAAGGGTGATGCTGGTCACGCTTTCGCCAGGAGGGCCACATGGTAAGCCTCAAAATAACCACTTTAGAAAGGGCGGACTGAACGACGTCCCGGGGATCCCTGGGATCCCTGGGCCGCGACAAACATAGCACTTTGAAGAACTCAGGTCATTGTTCACATTGCTAGCTGGAGGGGACTGATGCTTTAAATTCTGCCATGAGCGAGATGTGAAGCGTCTCTCCCTCAACGAGGTAATTTGGAAAGAACAGAAAGGTCAGTCAAGGAGAAGACAGAAGAAGCACTCACTGCTTGTCTGCGAGGGACCCCACAATTGTCCCAAAGACCATGGATGAGCCGAATCCCGCAATGAAGAGGCGCCCAATGTCCCCCTGGTCATAGCCATAGTGCTGGTACAGTGCGTATACATAAGGGCCCTGGAGCCAGTCACCAGCTGCGGAGTGCACAGACACGCGCTCAATTCTTTGTCTCACAAGTGATGCATTGCCTGGCAAGAGGCTGACAGCACTCCGTCTTGTTGATTCCAAAGTGATCACACAAGCTTTGGACAAGAGGCAAATGTCTCACAAGCAATGCAATCCCTTGGCTAGAGGCTGACAGCGCTCCATCTTGTTGATTCTAAAGCGAGTACATATACATCCGACATGAGGCAAAAAATGACAGCTTGGAGTAGCAAAGGCTGCAAAGAAGACAGTCAAGTGTGAGGAAATTCAGCGTGGAGAAAAACCAGAATGTGGGAAACCAAGAAGCAATCCCATGCAAGTATGCAATATGAGCTCCGGCGGCTTACCCATCATGAGGCTGTACACGAGGAGGTAGTTATTCTTGAAAGCCTCAAAGGCTGGGATGGTCGTGTACTTGTCCTTCTGCCCCTTGGACAGCTCTGACGCCGCGCATATGATGGCCAAAATGCCAAAGATAAGGTAGAAAAAGAACTCCATGATGGGAGTGTCCTAATTTCTAGCAAATACGTGTTCCTGAACCCCACTATCTCAAAACTCGTTTCTAGTCGCTCAACACTTCCAGCTATCAAAATGTGACTCAACAACTTCAACCGAGCAGATAAGCGGCATTATGCAGCGGAGGCCTGGAACAACATAAGTAAGCTCATGGGAGCTCCCTGAATTTGCAACTGCAAAGGAGGATGATTGCGAGCAGTTGAGCAACGTCATCAATTGCAACTCCAAATGCATAATTGACAAGAAATTCTGTGACATCATCGCTCCGCAGAACACAAACAACCGAGATCTTATGATGGATCAGATACTGGGGGAGCATGAGACCAGGTATGCGCCGCAGATCTATGCAATTGCCGGATGCCGCAACTGCATCATTTCTTATGATACTGGCAAGAAATCTACCTCATTGCACCAATCTGTCCCCTATAAAACTGGCCAAGTACACAGTCCAAGAAGCGACCAAAATTCCCCCAGAAATGCAGTGCCAGGTTGATGTCCTAGATCTGCTTCTCCACCACATTGTCATATGTCAAAATTTATCACGAGCAAGAAACCTTGGCAACGCACTGCGCAGCATGAAGGACATTTTCAATGAACATACCTGATCCTGAGAGTTCTTTGGCTTCCACCTTGCGAGTCGAGCTGCTCCTGACCCTCACAACATGGCCTTTAGAGGCAGACAGATACCGGTGGCTTGCAAGAAGGGCACATTTTACACATTGGGGCGCACGAACTCCGAGCTGCAACTTCAAGCCTTCTTTGATTCTGAAGTTCTCAAGTCTAAGGGGAAGGTCATTTTGAAGTGGTACCCCCCCTAATTTTTTGTGAGGGGGGGGAGCCTAGGGCTCTGAGCGCGGCTCGGGGTCCCTATTTGGGTGGGACACACCCACACTGTTGCTCACGGGAGTGCTTGATGGGGGGGCACCTAACGAGCTTGGCCTTTTAGGTAGCTCAAGGGGGGGGAACATGGATCCCGGTCCCCATTTTCATGTGATTCTGAGGCTAAATCAAGCTCCAAATGGCGTATATGAACTAATATTCGTCAAAAACTTCTTGCAAAATGCCCCATACGAAAATCTTGAACGCAGATTAGCAAAGAAAAAGGTTTCATATGCCCGCATAAGCGACTTCTCTATCCAATTTTGGCTTCTCCCAAATACAGATATGGGGGGGGTACCCAGGGCCTTGATCCGGAAAAAATATGTGGGAGGGGGGCCCGACGCTCCGATTCCACTTGGGCCGTGGGTATGGGGGGGGGACCCAGCGCTCCCGGCAAAAACCCTCTACAAATAATTAAGGGGGGATACCACTTCAAAGTGACCTTCCCCTAAGACTCAAGCATCAGATTCAGAAATGATCGAGCCGCTGCTTGCAAGTTGCAAGTTGCAGTCTGGCACAAGGGATGGCAGTTAAAACTGTTCAGCGCTCCGTTCTCGGATAGCTCAGAAAGGAAGACAAGAAGTTCTCGGACTTTGATGTGGTCAATGACTGGCAGCACAATCGAACAAGGGTTTCATCCTGCTAATATATTACGCGAATTTGGGCTAGTGCGTCGAGCTTCCACGTGGCACTTCATTCTGCCCGGCGTTGAAGTCAGGCAAGACCGGCCACAATTTCCACCCTTTGCGGCCTGAGCAGGCTGAGGCTGAGGTGGGAGCGCTTTGCTGCGTGCTTTGTGCAGAGGAGGAGAAAAGGAACCCATCTTAGACTTTCGAGTTCCGACTTTCAATCTGTAAACGACAAGCGAGGCGATTGAAAGTTGCGGCAACCAGGCAGGAGTGCACGTGGTGGTGGTGGTTTTGAACGTGGTTGCAGAAGTCTGCCAAGGAGCTGCCTGACAAATCACACTTGTATTTGCTGGTCTTGACCGATTCTGCACTGAATAAAAGGCTCGCGCTATTTTTAACGGTGCCATTTTCTTTTGATTAGCAGAATCACAGGCGGGAGCTTTTCTAAGAAGCCCAATACGTCTGATTAGCAGAATCACAGGCGGGAGCTTTTCTAAGAAGCCCGATAGACGTATCTGACACCACATGGGGAAATCCAGGAGGCATCACAAACGGTTTCAGACGAGCAAGGCAAAGGTTGGCCTCGTCAAGAGGACCACGCATAAAAACCCACGAAAACCGGAGGCGGTGAAACTGCCTGGTGGGGAAGGAGTGTGAGTGGACCGCTTTACAGATAATGTCATCTCCACAATTGCTGATGATTGCATTCTTTCCCGCATTTGTGCCGAAGTTCCCTCAGTGGGTGTTCCGCCCTCTTTCTTTTATCGTGCTAGCAATCCTTGAAAAGAAGGTTCACACTCCAACCTAGATGGTGGTGGGCAGAGAGTGTGGCCATAAAGATTGTTGAAGGTCTTCACTTAGTCATGAAGTTCCTTGGCTGCCTCTGCAAAGGAGCGAATGCCAACCGGAGGCTTCTTTCCTGTCTTCTATCAATCCTCCTCTTTCCTCAATCAGCGCTCCACTGTCTTTTTGCAGCCTTGAATGGGCCCAAAAGGGCACCCTCCAGAGCAACTATGAGGCTGCGGGGCTGGCAGTAAATCCAAACAAGATTGGAGAGAAGCTAGGAAAGCGAGGGGACATAGTGGAGCTGGTAAAGGTCAAAGATGGGAAAGTGGTCGGCTTGGACGAGGCCGATGACAACCCGGATGATGAAGAGATTGCAGATGGTGAGGCTCTTCGCTTGGGATTGGGCCTGGTTTGAAATGCTTCTGTTTTTGTCCCCCCTTGTTCCGATCCTAATCTGCCCCAAATTGTTCTCTGGGGGAGCTTGGGGCCTGACTGAATCATGGCCGCCCCGTAAGCTCACGTTATCATCTATTGGTGGCGTTGTAAGGCAAAGTCTTCCAGAGTACTCTGTTCGATGTCGTTGTCGCACAATGGACATCCATTCTCCCCTCCCTTCTCTGTTCCTGTAAAGTTGCATCCCCCTTGTCCTGTGCTTGTCGGTCGCTCTCGTTTCTCTCTCCTTTCAGGGCCTGAATCACCTTTGAACTTAGGAGCTACTGATTATATCAACGCTGCATCACTCTTAAAGTGCGACAATGGAGAGGTCCATATCGTATGCGTCTTTCATGTTCGAGTTCGATGGTCTGTTGTTGAAGTTGGGTCCCTTTCCCCCTGCTTCTTGGTTCATTGAAGTATCCTGGTTGATGCCCTAGTTAACGGCCTGGTTGATTGGCAAATTGGTTGATGCCCCCCTGGTTCTTGTCAAGTTTAACAATGATATCTCTATGGCGTCCGCTCGATCGGTGCGGCCTCAGAGAATTCAAATACTCTAGTGTTGAGCGGGGCTTGAAAGTGCCAATTGTGGCCTGCTGTTCTGTTTAGCGGCAGGGCTGTTGTGCAAACAGACGCAGACCCTTCTCTTGCTGTGGAGCCAGGGGCAAAAAAACGGGTTCTGTCCAGCTGATATTCTTGATGCGACTTCTGTCCGCAACTGTGGATATTCAAACCAGGCTGGGCAAGTGAGAGGGGGAAAAGGAAATGCTTCGCTCTGGACACAGAAGCAGTCTAAGTCCCTCACAAGCCGCTTTGCTGTACTCCAAAGATGCAACTGGAAGTAATTTCGGCCTACGATTTTAGGAGGATCGACAAGCTTTCTCTCCTCAAGATGCTCAAGAGTGCGTTCTTCTTGAGCATCGAACATTTGACCAGACTTGTTTGGCCGATTCAGAACTCCGAGGGGCAGCTGGACGGCCACGCAAGGAGAAGAAACGGGAGCTGCCCCCCCTCACGAAGATGCAAAGAGTGTACGTGAGGGAATTGCAAGCAAAGCACAAGGACGACTTCGAGGTGAGTGTTTTCGTCACAGAATCGTCTTTTCATAAGTGGGACGATGAGCTTATAGGAATGGGGTCCTTTAGTACAACCCGCGAACCTGCAATCAAATCGCTTTCTTATCCCCATTCATCGTTCGAAAGTGAGGAGTTCGTCCTGTTCGGTCGAATGTTTTGTTGGTGACTGGGCGGGACTGAACAGGCAAATTCGCCAAGATCTGAGTGGACTACTGATTCAGGATTGAGACAGTAGGAACCTGGATAGAATGACTTCGTGCCAATTCTGTGAGATGGTGAACAAGTGCAACTAGTCTAGCGTCATGGTCGTTCATGTCATGCTGTCAGTGTGAAGCGTGCATTCCTCTAGGCCGGATTGAGTGGGGGACAGCCCTTTATAGCTTATGCCGCACTTTGTCCGCGAATCTTTGACGTCAACTTACTGCGGATGTGGCAGACCGCTTGTACCAGCGACCTTTCCTGCTTCTTCTACGAACTCCTTTGGGTCCCGTTTGAGGCGTGCCATTCCACTATCTGACTCTTTCTTTTGGAATGTTTTTTTGGTGCCCATTTTGCACCTTACCTGAACGCTGTGTTCGATGTGCAGGCCATGGCAAAGGACATCAAATTGAACAAGCTGCAGCATACGCCAGGGGCTTTGAAGTATCTGTTCGAAAGGTATCTAGCTCATCCGAAGCTTCAAAGACGAGATCAAGCTACGTGATCCCTGCAGCGGAAGCTAGGTCTAGGTTCTTATATGTTCTTCACACGCGCTTTGCACATTAACACAACCTTGGCATGGATCGGAGCCGTCGAATGTTCAATTAGACTTGACTAGGCCGCTGTAGAAATTGCTTTCTGACGAGTAAGTGGCTTTACAAGCACTTGCTGGTGTAACTGTCCGTGTCTGTGCGTTACATCCTGGAACGAACGTGGTTTGTAGTATAAAGACGTCAGCATCCCATGTCTTGTACACAGTGAGAAATGTACAGAGCACCGTGCTGGTGCTGGGAGGGCATGCACATCATCGTAGTCTATCACGTCCAGCTGCCGGCCGCCCAAACCTTCGAGATGATTGCAAATTGCGGCGACTCACAGAATATCGCTATTAATGCATGCACCACATGTTGCAGGCTTGGTATGTGGCTATAAGGTGCAACGAACTGCCGCTTATTAAACCAAGTGGAACTCGAGGTACTTGACCTAACTTTGAACAGGCCCTCGCGACGGTTGGGGCATGTTATATAGCATGGTTCAATTGTTGCATTGTCGTGCCCTTCATGAGTGACACGTGCCAATTCGTTGAGGGCTCATACACGCAAACGATTGGCCAATGATTCTAGCGCTGGCATGGCAGGGCAGATAGTAACTTAGCTGTTTGTCATGATCATATCGACCACATGAGAAGTGAGGGTGTTTCAGCTATCGCCACCCATTCCGGCCGCCACATATCTTCCAGGCAGGCGGCTGCGCATATACGGCCAAGCTACTTACAGATTTAACTAGGCCGGTCGAACATTTATAAGACACACCGGCGTGGTGTATCCTTATCGTGCCAGCTGGCATGTACATGTCTCTCCCCGCGGCAGATATGAAACAAACGAGGTTTGGAAGTTTTCGGTTTCCATATTATCCACAAGGTGCTTAGCTTGCAGCTTCGTTCTGGGGAGCTTCGGCCTCTGATTGAGGGATGAGTCCACAATTGCAGAACCTGTGCCGTACGGTTACCTTGCCGCAACCTCTGCAACGAAAGCGGAGATCAGCCAGCTCAGTATGCGAGCGAAAACAGGAGAGAGCCAAAACCAATATAGAGCGAAAAGCACACAACTATGCGCAACTATGGTACCTCGATCAAAGGTAAGAGGAAGGTTAAATCAGAGTTGAAAGCTCTCGTGAACATATCTGTGCTCATACAGTCTACCTGCTATAGGCAATGAAAAGGTTTTATAAACACCAACAACAATGGAATATTAAAAACCAAAATTTCATCGTTAAGTTGCTTTTTTCGGGCAGCCTAGCGAACACGTCCTCCGTCCAGTTCTAGGGGGGCCGCAGGCATAAAAATGCGTGACGAAATGTGAATTATCCAACAAAAATGTCGGCTGCTTGATGTGGACAGATTGTACCTTCATGATGCGAACAGAAAGGAAGGCAGAACTGAGGAGACGCTCTCATTCCCAGTCTACTTACTTGCACTTGATGAGCCCATGCGCTGGTTTCAGCCACTTATGCTGGAAACGAAGTCCATTTCGGGATGGTGAAACCTGCAGCACGGGGTGGGCACCATAGCAGTTTCGTAAGATGGAGGAAATCCAACACACTGCATTTCACTCCCTGACTTTTAACATGCTTGCTTGCACGAAGAGATGCGACGACAATGTGTTCAGGTCTGAAGTGGCGCAACAGGTGACGCCTCGTACAATGCTCCGCGGTCTTGATTGCCTTCAACTCATGGCGGAAAGCAACATCTGTACGTGCTTTGCAATACACCTTTCAGGGAACAGCTTCGACGTGCACAGCACTTCTTGGGAAGCCCTCCACAAAGATACAAACTTTGAACGCCTGTTTTGCATTGGGTAGACTGTCCCATCTGAAAGCTTCATCAGAAGATGTGCCACAGGGCGCTCGATGATGCCCCCAGCATTGTAAAGGTTAGTGGCGGCACATGAGTGCCCATGAGATCCCGTACGAAGCACAAGCAAAGTTCGTAAGAGGTGAATCAAACCCTCACCTTCCTTTTTGGTACTGCCATTAACCGATACCCCTCCCAGACCGAGCGCGTCCCCTCCGGTTTCGAAACGTCTGGCAGCTCGGAAAACGAAGCGCCTTCTCTACCACCACCATCCCTAGCACTGAAAAGTCCCCCAAATACAGAGGTGGCCCGACCAGAGACTGTCGGCTGACTATCAGCTTCCTCCGGGGAGCTACGGTCCGCAGAACGGTGCAAGGGGAATTCGCTTGGGGTTTCGAAACTTAGGGAGCCGGCCCATGCAGACATTGCCCGAGTGGCAGGGGCAAAGAAGGCTAAGGTGCGGGGAGAGGTGAAGGCTACGCGAAGCAGCATGGTGGCTGTGATGTGCTGGCAGCGTATGATTGGTATTAGGGCCTGCACGCAGCGCAAAAGCCGTTCACAAGACAGATGATGGAGAAGTGGTCGCGCAGGACTGTGGCTGCGAGCAACCAGGCGCCGTGCGCAGGGCCATGATTGCGTGTGGTATTTTGAAAATTGCCACATCGTTGAATGAGATTGTAGATAGGCCAGCAACAGGCGCCGCCTTCCCTCCAACAGATTCATTGCATTTCAGCGATTGATAGCAAGGAAGTGACCGTCTTCAAAGCACCATGACGAAGAAAACCGAAACTTATTAATATGAATGTGTGAGGGACCAGGTTGCTACACACCCACCTTGCCTTGTCCCTAATGCTCAAAACCGTCGTTTTGCGAACTAACATTTGTGCTTGAGCACCCGTCTCCGTTATCAATCGCTGATCTGCTGCCGGTGAGTTGATTGCTTGTCCTCCTTCGAACCTAGCTGCACTTTTTTGAATTTGGGGAGGCAAAGCTGAGCTCAGAAGCGGATTGGCAGCGCAAAGCGCCGCTCTAAGGTGAAGCGGCAGCAATGGCGGTGACACTGACAGAGAAAGCTAGAGAATGATCATGCAACGGCCGCCCTTCCGAGTTCGCACTGCAGACTTGCACACTTTGTCTAGGGTAGGAGGATCCTAGACCGAGACCGGACTCTTATATCTTCGGACTGTTGGCGTTGCCGACCCATTTATTCCGGGCTCGTGTGTGATTGCTTCGAGTTCCGACAATGACATTGTCAATCTGGCTGAATGTTCTCCCAAACCATAATGATGATAAAGTCACCATCCTAGTTTAGACTGAGTCTCTGCGCGCAAAATCAAATTGGCGGATTTCACGCGTTGATTTGGTAAGATCGTAGCCGTTCAGATTTGAAGTCCTAGAATATTTACGATCGAACGCTTTATCGACTTTGTCGGAATCACGTGGTCCACGTGTCAGGCTTTAGCTCCGTCACGACCGGTTCAATCAATGCCGATGCCAGCGCTCACAGACGTTTGCATCATGGAGCATGACGAGCTGGTGCCGCAGCCCGCTGCTTGTGGCGGCTCGTCTTTCCAGCTGGGGAGGTATTTGCCCTGGGTAGGTACCTGCTGACACTGACAGGGCACGTATCCTACAAAACCAGGATTGTGCTCAGCTTTCTTGCTTGCTTGACTGCAGACGGCCTGTGCTTTTGAGTTTTCTGGTGTAAGGGCAGTTTCAGGGCATTACTCACAACAGGCGTCTCCCTTTAGTTCTGCCAATCCAGGCTAGTGGAAGTCTACTGATGCAAAAGCAGCTGCGCCCGCACTGCAGTGTGATGCTCAAGAGGCAAACTGATCAGTTTCAGCTTGTTGGCGGGTTCCTACAGTGACACTAGGCGTCCCATTGCGGGGTTATCGATTCTTTTCTGTCTTTCCTGACAGGACAGTTGTCGCAGCACGAGGAAGGAAGACGTGGGTGACCAAGAGACGGGCAGAGAGCGTAACAAGTTGAGCGAAATAGCAGAATTTGGCCTGCAACAAGCATAAGAAACACGTGAGACGCTATTCAAGTCTGATCGACCCCCAGAATTCCATCAAGGCTCAGCCCACAGCTTAAGGTCCCTTGAATCTTTCAACGTGCTTGAAAGGTGGGAGCGACTCGTAAACCAGAACTAAAAAGCTTTCAAAGCCCTTCCAAGGTGTCTTTGAAGGCTTCAAAGCCTTGAAGGCCTTCCAAATTCGTCAGTTTATCTCCCTTGCTAGCAACGATGCCGCGAGACCCTGAAGCTGGGGAAGCCATGGTGGTTGGCGCACACAAGATGGTTCCCATGGACGGGGACGTCGGTCTAGACGGAGAGAAGTTTGAGAAGGAGGACACGATGCCGGAGATGCGCTACGGAATCAACGACACCCCCCCCTGGTGTAAGGCTCTCCTGTTGACCTGCCAGATACAAGAAGTCTCACCACTTGACCATCCGCGAGTGCAACGTCGTCTTTAGTCCATGTTGAAATTTTTGGAGGTCAACATATCAATGTGAATGGTCTATGCCCAACAGCTTGAATTTCTTGTGTGATGTAGTATTCCCTTCTGATGGTTTATGAAAGTCTTCCCTGTCTCCGAGAATCGCACCACAGATTCTCTTCTGTGGATGTCAGTACAGGAAGGTTTTCAGTTTCCTACGCGCATCATTCTTTTCACTAATGGGTTTGCTGTGTCCCTCGTTCTTAGGCTCGCTGATTAAGAGCGCTCCTTCTCTTCCCGTAGTTGGCAAAGATTCCAGTCCCCACTGTGTGCTTCGCCCAGTTGGTGTTTGTATTTTGTCAATCACTGTGGCCTGGACTTTCTGTCCTTCTTCTGACCTACTTTGACCTGTCCACACATCCCCTCTGCAGATGAATCCATTGCGCTGGGTATACAACATTACCTGACTATGCTCGGCGCAACGGTTTTGATACCCAATCTACTAGTTCCAGCCATGGGAGGCGATAAGGTGAATAGACAGTTATCGTTCTGGACAAACGAGTCAATGTATGCTTGGGTGCACAGACATTTTTTGACGGTGCGAGGTATCCAAAAACTTCTTGGAAAGGGTATGCAGGCCTGGCTACTTTCCTTGAAAGACGAGTAAAACATGAACATTGTAGAGAATTTTGCCTGGTTTGCCAGCTGGCGTAGCTTTACAAGAGCAGGTGTTTTTTAAAAACTTTCATAGGACGACCTTGGATACAACTGCAATGTTTTGCCTCTTCCAATCCCAAGTCGCCAATTTGTCTTGACCACATGATCCTAACACATTTCCCCCTGCACAAGTTGAAAAACTACAAGCAGGAATTCACCTCACAGCAGTCGTTAGTGATTGGTGGCGCTCATTCAAGCCAAAGGAAAAAGTGCAGACAATGGCATTGCCCACCAGGACGGTACTTAGATTAGTCATTGAGTGAGACAGTTCCTCTAGAAACCCCCTAGAGAGATTCAAACGCCTTCTTAAACACCTGGCCCAGACAGCTCATGTTGACTGCACAGGTTGTCAGCCTCACTGCCTGGTTAAGAGCCTTACCTGGGCTGATGGTTTCATCTGAGTCAAGGGAAGGCCCAACATCAGAATGTCAGGTCATGTCTGAACCAGCAGTAAAGTGAGATTTGGACAAGGCGTTGTGCTCAGTAACCTCTCTAAAGGTTTCTCATCCTTGATATCTGCAGGATGACCTGGCCAAGTCGATCCAAACCATCTTCTTTGTGTCCGGGATCAATACCCTTCTCCAAACCACTTTCGGGACCCGCCTCCCCACGGTGATTGGTGGGAGCTTCTCCTTCCTGACGCCAGTCATCGTCATCGCTGGCAACTTTCAGGACGTGGAAGTAGACGTAAGCAACACGTCTCACTTCAGCGGCAATCCTATAAGAGCCCCAATATTTCTCAAGTACTAAATCTGTTGGTAACCCAGTGCCTGGAGTCTGTTGCAGTGGTAGAGATCGGATAAGAGTAACAAAGATATGTGATAGCAGATTTGCTGTTTGGCTGTGGTTGCGAGTCCTTGTAAGCAAGACCGTGTAACACGAAGCATGATTGGAGGCACTCCTATCTGGTTCGTTGTGGGCAGCTCTCAGATCCCCTGTTTAGTTTCCGCTGGAGCACCCTTGCTCGCAAAGGTTAAACCCTCCTTTTATCGCCTTACTGAACCTCAGCCCGGGTCACGTTTTAAACTCGAGCAGTATGCTAAAAGTTGGAAGGCTGAGATCATCCTCTCAGCTGCCTGTCGCAAAAGGAGCTCCTTACCCTTCTGCTCAGAGATTGGTCAAGTGTCCTTCCGCCAGGAGCCGCGTGCTCTGCTGGCGCCACTTAGGAGCGGTTAGCTGAACGCTCACCTTTCTGGATCGGTCCGGAGGCTAACTACCTACTGGGAGTTTGAGGACCGAAAGCTGACGTCAGCAATTGCAATGCAGCGCTTCAAGGTGACGATGCGCGCGGTGCAAGGGGCCATCATAACGGCGTCGGGCTTACATATCATACTCGGGTTCTCCGGGCTCATGGGGCCTTTCTGCAGGTCAGTCAGCGTAACTGTTACATGTCTGCCCCCGAGCTTGTTCACGCGCGAACTTGCAACGATGTCTTCTTCATGTTCCCTAGGCGAGCAAGCTGAAGGCGAGGACGTTTCCCTGCGATGCTTGATATCAGTCCGTAGCTGCCAGGTGCCAAACATTGAGCAGTGCGCGACACGTTGCTGACAGTGCGGCAACCTGAAACCCTGTAGATTGCGTCCTTGCACTTCTGCTATCATCGTTCATACTCTGGCCTCATTCTGTTTTTATGCGCCTGACATTCCGGGCCACACGAAGGAGCGTCTGCCTCGAAAGGAAGCAGAAGGTCCCGCCGGATCAGTTCGTGCCATTGTTGTTGGACTCATAAAAGCCAGAAGGATCGGGCCAAGCTGTATAGAACGCTTTTCCGGGCCGTTTCCAACCTAACTGCGAAGGCATTGTTCTCCTCCGTCTCCCCAGATTCATCAGTCCCATCGCGATCGCTCCGTCCACCACTTCGTCGAGTTACTGTCGGAACTCAGTCAGAGCCCCTATAAGTCAACAACGCTTTTCAGGGCCGTTGTCGGACCGTTGTGCCAACGATCCCCTCTCTCGTCTCCCGATTCGTTTGCCCCATCACGATCGCTCCGACCACCGTTTGTTGACAGTCTCTCAATAAGCCGAAGAACTTGACCGAACAAGATGGTTTCAACACTTTTCAGAGCTTTTAACTCGTTGGACCAGTCCTAGACAAGACCAAGTCCGAAACGAGAAGGCCTTCGTCTCCGCAGATTCATCAGCCCCATCACGATCGCTCCGACCATCGCAATGATTGGGCTCGCCCTGTACACCGCCGGGTTTCCCGCCGTCGGCAGCTGCGTCGAGGTTGGGCTCGTGCAGATCGTGACAGTTATCCTGTTCTCCCAATACCTCAAAAACGTGCAGATATTCGGATACCGCTTCTTCCAGCTCTTTCCGGTAAGCCACCTGCGCTTTCTGCTTGTGCTGTTTTTCATCTTAATCTCAATAGTCATGAGTCATGAGACAACAGCCGGGCTCAGCGTTCTGAAGTTTTCTCGGCACCACCTCAGGTACTTCTCGGTTCCGCGTTCTTGCCACCGTTTATATTTCGTAAGCAGACATTGATAGCCGATCGGAAAACCTATATCATACGGAAGGAACGCATCAGAGTCGATCGCTTATCGTACTCTTCGAAGGAAGTCGCATCTTATCAGATTGCAAAGGAAGGAGGTCCTAGCCGATCATGAGATCCCGGCGCCGAAACCCCGGTTCAAGACAATCACAAAGCTCACTTCCTCTCATTTTAATCTTCTGGCATTTGTGTCAAACCTGATTTGGTTCGGCTTTGCGCGCTATGTTAAGGAACAATATCCACCGTGCATTTCGTCAAAACACGAAATGGCTGCGCCGGTTCGCTGGTGTCAAATCGGTAGGAACCACCAGTAGTAGATTTGGTGTGACGATCGAATCCAGGGATAGTAAGAGCCAGGAAACATAAGCTCCCAACTGACAAAATCCTAGCTTGACATTCTACCGCTTCGCACCCGTGCCCATTTTGGACCCGAAAACGACCCCGCCCCTTCCAGGTTGGGAAGCTTATATATCTGCCCCGTACGATTCCTGACTTAGCCGCGCATATCTCTGTAGGTGCTTCTGGGCCTAACGATCACGTGGGTGTACGCTGTCGTGCTGACCGAAGCCGGAGTCTATGACAACGTTCCGGACGCCACGAAACTGAACTGCCGGACGGACCAGTCGGACATCCTCTCGACGGCTCCCTGGTTAGTCATTCGTTATCTTGACCCTACCCCTAAAAGAAGAGCGCTTTTAACACCCCCAAAGTATATGATCCACAACTTTCCGGACGCCACGAAACAGAACTTCCGGACGGACACTCGGACATCCTCTCGACGGCTCCCTGGTCAGTTTACCGTAAAGCTGACCCTAACCCCTAGACCAGGACGTCTTGGTTATCCTTTCGACGCGTATATAATCGGGCTTCCGTTAGCTCGACCCTACATCCTTGATATCTTGAAACAAAGCATAACGCAGAACACCACTAACCATTTGGAGAGTGACTGTACATGTGGGCCAGTGAGGAGGTCTATCTGCTGGTGAGACTTTGCGAGGTAATCCAGTTTCTCTTGAATCCGCTCAAGGCTATCCCAGCGCTCTCCAAGACATCCCCTCAGCTCCTTAGCTCCCCTAAACTCCTGGTGGTCTGCTCATCCCGCTCACGTCCGCCGTCTGCCAATCGCATTCCCATGGTTAGCTATATAACAGACCCTGTTCTCGCAAGTAGGCCCAAACGGTACACGAAGTCCCTTTAAGAATTCCGCTTTTCCGTTCCGCTTTGCAGGTTCCGCTTTCCGTACCCCTTCCAGTGGGGCTGGCCCACGTTTGACACTGGCTACACGTTTGCTGTGGTGGCGGGGGCGCTGGCAGCGCTCATCGAGGTGCGCTTTCCCTCTTCGTCTTGATTCACCAATTCCTCTGTCCAAGGCATAGCTTTCGGTGATACGTCTTGACAGTTTAAGGCTTCCTTACCGTTTGCGTCAGGTAGTTCCTTGTAGAAAGGCCTACAAGGGCCACATAGGTCATACTGAAATCTCGTCCAATCGTCCATAGTTGCTCTAGACGTTCCGTCTCCCGGATCATAGTGTTCTACCTGATGGGCTGTTAAATTGCATTATTTTGCGTCGTTTTCTCTCGGGTCCTTCTGAGAACGGCTTTGATTTGTGCGGAGGCACGGCCGCCTACCGTAGTCAACTCCGAGTCCCAAATCTGAAAGCGACTCCATTTGCATATTACTTCATGGCATGTTTTCAGCGTCTGCCTTCTTTCATCTATCTGACGAGGAGTCGCTAAGTTGACACATGAGCGATCATATTTTGGTCCATCCGCAACTTTGGAGGGGCTTTTCCAATCGGTCCGCTTTTCCATGCTTTAGTGAAAGCGAAGCTCTTGCTTTTCCAGCAAGCGCTTTCTATAGCAGCCAAACCTTTGCCCTGGCGGTAACTTAACATGGCGGTAACCCAGGTTGCTGCTTACACAACCTGCTACAGCTGACACTAGTTTGCAGGAGCTCACAAGAGAATATTTTGAGTTCAGCCAGTTTCTGCCCATTTCTTCCACTTATGCAACCGTTAATAGTGTTCGCTCCCACTGAACACTGGTTTGTTCCGTCGGGCTGTGCAGTCCACCGGAGACTTTTACGCCTGCGCCAGGATTTCTGGTGCGACGCCCCCGCCCCCAGGAGTCATCTCGCGAGGCATCGGCTGGGAGGTACGGCCCCAATAAGCTTTTTCTTTCTTTTCTTTCATTCGTTGTAGTGGATGGATGTATGGGCCCAATACCTGCGGAAACACTGTAGGTTTTCCCTTTAGGGTCTGACTTTCCAGGTTTTACCGCAGGTGCAGGTACTGGCCTCCTTACAGGTAGCGAAGATTTTTGCTGGCAGGAAATGGTTTCGAGGCAAATTTGGAAGCAAGAGCCGACTCGCCGAATCTGGGGCGCATCTTGACCCGCTCCCTGAAAGCTTTAACTTTGCCGAACGCCTAAAATGTTTGGTGCACAAAATCTACTTGCGGCTGATCCCCGCGTCCTTAGTGAGGGGGTCTCCACGATAGATCATATTGCATGACCTCAGCTTGACCTATCCATCTTGAAAGTCTCAGTTTTGTTTTAGGATCGGACGTTGGACTCGTTCTGTTGTTCAATACTGCCACGCCGCTACTTTCGACGCTACGGCTGCTCGGATGTCGCCGTGGAGCGCCACCTGGAGCCCACGTAATGCTCCACGTGCAGTTTCAAAGCCCGTACTAGAAATATCCCGCAGCCCCTTGTAAGCAACGTCCTGAACATGAATCCTCGGGTTATTCCCAGGGCGTTGATGATTTGTTGGCCGCAGTCGGGCGCTCTGTTTTTGAAGGACATGTGGATCCCACTCAGTGCACCCACGTGCAGTTTTGAAGCCCGTTCGTCGAATAGTTTCTGCAGCCCCTCAGACGTGTAAAAGCGAAACCACCCCGCTCATGCGCAGGGCATCGGCATTCTATTCGACGGCATATGGGGCACCGGCAACGGATCCACGACTTACGCCGAGAACATTGGTGCCATTGGGATCACACGTGTCGGCAGCCGGAGGGTGGTCCAAGTGGGCGCGTGCTTCATGATCGTCTTTGGAATCATCGGTGAGATCTTTTGAGGTGCTTCTGTGAAGACCTGCGAGGCGTCGGATCGAGCGTGCTTTGCCCAGAGCAACCTACTTCGACGGGAACTATCACGGTTTGCGAGTCTTCAGGTTTCAGGGATTTCTGAACCCCCCTGTGAAGCTCGTCCGCCCGCCGTCTCTAAAAATGTCATAAGCCACGTGGAACGCACAGGAGTTGGAAGGTCATTGTCCATCAAGATCCATTATTCGATACAGGCAGGGAGCATCTCGTACAGAGTAATCTTTTTAAAAAAGGGCACTGACTTTTTTGTGAATATTGATCTTCAAACTGGTCAATCTTCGGACCGCATATGGGCTGAATAAGGGACCTTTCCAAACGGAACCGGCCCTTCAGATTGGTTCTACCGGTCTTGAAACGGGGTCCTGATTCTAGTTGATGCGGATCCCAAGAGCTTTGCAACAGCCTGAAGCGAAACCTTAAACCCCTCGTCTTTCGCAGGCAAGTTCGGCGCCCTCTTCGCGTCCATTCCGGGGCCGATCGTGGGCGGACTCTTTTGCGTCATGTTCGGAATCATCACAGCCGTGGGGCTCTCGAACTTGCAGGCAAGCTTTGACTTCGACCAAAAATCTGCGTGTCTTCTTGCAATAAGCTGGGTAAACCACCGATATCGGAGAAAACCAAACGCGGCCGGGAAAGCCTCGATCGAATTTGGGACTCTCTGTTTCAGTCTGTTTTGCCGAAAAAACCCTAAACCCTGAAAAATGACACCTTGATCCGGAGTGCCGTAAAGGAGCTGACGTCAGCAGAACCTCTAAAGAATCATCCACTTGACTAGAAACAGCATGTCTGATACTCGATCCAGGGTCCGACAGTCCGAAATTATTGGATAAATTCAAGTCCTGGTAGTCTACCCTCACTGGATGTTAGATGGAATGCAACCGCTGAGCTTATCACTAGTAGACGACACCCATTGCAAGTGGCCACAAGATTGTAGGGGTCCACTCAATGCTGGTTCGGTGCGCTCCGCAAAGAAGCCCTTTTTCTCGTCTCGGTCCAGTAGCCGCGTTCGAATTCTCTCGTCCCCTATGTGGATTTTGCAAAGGGCACCCCTGACGTCATCTCTTTCCTTCCTGCCGTTTGAAGACTCCCATGCCGTTTGCCTGTTGATGGACGATCAAGTTATTGAGGGTGACTTTATGTGCAGCTTATTCTCATATTCCATAATCCTCTGAAAAAAGCGCTTCTTGTCCAACAGTTTGCCAACATGAACAACCCGCGCAACCTGTTCATCGTTGGCTTCGCTCTCTACATGGGCCTTTCGGTTCCCGCATTCTTCACCCAGTTTGCAGCCGGGAACGACGAGGGCAGGTACCCGGTTAACACCGGTAGCACGACGGTACGTACCTCACCAGACTTTTCCTTTCTTTGGCAGATGTGAGATTTTCGAGAGTTGAAGATACGTTCTGCTTGTATTCGATGCTTGAAACAAACCTTGCCTTTTTGAGAATCGTTCCGTGTTTGTTTAAACCCCATTATTTGAAAACCGCTATCGGTATTGCAAATTCGCTTCTGCGACCGCTCCGACTTATGCGTCCTATATGTCTGGCCGGTTCCCGGAGTCAAAGCTTCTAAGCGAGCCGACTCGTCAAGCTGTTCATCGTTCCGGTAGATATATACTAAAACTGGAAGACTTGATACTTGTTTGTCTCTTGCATACTCAAAACCTGTGGGCTGGTCCTTTCACTCCTGCAATGCCCTTTCCAACTCACCAGTTTCTGCGAAGACCCAAAGTCCTACAACACAGCCGACACCAAGGAGAGGGAATCCCGACACAACCGTCAATATGTTGACCAAAGACCGTTTCTCATCCCCCATAAACCTGAACCCAAGTCGACTCCAACTTGTGACCACGTTCGAATTCCTCGTTTGCAGTTCAACCGCATTATGAACACCATCTTCACGACCAACATGGCGGTCTCCATGATTTCGGCCTTCGTTCTGGACAACACGATTCCGGCTTCGCGACGGGACCGCGGCATGCACGTGTGGGACAAGTTCCGTGACTCCAAATCGGACCCGCGGACGGAAGAATTCTATGCGCTCCCGTGGGGCTTGGGCCGCTTTTTCAAATGGGCTTGGTGGGTCGGTGTGTAAAGGCATAAGCTATGAAATGGGCTTGGTGGGTCGATGGGTAAAAGCATCAGCTATCAAATGGGCTTGGTGGGTTGGTGTGTAAGAGTATAAGTTATTAGATGGGTTTGGTGGGTTGGTTGGTGAAAGCATGACGCAGTTCTGTCGCATCCGGTCGCCGGCTTCAGCAGAAGTTCGGCACCTGGAGCAACGACTATGGGATCATGCCAGGCCGCTTACTGTGCTCTACTAGTGCTGGTATGCAGGAATAAGGTCTTTATCGTTTGTACGAAGTAGACGCTGCGATATGTGGTCGGAAGTTATAAAGTCGCTCTTATGTATGTTCATGTCGTGTAGACCTCTTGGAATAACGTATCTTTATTAGGTGAAAGGAGAACACTGTATATATTATTCTGTTGTTGGTGACCTTGATCAGGTCACACAGGACGATGACAAAAAATAGCAGCTCTGGTATCATGTTGCCGCGTACGCTAAGGAGAATCCAGGAGCAGAAACCAGCCAGTATGAGTCACGTATGTAGGTACTTGGGATGGTAAGCTCTAGAGCCTGGCTGTCGGACACCAATACGCACAGAGTATCAGTGACGGTGCATTGAGGACAACAATCATATTATATACTTCGAGCCGAAAGGATCCGATTAGACTCGAGCTTCCGAGATCACAGAGAACGATCGCGAACATTTTGGGATCCATAAGCTCCATCTTGCTCTAGGGCGGCGCCCCGGGCGGCACACGCGTTTTTACTGCAAAATCGACATGAAATCCTGATAAACGTATATACGGCGCCTTCATTGCATATCGCTAAGTTCCGACAAGAACTAGATATGCAGTGCTAATAATCATTGATTGATTTGGCAATCATATATACCCGTATATGACGCGTGCAAGCTAGGGCCGCCATATCCATCACTGACCGTCATATGTGTCTGAAAGTACTGACGTATGTACAGGAAAACGATGGCGATATACTGATCCTGTAGTTAGGCGGCGAGTCTCTCCAAGGCACGCAACTTGCATGGTATCACACCAGCACCTTTCGCCCGACCATGTGCGTTCAAGTCGCAAAAGTGCAACAACTTTGTGGCGCACACGCAACATCACCGTCACGGACTATTTTGAGAGCCGCGGTGTGGCGAAAATGATATTGACCTGCCTCGAACGCTTTCGTGAGTTGCTTCGAACGGTTTCTGGCATTACATGTGCACTTAACTGACCTGCAGCTCGGACCTTTATGACTGACACATCGAATCTCCAGTGACATCCGTAGATTGCTTTCACTAGCTTCAACGTCTTGTTACGATGTGTCAAAGCTTGCTTTCTGTCCTCAGAAGATGGATCAGACTTAGTATGCTGGGTTTCCTGCATAATAAGAGAAGCAACCACTTAGTGGACGCCCCAAATGGACGAGAAGTAGGACCAGTCGGGAGCTGGATACATACGGAGAAGTCGAGTCTGTGCTCACATTCAAGGACGTAAGCCGTCGAGCTGATGGGGAGGCACTGACAGCCTTTGAAAACAGACAATGCTTGGCGCATGAAACGGCCTCCCAGAAGACAAGCAAAGCGAACTCTCTAGGGCCAGGAACTTTTGAATCGGACGATTGCTCACGCTGGTAGACTTTCAAATTCGATGTCGTCAACTCGCTGCCGGCCCGCCAACTCATTCAATGCAGCTCTACAAGTCTCCTGAAAAGAATAATAACCCCGGATCACGCCTTACTCTACTTGGAGTTAGAGAATGTGCAACGGTTTCGAGCCAGCGTGCACAAGCAAGCCTTGACGAGCATCACGAGCATACGAAAGGTTCAACTTCTTACAAGAAAGGCATACATTAGCGCCCCATTCAAACCGGTACGTCAAGAAAGCCCATCAGAACAGGACCAAAACGTGCGCCAATCTAGATTTACCGATGAGCCTGCCGGAGTAAGCTGCGGGCAACTTCAGGGCGGTCGATGCAAGCCTACCGGGGTGTAGTCCGGTCTGTTTCAATGCCTCCATGGTGTCCTAACACCTTAAAGCTTGACCTATTCAGTTCTCATCTTGGCAGAGAATACTGTAGAGCGACTGCAGAAGCCTCGAAGCCATGAGAAAAAAGGCTTCTTTGGTTCGCCTATCGTCTCAGCAACTTGGTACCTTTTGCGGGATTCGAGTCCTGAATCCCTCGTATGACCCTCAACTCGAGTGCAAGTTCAGAGTGCTGGCCACTTACACCAAGCAGATGCAGATTCCGCGAAACGGGTAGACTCCGGCAAACTCCGGCAGATTCAGGAGCAAACTCCGGTAAACTCCGGCAAATCCAAAAGGCTCGTTGAAAGCCTACCTGGCTAAACTCCGGCAACTCGAGAGCGAGTCCGAAGTGCTGCCCAATCGCGCCCCCCTCTCGGTACGCCGGCTCGGAGGGAGGCCCCCGGGACAGCTCCCGAGTAGGGCTCGACGCGCAGATGATCGCATTTGACGGCCATTCCTGCAGCAAACAGTTTCGGAGTCAAGATGTTCAATAGCTAACGAGCGGCTTATGATGTTGAGGCACAGATGATCGCGTTCGACGGCCATTCCTGCAGCAAACGGTTCTGGGTTTGAGAAACCCAGTAGCTAACGAGCGGTTATACCTTGATAGAAGTCGAAGCACAGATTATCGCGATTGACGGCCGTTCCTGCAGCAAACTGGTACGGGTTGAGGCTCCTCAGTGAATAACGATGTTGCTCAGGCTTGAGGCGCAAAAAGTTGCATCCGACGGCCATTCCTGCAGCAAATGGTTTTGGGGGTACGAATTTCAGAGGCTGTTGATTGGACTCGAGGCACAGACGATCGCATTCGACGGCCGCGCCTGCGGCAATTAGTTCCGGGGGTGCGATTCTCAGTGACTATCGATGTTGATTGGACTTGGGGTGCAAACGATCGCCTTTGACGGCCATTCTTGTAGCAGGCAGTTTCGAGGCTCAAAGCATCAGTAGCTAACGAGCGGCTTATGAAGTTGGTTGGACTCGAGGCGCAAATGATCGCATTCGACGGCCCTTCCTGCACCAGAGGGTTTTGGGGCTCAGAAACTCAGTAGCTATCGTGCTCTTTCTGTTGTTGCTTGGAATTGAGGCGCAGATGATCGAATTCGACGGCCATTCCTGCAGCAAAAGGATCGGGGCTGAAATTTCAGTGGCTGACGAGCGGTTTTTGATGTTGGTTCGTTTCGGAGCTGAGGATTCCAGTGGCTAACGAAGGGGTTTCAGATGTTAATTGGACTTGAGGCGCAGACTTGGTTGTTTTTGAGGCGCAGATTTGCTTCGACTTGGTTGGACCGTGCGTGGCACATGTTGAACAACTGACGATCTTGTCAGAGCCTAGACCCATGATCAGAAACATTCATCTGCCCTCCTGACAAGATAAACTCCGCCGCTGTTTTGGTCGCCAAAAAATCTCATCCTCGAAACAAGAGAAAGCCCCATCCGGCGCCGACTCACCTCGAAACTCCCCTCGAGCAACTGCTTAAAAGCCGCCCCCGCCTCGTCCCCCGCTTTGAACGTCAGGTCGTCCAGCAGAACCGCGAACCGAACGTTTGGGTGCAGTCGGACCTCGTCCAAAAGCTTGTCCAAAGTCTTCGCCTCCTGTCGGGAGACTTTGACCGTCCGAAGCCCGGAGCGTTTTGCGGCGACCGCGGCGGCGTGCGTGAGGACCCATGACTTGCCCAGGCCGGAGCGGCCGTACTGCAGGAGACAAACATACAGGTGAACTAGGGTTCTAGAATCCTAGGGTCTTAGGATCGTAGAGTTTTAGGGTTTTGCTTTCATGCTTAGCAGGATCTGAAGACTGATGTCCATGCGGCCGTACCTGGTTCCTTGGCCTAATCAAAGACCCTAAGCCAAGAGATTGAGATGGGGGTTTGGGAGATGGTTTCAAGCATGAGTAAGAAGATAGCCGTTCGTCGGCAACATGTGCAGATCATCACTGTTACTTTCTGGGCAACGAAATCCTAGAATCCCGAACGCGACCGACCAGCCATGCATGCTGAATCGGTTTCAAACAGGTATGATCTTCAAAGTTTGAACATGAAATTGAGCATACCAGTAAAGTGTGGTGCGCCGGCTGCCCCTCGGCGTGCAGTTCCAGGTTGCTCGTCATCGCTTCGAAGGCGTCCCTTTGGATGCTAAGCACAGTTCCGATCTCCTTTGGAGGAGCACAGCTCACGAGCTTTCCGCCTTGCCACTTCAGACCTGCAAACGAAGACCCAAACTTTAGAGATTAGATGCCGAAGCTGCATGTGGAAAGATTGTTTAGGTGTCCAAAGGTGATTGACCTTTGCCTGTATCGGCCAATGATGTGGGAGAGCGCGCAACGGATGCAGATGTGTATCTCGAAGTACACTGGAATTGTTTCGCTCACAAAGCCGGTTTCCGATTGAGCCAGTACTCACGGTAGGTTAACAAGCTAGATATGTTAGGAGGGCCCAAAAAGTACATAGCAAGAAGGGGTTCCTGAGAGTGTACTTCTAGACCGCGAGGTGACCCGACCTCCTTATTCTTCCTTATTTTGTCTGCTCAGACATGACCATTTGAAGATCAGCGTTTCAGCTTCATCAGTGAACGATGATCAAACACACCTCTTTTTTCAGGCGACTTTTTCAGGCCAAGCCCGCCCGAGATACGGCTCAATACCTTCGGACTGTACTCTATACACGACTTGAAGAAACTGGGTGCCAAAAAGAGCCTTTCGCATTTATTGAATTGCAGTAAATCGACGTCCGTGAACACACGCCTACTTTTTACTACGAAACATCTCTGGACGATAAAAGCCCTTTTCTCGCAATCAGGATCCGATAAAAAATGAAGCCACAAAATTCACACCGGTCGTAAAGCAAGGGTTTTACAACAGTTTGTGAAGCGGTACACATGACTCACTCAGATTCGCCGCTACGGCCCCTGTGCCGAACTTGCGGTAGTAGCTCTCGAGGAGCGGCACCGCCTCGGACCACTTCCACAGCCCGCTAATCTTGGCGCGCCACTCCGCGTTCGTCGCAACGCTGTCTCTGGCGGGATTCTGAAAGACGGGAGAAGGACCCTTGTTTTCTCTGCCCTCCGTTCATACAGCAGTTTCCGTGAAAGTTGTACCCTGCAACTGATTGTATTCTCCGGTACACGAAGTTCAAAGTCGATCTCTCAGTGCACGATGTCGTCATAGGACCCCCCAGATAGGAACTTTGTCATATTCGCGGGCGGACAGTATACTATTTCGGCTGCGTCGAGCCCTCTTTTCAATATGCTGCCCATATTGTCGAGACGCTCGTCAGCCCGAGCAAGTCCGTGTTCGAAGTCGTGAAGCAACCCCTTTTCTGCTAAACTTTGCGCAGCGACTTCGTCGGTTTTTCTCGGCGAGCGCCCTCGAGCAACCTGCTCATTACGACAAGTCCCTCGCCTGAAGCCGCTGAACAATCATCACGAACAAGAAAAGAAGATTGGTCAAAACATAAGAGTTTGAAATCCTCTGAACCTACCTCTCCTCCCCCCGGAACGAGGCCGATTATACCCCCAGTATTATCCTTCCCGTTCCTGTCCTCACTTCCGTTTCTATCTCTCTTGCTGGATTCCGGTCCCCCTCCGAATCCAAAACTCTTTACCCCCTCGTCTTCTTGGCCGGTTCCAAAACCGAAACCCCCAAAGCCTCTTTCCTGCTTTCTTTCCGTACTATGGCTCTCGCTCGCGCCGCCAAATCCGAACTCCTCGAACCCTGGTCCCCGACCTTCATTCTCGACCTTCCCTTCCCGCTCTAGTTTCTTTTCACGATCAGGTTCCGCGCCATAGTCGAAACCAAGTCTCAAACGACTCTCCGGAGGCGGCCTTGGGTCCATCTTCGCAGTCTTCGTGGTGCCCGCAGTGGCGAACTTCCACTCAGGCCGCAGACTGACGACGTCGCCGACCTGCACCCAGGTCCAAACTATGAGGAGACAGGACCGCACAGAAGGATATGAGACTGCGGGTCTCCGAAATGGTATTTGAACACTGCAAAGCACAACGCCTGATGACAAGGAACGATACGGCGTGGCAACCACAGATTGGCGTGTCCTACTGTTCGCTAAGCAGACTGCAATCTACAACATGGACATGTATACATCCTGAATGCGGGCGGCAACCTCAGCGAATGCTCACAAGCTCGACCACGCATCTCTCTTTCTTTTTCCGGCCCTCTGACAATCTGTCAGATTCTATTGATAGAAGCAACGGGCTAATGGACAAAATTCCAATTCCAAAGCCCAGTAACTTTGACCAAAGGCGGAAACTGGACGGTTTGAAATCACAGGGATGCAGATGTTATCTCTTCTCGGGTGAAAAGGCCGAAAAGAACTCACCCAGGAGACCAAAGAGTGCTCCATGATAGCGAGCCCCTGTAACACATCCAAATCGGCCGCCGCCGCAGCCAATAACGTCTGGCTGACGGCCTGCCCCTTTGCAGCGGCAGTGGCAAACGGGTTGTCTTCGCCCGCCAGGATGCGATCAAGGACATATTCTTCCCAGCTGGCGTGGCCCCCTTTTGCAAGGCTCTGGAAGAACTGGCCGTAGGACTCGAGGATGCGGACTTGGTCTGCGGAGAGGGGGTTGAGCAGGCGTGAGTTGGAGCGGGTTGCAAAGAGAAGGGATGTAAGACGTAGTCAGTTACTGGATACATGTTCACTTACGACATGAAAAAGGTGAGACAGTGAAAGCGGATGTGAAGGAGACTGGTGGACAGACACCATTGAGGTAAATTCAAGATCGGAGAACACTTTGAGATGAAGCAGGTTACAAGGGCAAGCGCATGCTGTGAAGAAGAAGGATAGTCAAAAGCGGGGTTGAGGTGAAGGAAAAAGTCATATCATTACTGGTTAAAACTGCTCAGCCGGCAACACTGAGCTTGAAGAGCCAGTTGAGACTGGCTAAGACTAAGGTCCTGCTTAGAATCTGTGGCTTAAGTCTGACCAGGAAACAATGACAAGAGTACTTTGCCTTTGGATCTCCCTTTACTCACCATCAGAGCGGCGCAGCGCAAGCAGCAGCTTCAGCAGAGCCTGTGCCGGGGCCCCTGTCAGAACGGACTGATACACCAGGACTGATGCAGCGTCCTTCAGAAGGTTGCCCGCTGCACGCTCCACCCTGCACAGAGAACAAATGATGAATCACCATAACACAATTCGCTTTTCAGATTAAGGGGTCATTCTACGTTCAATGATCACCCAATGTCTTTCTTGGGGCTTTATCAACAAAGGCAACTGAAAGGCAATATCTCCATTTGTATTCTTCAGTTGCTCGAAGCGCTCGAACCTCTCTTCAAGAGGCATAGATCCTTCTACATGATCAAAGACAAAATGACGATAAAAACTAATCAGAGATAAAGAACCCCGAGTTCAACTGGACTCCTGCAAACGGTTGGCTTCGTTACTCACTCCACTCGTGGCTCTGATGTAAAGCCAAGTGCACTGCGGGCCATTCCGCGGCGCCTCCCATGCCCCTTTCTGTAATGCACGTAAGCCCGCTCTTGATTCACTTTGCCCAAAAAGTGGCTGTTCTGCTGAAAGTGACAGGAGGCAAGTTCGAGCGCTGGTGATCCATACAGGGGTTGGCGTGACTTGATCCCACAGGCTCCCGTAAGACATGAATTGCAGGCATGATGCTGACGGTGTTGATAGGTTGCCTTGCTAAAAGGCCGGTGGATGGCAGAGACTGATTGCCCGGAAATGATAAGCTGGCAATCTTTGAGCGGAGTAAGGGCGCCAATGCCTGTGCTGGAGGAAGGACAAGCCAGCGGTGTGGAAGTGCTCAGAGCCATTGAATTTCTTACAGACGTCAAATCACTGCCTGCAAGTTGGTCACAGAAAGCAACAAGGCACTGTATCGGGATTATGCGAAGCTGCAGATGTGCAATGCTGCAAATATGGAGGTGACTGTCAATGGCCTAACCATTCCGCAGATTGCGCCTATTCCTTAATGGTCGGGTGGGGCGGTGCTACCAAAGGAAACAAAAACGGCACAGATCCGTCAATCCCTTTTGCTGTTTCAATCACCGAGACACGCCTTCCACTAGAAAACTGCGCAGCCCACGCAGAAAAAGTAGGGTAGTGGAACGAAGCTCAGAACAGCTGCATAGTCAGCAAGCTTTCAAATGACGTGAACGCTCTTCCTTTCTAGATCCACGTTGTTGAACCTCTCAGCACGAAATTGGTCCTAGCTAGAAGACCTGAAGTGTCGAGGCATTTTGAGAACTTGCAAGGACATGTGAGGCAGCCAAAGTGCTACTAATACTAGTACTATTTCTCAAGAGGCGGCTGTGACGGCGTTTGTTGACGTGAGTCTCTCAGGTGCGAATACCTTGGTCCTTCGCTGCGTAAAAAGACGGCAAAGTATGCCCAGATGCGCCGGTTATTGCAGATATTTGATTTCAGAACCAGTACCCCAGCTTGGAACAATCTACACCTTCTAGTGCTCAGCAGTGACTTGACCGTGCTTGCTGTCCTTTCTGATTCTGAATCCGAGCTGTGCAGCCTGCACGAGATTTATCCTAGGAAAAAGAGGTGTGATCGAAGGGGGCTGGGATCTAGGTGGTAGGGCGCACTCAATGTTGTCTCAAGGGGCATGCAAGTCTCACTCTTCACGGTGTGTTGTTGGCTATCAACGCGCTCCTGACAGCGGAGAGGTTTTTTTTGAAAGGCTGAAGAGTTTGCCCCCCAATCAGTCTATCCTCCTTTCAGCAGCTTGAACTTCCTTCTTGCATGCTGGCCTGAAAGTTGCCTTACTCCAGGTTGCCTTAAAGAGCTGGCGCATGGTTCCTGGTGCTCCAAAAAGAGACTGATAAGTAGCCTGAAGAGCAGACAGAAGTCTTCAGCTGCATGAAGCTTATCTTTCACAAAGTCATTAACGATTGCAGCACCACTTCTCAGGGAAAGTTTGCAGGGGATCTTCCACCAATCTTTGCATACGCATATCAAGTGCCAGCTGCTCTTTGAGTGGACTTTTGTGAGCTTCTCTTCAGCGCTCATATGTTTTTCACCTGTTCCTTGAAACTTGTGCGATACCTCTCAACTTTTCTCTGATACTGCAGCTTAAAAGCTTCCACAATGATATAGCTGAAAGCCACTCATCTGCGCATGCCAGCATGTCTCTCTTTCTACATAGCCGCCTCTTCTCACAAGCCGCCCAGCATCTCTCAACCACCCAAAGGGTCAGAGGGCTGAGTTCTCGGGCCTTTAATCTTTATGAAGTGTTAGGGGTTGAGCGGACATGCCCTCAGGAGCAAATAAAGGTGGCGTTTTACCGCCAGGCAAAGAAGATGCACCCCGACATCCAGAGAGACGAGGAGGCGGACCGGCAGGCAGAGAAGTTCATTCGTTTGGCTGCGGCTTATGAGGTGAGAGGTTGATCGGTGTGAAGTTTTGTGTATGAATGGTGTAAGGCCTTTCGGATGCTGGTCGATCAAGGCCATGTCCTGGCGTGTAAATCCGGAGGTGCGAGAAATCACTTTTTTTAGTCTCACATAAGATGGTGGAAAACTTTTCCTATTTACTCTTGAGATAGTTGTCATTTTTCACTGTAATTGTAACCTGTAGCAGGTTCGGGAGCCTGAAAGGGGTTTCGTGGATGTTATGTAAGTCTTGTGGCCCGCTGACTCGAAATGCTGCAGGCGCCGTCAGAAGCTATCTGTATAGTCAATTCAAGTACAGGATTGGGCTGTGAAAATTGATGCAATTACTAGAGGCAGTGGATCAGAGGAACTATCCAGATGAATTTGAAAAAAAACCCCAAGATCAGAAGGTTGTCAACACATTGCTGTATACCTTTCCAACAGGTGTTGCGAGACCCCACACGTCGTGCAACTTACGACGCCCACCTTTCCAGTCGGTCCAAGTTCGTCAAGTCCGCCTTCGACTTCGACCCCCCCACTTCTGAGACTAACTGGCCAGAGGATCCAATCGGAGACAGCCACGTGGCACCCTGGGTTAGGCAGTACCGGCAGGCGGTCAGGGAGGTGGTTAAGTATGGAGGGGAGGGGGAAGGGCTGGCGCATCTGGTGAGGGTGGAGTTTGGGGCGGCGGTGAGGAAAGCGTACTTTGGGCCGGAAGTGGGGGCGTTGGCTCTGGGGGAGTGGCCAATGGAATTCGAAGGTATGGAACTCGCTCTAAGGCATCTATCCTTCGAACCTGCAATGAATTTCTCGGATCGCTTTCGAGTACCTTACTTGCTTGGATTACAAAAACACGCATAGGACTAGCCAGGTTTTAACCTTAGGGGTGCCTCGAAATTGGCGTTTAGACAAGAGGTTGGACGAGAAATTTGAAGCCTCAAAGCATTTTCCCGTGCTGGCCGCCAATCTGTGTAACATGGCCAGCGGATCAGCCCCTCTTAGCCGTCATTGACAAGGCACTCAACTTCAGTGACCATCTAATCAGAGCGCTTCTGTGCGTCCAGAGCTCTTAGAGGAGTGCGTCGAGCCTGTGCGGCCTTTCCAACGTGTAACATATCCTTTTTGCCGCGTCTCTCTGTGTGTTCAGGCGAAGAGCGCAGCGTGGCCGGATTGGGTGATGTCATGCACATCGTCAGCGGGCGGCAACTGTTGGGCACCGTCCGAGAGGCGCGGGACGTCCTGCTTGGACACGGTGTGAATGGGCGTCCGAAGGCGGTTCTTGAAGCTGGGGAGAGTAAAGAGAGGATAGGCGCTGGCTATGAACTGGGGGCAAGCGAGATCGGGTTAGGGGAAGGAGAGAATAGGAGTTGCCGGCCTGTAGCAGGGACAGCGGGAGAGAGTAAGAACAGGGTTGAAGCGGAAAGCGGAGTAAGGAAAAGCTGGGGTGGATCAGAGAAAGGGGACGGAAACTTCAAGGGGTTTCGGGCGAGGGATTTTGACGGGGGTTTGGATCCTAACGCAGTGCACGAATCGAGGGCGGAGGCAGGGTGCTCCGTGAGCAAAAGGGCGTCAGGTGAAGAAGCGAGAAGTCCGGATGATTCGGATGCGTCCAGAAATGCTGCTCAAAGCAGCGCAGACTACAGGCCACGGACTGGGGCTCAGACCCGCGAAATGGAAAGCGGAACGGAAAGCGGAACGGAGGATCGGGCGAGGGTGAAAACGGGTGAGGGGCGCAGTCATGAGTTCTCCGAAAGGAACGTCGACAGGCGGGATAGCGGGGACGAAGTTTTTGCAACGTTGGAGCTGACGCAGCACGGGGAGGTGGTGGGTGTTGCGACTCGCGAGTGGGTTCCGCTGACGGAAATCGGAAGTCGAAGCGGAACTGCAATCGGAGAGGCCACTGGCGAAGAAGTGGAACGGATTGATTGCATATCGATCTACGCTGTGAACCGCGGGGTGTCAGCTTTTGCGCAGAACGATGACGAAGAAAGAAAAGGTCCTGAGGATTGGGATCGGCGAGATGCTGAAGAACGAGAGAAGTCTACTTGGAAATATGAAACTGAAAGCAGTAGCGGTCTAGAAAGGGAAAGCGGATCTGAAAGCTGTGATGCCGCTGGAAGTAGGAGCGGAAGAGCTACAGAAAACGGAACGGATAGCGCAAGCCGGCGGGGGAACGGACTCAAGACCGAATGTGGGAACGAGAACGTGTATGATCGGGGGGAAGCGGCAAACGGCATCGACAACGAAACAAGAAACGGTTCTGCAAGCGGAAGCGGAAGCGGATTCCGGAACGGAACTGGAGACGGACACAGAGAAGACGGGTGGGCGGAGGACATCGAGAGGCTGGAGATGCGGTACCGAAAGCCGCGGCTGTTAGCGCGCATCTTCGGACTAAGGGATGGCCGCCCTTCGACGGACGTGTTTCGCGAGGGGGGGGAGAAGACGCACATGTTGCTGCAGCACCGGACCCCCCTGGTAGGAAACCTCCTGTCGCTTAAAGAAACGCCTAGATCTGTCTGACATTCCGATCAGGTGCACTTGGTGAAAAATGCTGCAGCTTTGGTCGGTGCGATTTCTAGGTGTGTTGCACGTTGCATGTCCCTCTTTTGAGCCTCCCCTTCTTCTGCAACTCCAAGATAAATCTTGAGGTTATTCTTGACCTACCCCTCTCACACGATTTCTTACACGAACTTTTGAAGCTTGTTGAGGGGATCATCGTGTTTTGTCACGGATGTTCCTCTGGTTTACCTCAGAGCAGAATCGATACGAAGCCTCTTAAAGTGATTCTGCCCATAGCAAGCGCGTTACGGAGATGCCAGTATATCTGTCTGATCTCAGGTGCGGCATATGGCCTGGTACCGTAGCGACGTGGATAAGCGGGGGCGGCGTATCCGGAGGTGCGAGGCGCGGCTGCGGCGGGCTGCGATGCTGCCCAGCAGGTGAGTTGCATTTTGGCTGGTTTGTTTAACACGGAGTTTTTACCGATTATTTTGAGCGTTTCGTCAAGCTCAAAGTCATCCGAGCGCGGGGTCAAGGGGGCCTGAGGACGTTGCATTGGAGCTTTAACAAAATCATGAGAAAGCGGTTGAGCAATGTCTTGCAAAACCTTTAGTCGTTTAAGGTTGAGGAGAAGCGTGCAGCGTGTCAAGCGTCGATTTCAAGCGTCCTACACCCTGGTCGGAGATCGTGCAACTGGCACTTGGGGATACAAGTATGTTGTCTTGACTTAAGACCTCGTTCAGTCCGAAAGGTTCGTACAACTTTCTCCCCACTCCCCACCCTGAGTCAAAGCCTTCACTTTGGTGTTCCTGTTGTGGCGCAAACAATCAGCTGATTTTCTTTTTCTGCAGTTTATGGCTCTTCGAGCCACGTGCCAGCACCCATGATTGCGGCGGCTGGTACTTCGAGCGCTTCGACGAGGAGGAGACACGTGGCGCGCCGTCATTCGCGCATTTGACACCACTCGGCCCACAGAGGGGACGAGGTCTGCTTGAGACCAAGCACGCAAAAGATTCCGGCTTCGCTCATAACAGCCATCGTCTCGCCGAACGCGAATATTCTGGTACCACTGAAAGAAGTCGGGGCTCAAGCAGAGTCAGCAACAGACATCAGCACAGTCGTCACAGTCTGCGGTTTAATAGGCCCTCTGAAAGCGTCAAGGCAGGCTCAGAAGACGAAGATTCGCGTTCAAGCATGACTGCGCAGGATAGAAGATTCAGTTCTTTCATAGCCACGCCGTTAGATCCTGCTGTATACATCTTGACTGCCGCCTATTTGACGCTGGATAAGGAGCAGGAGGTTCGGACGGCGAAGCCGAGTGCCGTTGCGGATCTTTTGCAGAAGGGGGCAAAGTGGACTGGAGAAATCCGGAACTGGTGGCAAAGCAAGGTTGGCGCTTGAATCCGTTCACGATCATGTCGAGGCAGACCTTCGATGCGATGCAAGCATGCATGGAGAGGGAGTCGTTTCATTCTGTCGTGCAGCTGTGCAGCTAAAGGTTAGCCTGCTGTAACCTAAAGCTCAATTTGGTTGCATCGAAAATCTGAAGCGCGGTGGCCTGCATGGCACATCTTGCATGTACACCAAATCTGTTTGTCACATGGTCCCAACTTTTGTGATTGACGGTCGTATCCGTCTCTGTCTCTCTCTCTCCTAGTCTGAAAGCCACAACTGTCTGAGCTAGAAACGTTTGTTTCGATTCTTCAATTTACACTGGTACGACTGGCGCGTGCGGCCCACCGATCAGTGTTTAAGATCGGCCATGCAATGATATGCAGAATGAATGATCATATGCAATTCGCGGTCTGATCTCCATAGTCCTTGTGCAAGGGCATCATAATCAGAAGTATCCATAGTCGGTCACTGTCCATTTATGACTTCCCACGTATAAACTATATACTCATATCGATCTGTATATGAGGGCGCGGGGCCAGGCAGGATTTAGAAAGGGGTTCCGAAGCGCGGACCAGATGCTCACGCTCAGGGTGCTGGTGGAGCGGTGGGCTCGGGGAAGCAACCGGCATCTTTTTGCATGCTTTGTGGATTTCACGAAAGCTTTTGACCGCGTCCCAAGGGAACAGTTGTGGGCGGTTCTTGGCCGCTTAGGGCTGGCAAGCCGAATGCTAGGGACGCTACAGAGCATGTACGAAG